AAGACGCATGCGCGCTGTACCATCCATGTATGTACTTGTATGTGTAGGTATGTAGGTGTGTAGCGTACTACTTGTACACACCGGTGCGCATGCGTTTGGCTGGGTTTGGCTTTTGGCTTGGCTTGCTTGTTCTGATCTCCTCTTCGTACATCCCGTCTGCTTGCTTGGTTGCTTGCTGGCTGGGGGAGGGGGGGACCTCTCCCGTTTGCCTCACAGGCTCTTCCTCGCATTGCCGCTCTTGAGGAAATCTACAACTGCACGAAGCAGATAGCGCGCGTCAGGTGTACGTCCCACACTCGTACAAAGGGTTGAGTTCGATGCCAGACAAGGAAAGTATCTACAACGCAGAGGAAATATGGCCCTTGCCTGCTCTGTCTCTCTCTCTCTCTCTCTCTCTCTCTCACACACACACACACACAAACTTGCCCCTCTCTCTCTTGATTCTCCCTCAGACCCAGCCAAAACCCCTTTCATATCGACCCCAATCAGGCAAGTGGCCAGCCCGATATTGGCCCTGCTCGGGAAGCCGCGAAGTTGCTGACTTGTTGTACTGACAAGTCGGGGCTCAGTCTCCCACCCTCCCCCCTCTCCCCCCAGTTGGCCGCCGCCCAATTTGCGCCCCTCCCGGTCCCCCCGGGGGGCATGAGGTTGATTTTCTTTTGGTCGTCTCTCTAGAACCTATGGCCCTTGGCTGCACGCGCAGGGCGCGGGCGGACGATGGGCGGAACACTCGCCTGCTGAGCCCGCGTTGCATTCGCAACCCACTCCCACTTTACTCCCCTCCCTCGAATCCCCTTGCCCCAAAAACCATCTAAGCTACCTGTCCTGAGTGTGCTGGAGGTTGGTTGGTGGCTTTCCCCCTCACCCCCCCCCCCCCCCCCTGCAAGAGTGAACTGTCCGTGGGCAGATGCGCGCCGTCGACGCCGCGTCTCGGGTGGTAACATGTCAGATTGGCAAGCGCTAGCCATTTCGTAGTGCAGTGGTGGATACCGTGGTGGAGTCGCTTCGGGTAGAATACCAAACTAAAATACAAGAGATACCGTACATGGTACATGCAGGAGATGCCGCAATATGACAGAATGGTGCGCGGATCTTTTCGTTGCGGGGGGGTGTGAGGGTGAGCCTGGATAACAGTACATCGCACACTAGAACTGAGGGCTGGAGCGGCGGCGAAAATCGCAACCCCTCTCCTGCTTCGCCACCGCTACGATAGGGAGATCTTGTCGCAGCAGCAGCAGCTATTACCTCTGTTCCATAGCAGCCAAAGCCACAATGGACGGAGGTCTCCACGTCGTTATGCTGAGTGAGAGGGGGCGAAATCAGCTAGTCTGTAGGAACCGACGTCCGTCGCCGTTGGCATACAGACCCAAACATCATATCCCAGATGCAAGTATGCTTCGCATATGTGCTCCGTCGCAGCAGCAGTGCTAGTGTATCCGTACTGCGACGAGCAGCATGTGTAGCATGTAAGGCAAGGCGATGCAGCGGCCCTAGCCTTGGATACCCTGTGAGACTTTTCCACATGCCGTTGCCCATTGTTGAATGGGCCTCCCTTTTGTTTTATTGTCGCGCACGAGGTCGGGCTTTGTTTCCCGGTTCCTCGTCCCCTCTCTGTGTTCTCTTCTTCTCTCCCTCGGGATGGGGGGACTCCAAGTCAGGACGGCTGCGCCGCGCCGGTTTTGTGGTCGGGCAGACGCCAATATCGATAGCCCTCGGCGCGGTTTGACTTCTGACAGCCGCCCTCCCCCCTTGCGGTGTGTCGCGCACAGTCTTTGGTCAGGTACGTAGACGGCCCGGCGCCATCCATTGCCAGCCATCCGTCTTTTTCTTTCTTGTCCATCTTTCCCTCTCAGGAGGGGATGAGGTACATCTCTCATGGTTCCCGGCCTCCTTTCGAATTAATCCCGAATTTAGCTCCCGAGACGAGACACAACCTTTTTGTCTGGGACACGACCAGTGTGAGCCAGGAGGGTGGAATGCTAATCATGACAGCAGTATTCGGTAACGTTTGGGGGGGGGGGGGGGGGGGGGGTAGTCATTCCTGGCTGTTCCGCTTCGAGATATCCACACCTGCTCGAATCCTTCGCCGGTCGGTCGAGCCTGCTCGTCACAAACCAGGTCGGCCGCGCGCGAGGTGGATGCGATACACTACGTAAACAAGCCGGGCTCTGCTTGGGCTTGGCCAGGTCAAGGCAGGCAGCTATTCCGTCCACCCCGGGAGAGAAAAGAGTCGATTGCCTGCATGCACGCGTTCGGGTATGCATGCTGCTCAAACATGGGGTGGCGGCGGCGGCGAGATCACGGATCACAGAGGAGCCCCTGGAACCTCGTCTGTCCCGGCGCCCTCACGGTGCCCCCTCCAGGGAAACAGAGCAGGTGTCGAGAAATGGCTCTTGCGCACCTGGACCGCAGCAGACAGGCACCTGCTAGTTTAGGCAGATCATGTAACTGTCGGGGACCGGGTTAGACGAGAGTGAAGTGGGAACTTCGCCCGCTCGAGCCGAGATTCGTTTCTCTTGCGTGTATGTCGCTTGCGAGGGGTGTTATCATGTCAAGCTTGGTGATGCTGAATGAACCCTCAAGTCGGGGGAGAACTTGCAAGTTTGAAACGGCTCGCCCCCCTGTGCTTATCCTTGCGCGTCCCTGCCTGATATCACATGAGAGGGGGTAGACGGGAGCTTGGGGTTCGGCGGTACGATACTCAGTTTCTTGCACTGGAGCATCTTACCTTGCTTACTTGCGGCCGACCTTGCCTCTGTTCCCAGCCTGACGAGGTTGGCCATGAATCAGCTGATGCTCGTAGCCCCTCTATGTAGAATTACGTGGCGGAAGAGATTCTGTGGCGTCGCTCAGCATTGCCTATGCGCAGCGACGCATTGAAGATTGCGGCACATGTTGCGCGCAGAATATGCAACCGTTGGCATGTCATCGGTTTTCCCTTTCTTATTTCGGTACGTTTGTTCTTTTGTCATTTATCACGGTTTCCAGTTGCCGGCAGGTTGACGGTTGATGCAGTGTAGTGTAGTGTACAAGCGGCATGGCATGGCACTTTCACTAGGCCTATCCCTCGGCCATAGCCCTGTCTGGCGAAGCCTAGCCGCGAAACACAGCGGCGGGAAAAGAGAAGGCTCGAAACTAGGTTGGTATGTAGTATGGTGGGCAGCGGGGCAGCGGTCATCGTGCATGAACTCCTGGTATGGCATGGTTAAGATGGGTGTGCTATACATTGACGGAGCACCGCGTTGGTTGTTGCGCTTTCAAGGACCGGCCTGGGAAGCAGCAGGCCCGAAAAGCAGGTCAATTATGAGAGAAGCTTCGTGATCAAGGAAGCTTGCATTCCCTGGCATGCAGGCGCAAGCGCATGTGGTTGAAGATGGCAGACATGGGAGTCCCCGAGTCCGCTGGATGTACCAGACCAGGTCCGGGGCTAGAGGAGATGGCTCTTTCGTTTGGTGTTTCCCACCGAGCTAGGTATGCCTTTCTTCGAGGGAGCTTGAAGACCAAGCTTTTCCTCCCATCACCTCTCTGGACTGTCCGCAATGGGAGGTGAAGTTTCGGTGCAACGCGTAGCAGGCAACTTTGGCTGTGCAAGCCCCTCCCCATCCTCCCCATCTCCCAACCTTTTGAGGTGTATGGAGGAAGTAAGCTTCGGCCGATGGGGGGTCATGATATGCATGACTGGCGGCGTCTGTGAGAAATGCCACGCCAGACAATGTAAGAGGCCGATTGGGGTGGTTTTAATCTTCGTTTCACCAGGAGATCCGGATGCGGACAAGACCACGAAGGCATGCTTCTTCCGGTGACGTACAGACCCTGTGTGCAGTTGTGTCCCTGGTGGTGTCCGACGGGGGACAGGTATGGCCTTCTTCGATCGAAGGGGGGCGTGAAGTGAGCGCCATGAAGCAAGGAGGACGGTAGCCGTGACAAGACGATTCGGCGATGGAGGTCGAATGGTATGAGGTCGGGATCGGACGTCGCACTCGCATTTGCTGAGCCTAGACCTGAACATGGTCCCAGACTGAGTGTTCCTAAATGGCCAAGAGGAAACAACGCAGTGGTAAAAGGTGGTGATTAGACCCCTTCTTTCTGTTGCCTCAAGGTCTGTCCATCTCCAAAGCCCCAATTCACACTGACAGCACCGGTTCCAGTTCCGTGGGCGCGTGTGCTGCTCGTGGGAAGGCAACACGGTGGTTACCTTGAAGGGGGGAGGGGGTGTGACTTGTCCGGTGTTTGGGCCTGATGTCGGGACCTGCAGGAGGTCGAGAGGTTGAAGGTGAGGTGAAAGGTCCCCTGCGGTCGAAGCGTTCGGTCTTGCAACAAGAAGGTTCCAAGGGATCTTGACGTGCACATGCATTTTGGGAATCACGGCAGTCAGTTGGGGAAAGGTCGGTGCGCCGAAGCTATTGCCGCTGCGGCTGCCGCGAAGGTCAACCCCACTCAGACTGGTACTTTCCAATATCACTTAGCTTCACATTACTCGGGAAGCTTTTTGTTGTGTGCATCTGCCTCCCTGGTTTGCATTTCATGCCTTTCGGAAGGTGAGACGAAGACAAGTAGTGCTCACGAAGTATGTAGGTCAGAGTTGGGTGAGAGATGCAACTGTTACTGGCTGAGCTCAGTGTATGTTCGAAGTCATGTGACCCGTCATGTGATCGCGTGATGGGTACGTGCCTGGATGGACCATGATGCGCTGGAGCACTTTGCCTAGTTTGCGGCGCCGCGTGATTCGCGTTTAGCTGGCGATAGAGACGCTCCTTTGTTTACTTTTGGACACACCAGAGTAGTTTGGAAGAAGAAGAAGAACAAGGAGAAGAAAAAACTATTTGGATTATGGTCTTTCAACTTCACATCTGCCATACGAATTCGACTAACATCACATCATCAATGCGGATGAAGTCTGCACCGTAGCGCCATCTCAACATCGATGACGCGCCCCAGCACGGGAGAGGAGAAAAAAAGAAACGAAACATCGTCGGGGTGCGTTCCACAACCAACCAAACATGCCGTCGACTGAGAAGCCGTCCGTCCCGCCGGCTGCGAAGCCTCGCTTCGGCAGCACCTTCGACCCCTACAATTCAAGTAGCACAGGCCACCAGCGTCCAGAAAACACCCCGGGCGCGACGACGGGGTGGCGAACCAGCCGCGTCCGGAAGCTCTCGGAGCAGTTTGCTGGCGGCCACTCGGGCGGGGCCCGCATGAGCGACACCTACGGCGCCGGCAGCGAGGACTTTGACGAGAAGCTGAAGATGGTGGTGCCGAAGGACGTCAAGGCTCGAGCAAAGATGAGCGTGGCCGACATGCTTGCCCGGCCCGGGCTGATGAGGGGCGGCTCCTCCGTCTCCGAGACAGGGTCCGCGACGTCAGCCACGGGCGGAAACTCCACGAGTGAGGAGGGGATTCTCGAGGCTCACCGGAAGGAAGATGAGGAGAAGGAGCCGAAGAAGGCCGCCGGCAGGGGCTTGTTCGAAGGTGTCACGGTCTACATCAACGGGAGCACGCACCCCATCATCTCCGATCACCGACTCAAGCGCGTGCTGGTTGAGAACGGCGGGCGTATGTCCATCCATCTCGGCCGGAGACAGGTCACGCACGTAATTGTCGGGAGGCCGGCGAGCGTAGGGGCCGGGGCTGGTGGAGGGCTAGCGGGCAGTAAGTTAGACAGGGAGATACGTAAAGTCGGCGGGTGTGCCGTGAAGTATGTCAGCGTCGAGTGGTCAGTTTCCATCCTCTCTCTTTTTGGTGCCCGGTCCTCCTCGAAAGAAGACTTACTGACGCCCCAGGCAGGGTTTTGGAGAGTCTTAAGGCGGGGAGTCGGCTGCCCGAGGCGCGATTTGCGCCCCTTAAAGTTGCGCGGGAAGGTCAGAGGAGCGTTTATGGCATGTATGGGAACCACTCCTCTAAGGAATCTCCTACGGGATCGGCAAGTTGATCAGATTCCTACCTGAGGACTTGCGGTGGTGTACGCCGGCATGGGCGACTATTCTGAAAGCATCTCGGTGGTTGGTTTTGCATGGCAAGGGCAGGGGCAAGGGTCGGGGGCATAACTATACCAAGCGTGAACCACAGGCAAACGGCGTTTTAGCATACGAGGCATTAGCTAGGAGTTATTGATGCTTAGTGCGTTTTCTCCAATTCCCGACGGGCTCTCCTCTGCGAAAAGCAAACTGAATTCCCATCGCCCGTATGCCTTGTCACAGATCTGCTGTTGAATCTTCGTAGCACAAATCCCCTACACCCTGTGGCAACAAGTCGCCTTGCCTCTCACTCCTCGTCATGGCTTCGAGGCGGAGAGGTTACACGCCAGACGGCCCGTGAGCAAACATGGTACGACGGCGCGACTCGATACGGGTGTCGCGCAATGCTGGACCATTCGAGCCTTGCTATTTCCGCCACGGCTGTAGATTGGTACCCGACAAGGCCCAATTCGAAGGTCCTCTCACGGGACTGGTTACGAGGGACCCGGGGTGGGTGCGACCGAACAGATCGTGACGGAGAGGGGAGAAATATGGGCGGGAACTCTCTCTGGTTGTGATACCGTCCTGCGGGCGCGTGTTGCTTGTAGTGGCGTTTTTGCGTTGCACCATGATGCTGCCAAAGGCAGCCTCCTAGGTGGGATACATGGTCAATAGACCTATTCGGACCCGGGTTCTGTAACATACGTAACATAAAACAACGGAAGACGAATTCTTCGCTTCAAAGCCTGCGATGCGAACCCATTTGAGGCCTATACGTTTTGGCATGGCAATGATCGATGGCTGGTTCCCGCTTCAGGGATATATCGATGACCTCGAGGACCGCGGGTTGGACAAGCGTTGCCAAGTCTGCGAATACCGCTTCTTGATTCTGGCTTTCCCCCGCTTCAAACGTGAGAGGAATCAATGATGGCGATGAGGCATGTGATTGCTTGGACAACATGGCCCTCAGCCTTGTTCCCGGTTCCTTCTTAACGTGACTTTCGAGATTCTGACTGGTTTTACATACTCCTCTCGCAGTTAGCCCATGACTCCAAGGAAAAACAGAGTCTTCAAAGGAGGAATATATCGTCTTCCGATGTCTGTCCCAATGAACCAATACCCCCCCCCCCCCCCCCCCCCCCCCGGAGAGGCACCCCAAAGGACCAGTGCTGTTCGTGCCACAGCTATAGCAAATGTCACAACAAATCCCCCATGTTCAATCGCTGTTGCCTAGATTGATCTTTCTGACCTTAAGCAATTAAGTATGTCTCCCAAAGTCGGTCTAATCCCAGTCGTACTCGTTATAGGTTCCTAAATTTATGTAGTATTTCTTTGCTATCCCCTGGATTGAGTCACCTTGAATGACTTGAGCAAAGTACCTTTTCGGACTTTCTTGGGACTACACCTTCTCAAGATAAAATCGATGGAAAGACCAATTTCCATTTAATGTTGCTAAGTAGTACTTAGATGCTTGGTATATAGCTTTGTTATTCATAGACACTGTCCATGCCGTCTCATATCGGACGCTGCTTGGTTTGTACCTTTATCTCCCATCCCTCCATGTGATTTGTACAAATTCGCTGTATCCTAGCTGTCTTGATCCAAACCAAAGGCGCCAAGACAGGATTACATCATGTTATAAAAGCTCTTGATCTCCCATACCATGTAGCAAGGGAGGAGGTTGAGATTTCATGTGTGTTTATGTAGCTGCCACCCACCTACAGCCTCGCCCTGGCCTCCGTGCTCTTATGCCCGCTCCCCTTGACCTTCCAATACTCTCTTACCTTGTCTCTCGCGACATCCACCGCTCCAGCATCCTCTACCGTGCTTGGCACTTGTACCTCCTTGTTGAAATCACCGTGGACCGCGTTGTCGAGCAACTCTCTCAGCACGCGCCGCAGCGTCTTGCCGCTACGCGTCTTCGGGATCATGCCTTTGCCCTGTACGAGTCCCCCGAGAGTTGCGATGGCGCCGACCTGCGAGCGCACAAGCGCGTTGATCTCGTCGGCGAGCTTTGCATTGGGCACCGCAGAAGTCGGGTGTTCGGGCGTCGAGAGCGTGATGAAGGCGAAGGGGAGCTGACCCTTGAGCGCGTCGGGGATGCCCACCACGCAGGCCTCGGCGACGAGGGGGTGCGACGTTATGGCCTGTTCAAGACCGCCTATTCCTGGTGTCAGCCTTGGATATGTCCAGAATGTATCTAGGGATGGTTGACTCACCACTCGACAACCGATGGGCGCTGACGTTCAGAACATCATCGTTGCGGGACATGACATTGACGTAGCCCTCGGCGTCAATGTAGCCTGCGTCGCCCGTGTCTAACCACTTGCCATCAAAGCGCTTCAGGTATCCTTTGTAGAACCGCTCTTCGTCCAGCCACAAAGTTCTGAACGCCGTTGGAGCCAAGGGAAGCCCAAGTACAATGTTGCCCATCGTACCCCTAGGGACCTCCTTGCCTTCGTCGTCCACGATCCGGACATCAAACCCAGGCATCGCTTTGCCGGCGCTACCCGGCTTGATCTTTGGAGGGGGGTAAGTGCGAACATCCGTTCTCCAGTCCATGGCAATGTACGGCGCGAGAGCCCTCCCAGTGATGGGCGAGCCAGCTTCCGTCGACCACCAGTTATCTACGACCTGGGCGTCGGCTGCGCCATGGGTGTTGAGGAGTTCCTGGTACATGGTGATGATAGCTGGCTCGGAACGCTCTCCCGCGAGGAAAAGCCCTTTGAGTGTTTTGAGGCCACCCCGTTCCCCTACTTGCCTAAAGAATTTGTTATCGGGATCGTCCCGCTTGATGGCCCTCAGGGCCGTGGGCGCCGTGAACATGGTGTTGACCTTGTACTCCTCTACGATGCGCCAGAAGGCAGAGGCGGACGGTGTTCCTACAGGCTTTCCTTCGTAAAGGACTGTAGCGGCGCCCGTTAGCAAGGGGGCATACGCGATATAGCTGTGCCCGACAACCTGTATCAGTGTCAGAGGTAGCACATGCGAATAGATGACCTGCAGTGACATACCCAGCCAATATCTGATGCTGTAAAAGACACACACCCCGGGCCGTGGATGTTGAACAGATAACCTATGGAAAGATGCAGCCCCACAGCGTGCCCTGCAGCGTCCCTCACCACCCCCTTCGGCGACCCCGTCGTCCCCGACGTGTGAATGATGTATATCGGATCCGTCGACTTCACCGGCACGCACTCGGCCCTGACACCCCTTGCGCGGCAGCTCTTGACGATGCTCTGCCAGTTCCTCTCGCCGTCGTTCCTCTGAATAGGGTGCCACCGCACTTGCTCGCGCTGCCACACAACGACCTTGTTGGGCTTGTGCGTGGAGATCCGACACGCCTCCTCGACGAGGGGTTTGTAGCTCACGGGCGGCTTGTTGCCGTCGATGCCGCACGAGGCTGTCAGGATGGCTACGGGCTGGGAGGCCTCTATACGCTGTGCGAGGGCGTTGGGAGCGAAGCCACCAAAGACCACGGCATGAATGGCGCCCAGACGGTTGACGGCGAGGATACCGATAAGCGCCGCGGGGATCATAGGCACTTAACCATGGGTGAGCTCATTGCGACGCGCATCTCTTATTGATTCGTGGGATGACGATGAGACTCACTGTAAAGCATGACAACATCGCCCTTCTTTACTCCTTCCTCCCTCAGTGCCCCGGCAAACACCTCAACCTCGTCAAGCAGCTGCTTGTATGTGATGGTCTGCTTCGTGTTGGTGACGGGACTGTCATAGAATATGGCCGGGGCGTCGCCCTTTCCGTCATGGACGTGGCGATCGATGCAGTTGAAACAGGTCGAGATCTCGCCGCCTGGGAACCATTCCCAGGTCTTGTGAGTCACACCGCCCTTGAGCGTCTTCTGGGCGACCTTTAATGTTGACGAGGGCTTCTTGTGCCAGTGCAGATGCTCGGCCTGGCGAGACCAGAATCCCTCGGGATCCTCGAGGGAACGGCGCAGAACTTCGTCCTGAGGGTGCAAGCTGCCCATTGCGGATTCAATGTGTGTATGGCCCCGTTGGCGGATGACAGACGGCGGGGAGATGAGAATCTGAGGCAAAACAATGGGATTACAATCAAAGGATGGCAACGAGACACAGTATAAATTTTACGAGGTCACTACTACGAGGCTCTTGGCCAAGTAAATCCGCCAGATCTCTTAAATAATTGAGCGGCTGGAAGTTGGGAGGTTCGAGCTACAAGGCGTGTCTGTTGGTGTAGCTGCTGACGTGCTCCTTCCAAATTGTTGAGGACGGTCCTGGCGGCCAAGCTTCCCCCCGCATTCCGTTGGCCCGGGGTAGTAAGGGGGCTGATCACCCCCGCCGCCGCCAGCCGAGCTCCATCCGGGGACCCCGCGGGGATGAGGGCGATTTTGATAAGCGAATACTTCCAAGGGTAGATTGAAACCAGTGTTTGCATTTCCCACCATTAAGCATCAAAAGTCACATCGTATTCCGTACACCCGCAACCATCAAACATTTGTATATAAGCTGTTGTGCCCGCCCGTCGACCCGGCCATAATACCGAGGAAGGGATCTACGGAGCAAGGTCATCATTGCTTCAATCTCCTATATACACGATCCCGATCATCACCATGCTTCCCCCGCAAGACCCATTCCTCCCACAGGTCCCTTGCCGATGGTGCTTCTACGACGTAGGGCTTAATGACATCGCTGGTCCGAAGAACCACTCAAACTCGAGCGAGCCAAGTGTTTTTGGGACACGGCTATGACGGATTGCTCGAAGACATTCGAGTTTTTGTTTTGTCAGCAAGGCAACGACGAAAGCCCGGTGTCCCAGGAAAACAGCTTTGCTACAGTGACATGTAATGAGTCTGGGCTCACCTATTCAAGGTGGCATGTATCACTCAGGCCCGTAGTGATGAACACCCGACGGTCGTCCACGAGCATCCGGCGAAGCTACCGGCGCCAATGTCGTCTTCGTGAACCGTCTTTTTCTGACAGTGCTGCGTTGAGAACCGAGCGGACACCTCGCGAAAACCCCTCCGATCTGCTTCTTGCCCGGCGGATTGCGCTGCAAGGAGGCCTGAAGATTAACAAGAGACAGATCTACGCAAGGAGCGGCTAAGGGGGACTAGGTTCTCGGGCCACATCGCAGGCACCGTCCGACTCCGTCAACGGCGCGACACGGCGCTGCTTTTTTCTATGCAGGGCGGCGACCTGAGTTCAGTCGCCGTCCAGAAACCGCTCCAGACACGCGGAACAAGATGCTCCCTCTCCAAGGCTGGGCAGATTGCCGTGCCTGTGTGTGCCCAGGGAAAACCCCAGCATACCCCGGCAATGGTTTCCGGCACGGGTCTGAGCTCTTGACATTTGTGGAAATCCAATCAACGACGATCGACGTGGCGAAGCACAGAGGAGCTGCCAATCTCGCTTGGGTCCATCTCCCATCCCAGGACTTTCTGAGGGGGTTTGCTGCATTATAGATTCGCTTACATGCATATCGCAGTCACCGTGAGGAAGGTCGGGGTAGTTGTGCGTCCTTTGAAGGGAAAACTGTACTTGGTCATCGGATTGTTCCACATTCTTCAGAGTTGAGAGTGGATGAACGAGTCTTCTGTGTGCCAGACTACTGTTCTGTTCTTTGTGGTATTTAGCCTTGTTTTTCTTGTCCACATTCCATGTACGGATATTGCCGAAAACAATGCATTGCTCAGCTGCATTATCAGTCAGATTGAACGATAAACCGAGTAGGCAAGGTACGTACCTAGCCTGGAGACAACTCAGCAGTGGGTGGACCGACCTGTTATCCAATATACCTCAAACTCGTCACGCAGCTGCAGCACACCCCCCCCCCCCCCCCCCCCTCCCCCTAAGTCCCCTAAGCCCTGCAAGACGCAGGTACAGTGCATGGGGGCGGCAGAATGGAACTAGGAAAAGGGGTCACTCCCCCCTTTGAGCCCCTTCGAGGGCCAACCAGTAAACAAAACAACCTTAATCGAAGGGATACAACGGAGTCGCACACCACCCACCACACACACACACACATACTTTTCAGCTGGGTCCTAGGCACCTCCATCCGGGCATGGAGACAAAGGAATTAGCATGACGCGTTTGCCGCTCCTCCAAGAACCGCCCAAGAAGCATCCAAGACATGCTCCAAGACTGCGCTCGTACGCACTCGAGGAATGTAGCACGGCAGTGGCGCAAGAAAAGCCGGACTGCGCCCCCCCTAGAATACGCGCTCAGCCCAAGCGAGATGAAGGCGCAGGGCGACGAACCTCCTCCACCTCTTTATCTCTCCGTAGTCACCGTAGCCGCAAACCTCGGATCCCATCTCGCAGGTCCCGCGTGCTCGGGGCCGGACCATCAACCCCATTCCTCTGGTCCTGGAACCTATTTCGGTGCACGTATTGGCTAGCAGTCGAAGAGGGCGAGCGACGCCCGCGCCAACGGACCGCGAGGGCCTTGTGCGGCAGAGAGGGAGAGACAGAGAACCGGCACGCTCGTCAGGTGACATAGATGGCGTCCGTCCTCAAACGGCCCGTTGCAAGATGCCGCGCGCTGTGTATGTCTCGGGGTTCTCGGCGTTCGAGGAAACGGGAGGACTAGACGACCTTGCAAGCTTAGATAAGCCTAAACCGAGACAGTTGTTTCTCATTGTTTCTCTGGTAGCTCTAGCCGGAGGAAGGGGGTTCGGCAAGGAACCTCGTTGCTTGCATATCGACGGCGAACTTGAGGCCATGAAGGACCGTGAAACAGGCCTGCCCATACAGTCCCTCCTCAAGGATTCTGCGGTCATCTCGAGACTACCGTGCTGGACGAAAATGGGCCGCTAGGAAATGTTTCGTATTGGAGCAATTCCCCAGGCAAGGATAGACGTTAGAGGGTGAACAGAGAGACCATAAAACCCCCAGCATCTTGCTAGAAAAGACTGGTTCCTCTACGTCGTCCGCGGGCATACAAGTGATGTACATGTACTAGCCATACACAACAGGAGACGGGGCATATGCTAGGCAGCGGCGGACAGTCACAATACGAAAGAACGCATTTCCTTCGGGAGAAGAACATAAGTGAATTTGGAACTTGTCAATAGATGATCTGCTGCGAAGGTGAAAATGAAACAACAGAGCGACCTATCGTGATCGCATTATATTCCCATAAAGCCTCCCGAAGAAGAAAAAAAAAAGTTGGGTATATACCGCACACACACGGAAATAATCCTCAAGAGGCGATCGCCAGAGTACCGGAGCCAAGAACCGTTTGTGGAGGGGTTTCGTTAAGCAAGTACAAGAAGTTGCCGTATTGACAGGGTTTTGTGAGGGCTGCGTTGGCTTGGCCGTGCCTCCTCTAGGTAGAGGGAGGCCACTCCGTGGTACCACGCATGGCAAGAAAATGTACCGGGTATTCTTCCGTAAGCGTGTCGCTTCGCTCCGTCATTTTTGGTAGTCCTCCCAAGCTCTCTATCCCAGAGACTGCTCTCCCAAAACTCCCGTCCGTAACCAATGTCATCCCACCTGGTTTGGTTGGATGCTTCACAACCGCGCTCCAGTCGTAAGGTGTCGTAGGCTCCCACGAATCCAGACATTATCGTACGTCAAAGACCGTAGGGGAAGACGTGGATGGCGAGACGTGAAGGTTATTGATTTAGAGAACGAAAGCGGCGATACCGAGGACACCGGCCAGACCGGCGCCGGAGAGGGCAGCGGCCTTGCCAGCACCGGCGGTAGGGACCGAAACGGGCTTGGTGGGGGTGATGGCACCGGTGGCGGGGATGGTGGGCTTGCTGATGACGGGAGTGGCGATGGGGACGGTGCCGTTCTTGGTGGGAGCGGCGCTATCGAGGTGGTTAGCTACTGGTCTCTGGCGAAAAGGAGACGGGCATGACAAACCAGTTGTCGCACTGGACCACGGCGGAGGTGATGACGGGCTTGGTGACAGTGCAGGGGCAGTCAGTGATGGTCAGGGTGGTGGCCTAGGCAGACATTGATTAGCTGATGGTCACAACCAACGAGGTTTCCGAAGACGGGTGTTCGGGAGGGGCGTGTCCAGGTCTCGGGGAGGCCGCGAGCACCAGTGCTTGCTCCGGGAACCCTCTTCCGCGACTCGTCCAAGGCCCCCTTCCGTTCGTCTTCCGGGATCGACATACCGAGGTAACGGTGTAGGTCTTGTCACCGTGGGTGATGACAGTGGCGGCAGGGCAGTAGGTGGTGTAGGAAGAGACGACCTCAGTGACGTAGGTGACGTTCTTGTGAGCCAGGGCGCCGGTGGCGGCGAGGACAAGGGCGGCAGCGGAGAACTTCATTTTGACGGGTTTGGTGTTTGTTTTTTTGGGATGGAAGGGTTTTTGGTATTAAGACTCGGAAGAGCGGTAGTTTGCGAGTTGAGGATTAGTTTGCGTTGGGTTAACGAATGAAAGCGACTAAAAAGTCTGGGTCGGTAGTGAATGAGTGAGTGTGGGTGAGGAAAGGAAGGGGAACACGAGAGGGGATGGCCTGGAGGAAATGCATTTATATACGGAGATGGACGCAGCACGAACATGGGGGTAACGCATGGTGATGGTCTCCACCTACACTACACTACCTAGGTACACTATGCCACACCACATCACCTTAGTGCAACATTGCCTTGTGGTCGGGGCAATGAGATGGGATGGAGTGAGATGGATGGGACGGTTCAGGGACAGCGCCTTTGCCCGGCCATACTGGGTGGAGCACCGCATCGCGCCTGGAGATGAGAGAGGAGCTGGACCGGGAGGGCGAGGGGAGCAACGCCGCCATTGTGCCCCTGGTCCAATGCTAAGATAGGCACTATCAAGGGCCGAACAGGGGGTGCCCCAATTTTCCTGTTCCCTTCTCTTCACGAACCGGCTTGTTTTACTTTGGACCATTCAGAAAGGAAGCAAGGTATCCGTATCCGAGCGTGGTTGGCTGCCCCTTGGGGGGGTGAACATGGAAGGACAGGCCAGAAAGGGGTGGGCCACGTCTCCTTCTCGACTTCTCTTCGCCAGTGGCTTTGGTACCTACCTAGGTAATTAAGAATTGGCTTGGGAACTGGGCAAACACAGTAAGCAATTAGCACCCCTGGACAACGCGAGCGAGCAGCAGACGGAATCGAGAGCTGGGCGTGCCTGTGTGTCTGGATACGCGGTTGTGCAGAGTGAGTGAGAAAAGAAAAGAAAAGAGAGGTCTGGAAGCTGAGTAACGTACAAAAAAAGGTAAGTAGGTACGTATCTCGCTCAAGATGGCCAACCAACCAAGCCTGGCTGGATACGATACGGGACGGACACAGGGGGGTGTGACTGCTACTACCTACGATGTACATAGAAGCGCGGTTACACAGTGTCTAGGTAGGTGCCTTAGGTAGGATATGCACCGAAAGGGGAGAGTCAGTCATTTATCCGTCTGCCCCACTCGGAGCACGATGGACCACTCAGAGCTGCACGTCGATGGGTGCGCAGAGCCCTCGGAGTGACTGACCAGCTTGATCGCCTGCGCTTTGTTTTCCGTTCGCCGTTCAAGAACACCTCTTCCACCAGCTCCCTGCGTGGTGTCCGGCCCACGGTTCCAGCTGGCTACGAACCATTGAATCTCACGCAACCTGCAAGGAGTTCGGACGGCGGAGATGAGATGACTCGAGTCCACCCCCGAGAAACGGACGTTGGGTTGGCTCGAGTAATTTCAGTGGGTCGATTATTGCCAATGCATGTGCACGGTATGTATGCAACGCTTTTTCTGGCATGCTTGAAGTCATGCTCGCTCCGAGGCGGGGTTTGGTTTTCTCGGTCTCCAGCCGTCATTCTAGATTCCAGACCGCTCTGCTCTGCTCTCTGTTGGCGCGCCCTTTGCCGTTCCCATCTTTGATTCGACTGCAAGCTGCTCTACCGGGGGTGCCTGTCTTGCTTGTCGTGGCAGACGACGACGGGTGGACGCGCCAGGCCCTCGGCGAGATGTGCCATCGTCAATGTGACTGCAGCCACCTACCTACATACCTAGTGCGGATACACTCGTCGACTTATTCCAAAATAAAATAAAAAATTGCTGCCGTCTTTGGCGCTGACGGCTGACTGATTTGCGTCATGAGCGGCGTGTGCAAAGCAGGAACCAGACTAGACACTAACGCAGGCACCGTGCAGCCGTGTCGTCGGCCAATCCAACATTGAAGGCGGGCATGGGCTGGAGAGCTGCGTGCTATTGCCAACCCGTGGGCTTACCTGAAAGTGACAAAAATAAAGAGACTGGAACCCTCAGCAGCCAGTAACAGGTTCCCTGGAGAGCATGTCGCGGCGGCTGGAAGCCCCCCTTTCGAAAGCCATGGCTTGCGTCTTGTCCCAACCAGGGTAGAAATCGACGCCGTTGGCCAGATCCATGCGGCATCAGCGCCACGGGCTTTGCACGTTCGCGTTATGCGAAAACCGACCACGAGACTACAGGGCTTTGGGCCATGCTGCGCCCGTTGATGAGTAGGGCTGGTTCTCGTGGTTCCTTCTCATGCTGTGCCACGCCGTGCACCTGAACAATTGCAATTGTCTTGTCCTTGAACGATGTGGGAAGAAGGGGAAAAGGGAGATGGAGCTTTTGGGGGGGGGGGGGGGGGGGTGGCGGGCAGGGGACAACGGAAAGCTTGACTAAAGCGGCGAAAGGGTAATCTTGAGGGAAATTGAACTTGCAACAGTTGTGGTTGGCTACTTGACGGAGGCCACTGGGGCAAACGACGAGGAAGAATATGCCGCGGCCGAGTCAGGGCCAGATGCTTGCGGCCTGCCTCCCCGATACCGTGCCTATCTTCTAGTGTATCTTCCCCTCTTTCTACCAATTTCCCGACATCCTATATTGGTTTCCGCATTTTTCAGTCAGGCATTCTTGACCCCTTCTTGTCGAGTTAATGACGTTTGTGCCAACTGCCCGAAAGCTAAGAAGCGACCAAGCACCGGCAAAGCATACCAGGCGAACTCGTTCCAGGTGAAGGTTCCGCATTTGACATTGTTCGTCCGAGAACCATGCGGTTAGACGCAAACAACAAGCGACGGTCAGAGTGTCAAACATTGGACGGACGGCCTCGGATCTGCCCTAAATCAAGGAGAAACATCGGGTCTGAGGTTCCCAACACCCCGCCCCGACCAGCGGACCAGGGCCTCGTGGCTACTCCGGAATTTTTTTGTTGTATTTTTTTGCCTTATTATTCTGCACATGCCAGTGTCTCATCGACGCAGGGACGTGATTGAACAGTGCCCCAAAGCCCCCGGAGACCCGGGACCTTCCGTCATCGCAGCTTCAGACTTCCCTTGTCATCGGAGATAACTCGACGACAGCCCGTTGGGCCCTGATTCTACTCGAGAGTTGAAGCACAGAGTATTCCGCCGTTTGAACCAACGCTAGCGGAGACAAAAAGGCGGAGAACGCGATATTTTTATCGCTCGGGGGTAAATCATCGTTGATCATTGAGAGTTGTCTGCCCTCGTATCGAGATCCGGTACCACGCTGTAAACTGGCAAAACAGCAGCCAGCCTGTCCACAGGCTTGAACCACGTGGACATCCAACTTCAGCAACAAGCGTGCCGCGTGAGATCTTCTGCTTTGCACAACCTGTACCGACAGTATGCTCTTAAGCTTATTTCTTCTCCTTTTAGGGCAGTGGCCCTTTCTGTGCGGCTTCATCATACACATCCCCTGGTACTAAGGCAGACGGACTGGGGAAAAGCTTTTGACATCCCATAGCCTTACAGCCATCCCGTTGTCGACCGCAGCATCCGGCACAGCCACGAGGACAAGACACGACTAAGACGCTGACCATTGGTGATGGCTCAGTTGGGAGCTCTCTTGGAATCTTGGAATCGACATCCGGCTGTCTTAGGTTCTCGGCAAGCGGCAGCTCCATGATTAGCTTCCCCATATCAGAGCCTGGAGCCCCCTCTATGGACGCACTGAAGCGAATCCGGATCTTCCGGATCTACGAGTCGCTTGCAAGCGCCAGTCACCAAACGGCCCAGAATGCCGCAGCGGGTCACTTGCCCTGGTCGTCTTTATGGTGTGGGTAGCCTGTGCAGCGATTTTGGAAATGGCTTGGCCACTCTACTACTAGGGTACCACTTGGCCATTATCCAATTTCCACATAAACACAGACCTTTGGACACTGCAGTTGGGACTATTGGTCAGTCGTCACACTCCTACCCCCATCCTCCTCATCCTTCTCCGCCAGCTTGCATTTGGTGTAGAACGAGGTCAGATTGGGATTGTACTTGCAGCTTCCTTCCACTTTGGGGGTTTTCGATGTCAACTATTTCCGGATCAGCTCGTCGATTAAGCAAGAAGATTCGAATGAGTCCGTAGCCTTTGCGTTATGTTGTTTTGACTTTGGCGTTTTGCCACACTCTGGTACTATTGACCTTTCCTTGTTTCTTCTCACGGTCAATCTCGTATCTTCCTGTCCAGGCACATGATTGAGATCCCGTTCCCGAGGTGGTGTTGCATCACAACCTAGCCGAGATTGCCCTCGTTACTTTCCCCATGGGCTATACTCTGGCATGGTTTGGTAACCCGTAACCAGCTCGTCTTGCGGTTCCAAGACCAGGTTACGCATGCCGGGTTTCGGAAACAGTCAATCTATGCTTCGAGTGCAAGTCGAAGCGCTCGATGGTAGCTTTGCGACAAAACTGGCAGAGACCTCGGCAGCAGAGCCATACTCTCTATCTGTCGGTGGCTTAATAACAGTAGGAGGATAGAGGCGAGCGAGTTCAAAAATTGGACACTGCTCTCCTTTCGGAGTTCGCAAAGGCTCCGTTTACATACCGGCCTGGAACATGCCAGTGTATCAGCAAGTGTCGAAGCGGAAAGTCCAGACCAACTAATTAGGCAATTATCTTCAGTGCGTACATAGTTCTTCTCGGGGAGTACGTGAGGACCATGCTGGCGTCGATTGGTAAAAAGGGGAAATTTTCGAAGAGCAGTTCATATCAAAACGGGCCAATAGCCAGCCTTGCATCGCGCCGCCGTACCACAACCGCACTGGTCAGCTCCTGCATCTGATTTCCGAAAAACCATTGGCCTCAACATGATCAGTGTTCTATGCGTCTTTAACCCATGAGTCTCGCGCTTGTGCGAGCAGGTGGCTTGAAGTCCCTTGGCGCAAATACTTCCAATGAGAGCAGACGTCAGTGTAAGTCAAGCCGAGTGAGCCAGCTGTGCCACCACTCCTTTGCTCTATTATCCAGTCCTTATGGCACTACTCAAATAAGAAAGGTAACAGAGGTGTCTCGGAAACGCGAACCATGATAGGGGCTCGGGATCGTTGTGTCTTGTCCTAGCCGGAGCGACCACTTGTAGACACTCCAAACTATGTCAGAGTAGATGGATGCTAGACTGTTGAACCCCAGGGGCTTTCACGGGACTAGCAGCGATCAACAACGGCCGTTGGATCGGAGGGACTGTTGCGACATGGGCGGACGCGGCACGGGAATATCGGAGTCGGCAACGGAGGGGTACGGCGTTGCCCGGAGTGGATTAGTCAGTGGAGCCGGGGCACGTCATTGAGGGGAACCACACAGGAGCTTCGGCGAGATGACAACTATTTGACGACGGCGGCAAACCGTAATTCCTCACAAAGCCGCACCCCAACTACACGTTCCCGAGACCCGAAAACTTTAAAGTCTTCAGAAAATGGCTTCTAAAATGAGAGCAGTTGGTATGTCGCACCTGCATCGTATCCTCGACTGCCAATGGCTGACAAATACAACAGACATCAAGGATGGGAAGGGGCCCAAGGAGAGCCTCTTCATCAACGATGAGACGCCCAAGCCGATAGCGGGCAGCGGCGAGGCCCTGGTGAAGATCAAGGCCTTCGGGATAAACCGCATGGACCAGATCCAACGTCTTGGCATGTACCCGCTCCCGCCCCGGGCGCCCAAGACACTGGGAGTAGAGTTCAGTGGGACGATTGAGTCCTTCGGCGACGGCGAGCACGGGGATTTCAAAGTCGGGGACGAGGTCTTTGGCCTCGCGTACGGCGGTGCCTACGCCGAGTTCATCGCCGTCAACAGCAAGATGCTGCTGCACAAGCCGGACTTTCTGTCGTGGGAGCAGGCTGCCGGTATCCCCGAGGTAAATACCGCTTTGCTTTTCTTCTTCTTCTTCTTCTTCTTCTCCTTCTCCTTCTCCTTATCTCCTTAGTCTCTCGTGGAAAGCTCGTTGGCTGACGGGAAAAACAGACCTGGATCACGGCAACGCAGGCACTCTTCCTCGTGGGCGAGTTCTCTAAGGGCAAATCTGTACTCTGGCATGCCGGCGCCTCAGGCGTCTCCATCGCAGGCATCCAACTGTCCAAGGACGCCGGTGCGTCTGCCGTTTATGCAACAGCCGGGTCTAAGGAGAAGTGCGATTTTGTTGTCAGCGAGATCGGCGCCACCGCCGCCTTTAACTACAAGGAGGAGGACTGGGCTGAGAAGATCAAGGAGGCGACAGGCGGCAAAGGTGTCGACGTGATTATCGACTTCGTCGGCGGCAGCTACTTCCAGAAGAACCTCGATGTCGCAGGGCGGGACGCACGAATTGTTATGCTTGGCCTACTGGGCGGACCTAACATTGAAGGGGCTAATATTGGTCCGCTGTTGTACAAGAGGATCAGGCTCGAGGGCAGCACGTTGCGGAGCAGGGACGTCGAGTATCAGGGCAAGCTAAGGGATAGGCTGGAGGAGTACGTGCCGCACTTCAAGACGGGCAAGCTCAAGGTTGTCATTGATACAGTGCTGCCCTGGGAGAAGATCCAGGACGCTCATGGGCTGTTGGAGGCGAACAAGAACTCGGGAAAGATTATCTGTACGATCTCCTAGAGGGTATGGGGGCCCAGCTACATAAGGCAATCGAAACAACCTAGCGCACTTGGTTACACTGATGAGTTGGACATTCTTAGCTTGCCGAGAGGTGTGAGACACTCCTGTGCATGGCAGGTGAATGACATGGTTCTCTCACAGGCCAGCCGTTCCTCCGACGCCTTCGTCGTGCGCGTTCATCTCTCTGTAAAGGGTTCATACGCAGACGAGATTAAAGATTGCCGAAAAGGTTGGCTGGCAGTCCGATAGATCGATTCGACAATGACGAAGTGTGTGTGGTGGCGCTGCCATGGTCGAACGCGCTAGTTTGAGTATGATCAACGCCGTCTTCGACATGCCACCTCTCTAAGCGAAATGCGACGACATGGCTTGGAATCTTTCGCACTGCCACCGGAAGCCCATCCCATTCATTCTTGCTTTGAATGTGCGTGCGCAATAGCTGGATGGGGTTGCAAACATGTGATGGAATGTCGAGGGTCAATAGTACGAATACACGGGGGTAGGCGCACAGGAGGAGTTTTATAGTAGGGATATAATAGCCCTTGGACTGTAGAGGCAGCTGAACCAGAAAACTGGGATAATCGTAGGTTGCGATATGGACCTCCCTCCATGCCAGAAGCAGAGGCCGTTGATACCAAACACGCAAATATTCTCTCGCCACTGTTCTAGTGCTCCTTGATCCATTTCAGCATTTGCTCGTAAGCGGTGTTCTGAGCGTCCTTGATCGAACTGTCCTGATATTCGCCAACAACAGCGAAGCCTGAGGAATGGTTAGCAAATCAACGAAGCTGATCTGAAAACAACAGCCTTACCATGCGGCACGCCAGGGTAGACATGAACTTCGTGTTCCAAGTTCGCCTTGGACATGACGTCCTCACCGAATGTTCTGACCTCCTCAGGGAAGAGAGGATCGTTCTCAACACAGACGAGCGATATAGGCACCTTGATGCCGGTGAAGTCGTCGGGAATAACAGAGGCACCGTGTGCTATCGCACCAACCTTAATGAAAGGACCAGTTTTGACTTCACCAGCTTCGGCATCAGCAGGCTCCTGGCCTCCAGTCGCAACCTTCTTGTCGGAGCCCAGATGCAGAATGTAACGTCCCCCGATGCAATAACCGACAGCATAGATACCGTCTCCATTTTTGACCGCATCCCCAAACTTCTCCCTAGCACCCTCGATAACTTTGTAAAGAATTGGCAGGACCTTCTCTTCCGTGTGTCGCGCCAGCCACATGTCGATTTGGAAGCTTTTCGCCGTCTCGACGATTTTCATTTTAAAGGCGTCCAGGAACGACCCAGTATCCTCGCTGCTATCAATCGTGGAAGAGTTGGGTGCAGCGTCGCCGTTGAAGAGGTCAGGCATGATCACTACGAAGCCCTCGCTGGCGAACTTGTCGGCCTGAAGCTGATTGTTTACCGACTTCAGGCCTGTGCCTCCTGTTAACAGGAGCAGAAGCCTGGCTGGCGCATGAGGATAGTCGGCGGGTTTCGAAATGTATGTCTGCGCAAGGTCAACAAAATGCGATCCGGGACTGGTAGTTGTCAGGGAAGACAAGCAAAAGTCAAGTTACCTCCACGTCGTTGATCTTAATGATCTCGCCAGTCGAAGACTGGCCGGCCGCTGACGCAAGTTAGTATCGCGCAATCGGTCGGTGACTTCACAAGAGCACTCACGAGCTGGTCGATCCGACACGCAATGTTCACTGTGCTCTCCAGCGCCTCCCGTAGTCGTAGTAGGGCTGGTCGACTGGGCCGGCGTGTCGGCGGCGGAGGTGTTCTCGGTTACTGGCTCGGTGACACTTTCGGCGGCATCGCTCTCGGGAGCTTTGGTCGCAATGTCGAGCTGGGTCATCTTGGTGGGTGGAGTAAGGGCTTTTGTACAGATAGTACTGTGGTGCAGGGAAAAGAGCTGCGGGAGATGAGAGACTCGAGCGTAGTTGCAAGACGCGGCAGTGATGTTGAAGGTGAACCGAGGAATGCAACAGACGCTGTCAACCTAACTACTTGTCTCCCTTGGCGTGCGACGACGGAGTCCGTACTTCTGCCCTTAGGATCGGGCCTGTTTAGTGAGTACTGCGTACGGTACATGGAACTCTGTCAGGGATGACGTCTCAGCTCATGCTTGTAGCTGCCCCGCGAGCGATTGCCTGCTGCCGGTACGTACTGGGTCCCTCCCTCCACCCATACGCGTAGGTTCACCCACCTACCTCCCTTCGTAAAGTACCGCACACGACACGGACCCCTCAGTAGGCAGCCAGCTTACCTAAGAGCCCCTCATTCTTAATTGACCAGAACGCGGTCGACGCGTCTTTGCCATCTCGCACTTCGCGCAAGAACTTGCAGGAACCCTCTAAATCCTACCCAATTTCAGCCGACAGACTTGCACCAGATAACCACGCTTCCGCCTGATTTGAAATGGATGTCGAATCAAAGATCACGAAAGGTGCCTTGGAGTAAGTGCATTTTGTCAAAGTCTTCTGTTTCATCTTCTCTTACTAATTCCGCGTCTCCAGCGCCGTCTTCAACGATCCCGAAGGTGCCAACACGAAGTTTCCGGTCCCCGTTCTCCAGTGCCTGCAGATCAAGCCCTTGGCTGCGCAAGCAGGAGGTGGTGCCGAGAGATACCGTATCGTATTGAGTGATGTCAACAACTACGTCCAGTGCATGCTGGCCACGCAAGTGAACCATGTCGTTCACGAGAACAAGCTGGTCAGAAACTGCATCGTGCGAATCACTCAGTACCAGGCCAACTCTGTCAAGGGCAAAAAGTACGTGCTTTCTATTATCTGTTTAAAGCCATCGAACTTGAACTAACCATGTGCCAGTATCTTGATCATTCTTGGACTCGAGGTCATTGAGCAGCTGGGCACACCGGACAAGATTGGCGAGCCCCAACCCTTCGAAGCAAAGCCTCCACCTGCAGCAGCAAACACTACCATCGGCGGACAGAATTTCTACGGTGTTAAGCAAGAAGAGACAAAGCCCAAGCCCCAACAATCGATACCCTCTCGCTCTGCTGGAGGAGCGACCGGCCAACACGGAAGCAGCAACATCTACCCCATCGAAGCTCTCTCCCCCTACGCTCATAAATGGACCATCAAGGCTCGTGTCACACAAAAGTCTGACATTCGGACATGGCACAAGCCCAGTGGCGAAGGCAAGCTCTTCAGTGTGAACCTGCTTGATGAGAGTGGAGAGATCAAGGCAACCGGCTTCAACGAGCAGGTCGACCAGTACTACGATATGCTCCAGGAGGGAGGCGTTTACTATATCTCCAGCCCCTGCAAGGTCCAACTGGCCAAGAAGCAGTTCACAAACCTGCCGAACGACTACGAGCTCACTTTTGAGCGCGATACCGTGATCGAGAAGGCTGAGGATCAGAGTAGCGTGCCTCAGGTGCGGTTCAACTTCTGCAACATCCAAGAGCTTCAGGAGGTTGAGAAGGATGCGACTGTGGACATTATTGGTGTTCTTAAGGATGTTGATGAGGTGTCTCAAATCGTCTCCAAGTCGACAGGCAAGCCTTATGAAAAGCGTGAGCTCACACTGGTGGATGACACAAATTACTCTGTTCGTGTCACCATCTGGGGCAAGAGCGCCACTAACTTTGACGCCAAGCCCGAGTCTGTGGTGGCCTTCAAGGGTACCAAAGTATCAGACTTTGGTGGTCGTAGTCTCAGTCTGCTCTCTTCGGGCACGATGTCTATCGACCCAGATATTCCTGATGCTCACCGCTTGAAGGGTTGGTATGACTCATCTGGCCGCAACGATACGTTCAGCAGCCACAACAACATGGCTAGCATGGGCAACGCCACTGGTCGCAAGGACCAGGACAAGTCCATCCTCCAGGTGAAGGAGGAAAACCTCGGTATGGAGCAACAGGACTACTTCAACCTCAAGGCTACCATCGTCTACATCAAACAGGACAACTTCGCTTACCCTGCGTGCATGAACGAGGGTTGCAGCAAGAAGGTTACTGATATGGGCGATGGCACCTGGCGTTGCGAAAAGTGCGACGTGTCCCACCCCAAGCCTGAGTACCGTTACATCATGTCAGTCAACGTGTGCGATCACACCAACCAGCTGTGGCTCAGCTGCTTTGACGATGTTGGCCGCGTCGTTATGGGCATGTCGGCTGATCAGCTCATGGCCCTGCGGGAGGAGGACGAGACAAAGATGGCCCAGGCCTTCGAGGAAGCGAACTGCCGCAAGCTAAACTTCCGATGCCGCGCAAAGATGGACACCTTCGGCGAGTCACAGAGGTATGCCGCTTCATCTTTAGACTCTAGATTGTAATGAGGCTAACTTTGTCTTCCTAGAATACGCTATCAAGTCATGAGCGCAAGCCCGATCGACTACAAGGCCGAGGGAGCCAAGCTCGCGGAGCTCATCAAGCAGTTCGGCATCAGCTCGTAGAACAGTGGTGTACGTGTATTGTACGGGAAGAAAATAACCATATTGCCAGCGTGAAAGTCACGCTCACAGGTGGAGAATGAAAAGAAAAGGAAGGGATGGGGAGAGGTGGGTAGAATATGATGAGCTACGAGGCAAGAGACCGGCGGTCACACAAATGTCAAATGTTATACTTCAGCTGGAAAAGTACTAATGGCGGACGAGAACACCGTTCTTCTCTGATCTTCTATAGTTCCGAGTCGTACAAACTCGAGCTCGCCCTGATGTGATGCTAATGATGATGCCTCATTTCGGTAAGCATTTGATTTCCCTGTTGAGCCTAACCTCGTAACGCCGGCCTGATGCCACCACCTGTCGTCTCTCAAAGCCATGCTGAATGTAACAACCCTCGTGGCGTCCCAGTATCTACGTGCCCCCTCCCCCCCTTTCCCCCCCTCCTCATGTGTAGAGATTCACCTCGCTTTCTGTGTCTTCGTTACTTCGTGAAAATAAGGTACGGAGCCGTTGTCGGAAAATGTCGACATTTTCATCCAGAATAAGTCTGTGGATATTAGTTGAGCCAACACTGCGTCGTGACTCTTTCAGTCTTGCCGGAGACCAGACATGAGATCCTCATCCTCGATAGATGCATCGAAGCCAAGCTCGACGTTCTGGGATTGGCCACCATCCTTGTCCTGGCGCTTCTGCTCGCGAAGTATGTGCTTGGCGTAGTCCTTGGACGCTGCCAGACGAGCGTCGCTCACCTCAGTGAGCTTATCGAGCGTCTTAATGCGCGAGTTATCCTTGATCTTATTCTGGTATTCAGTGTACTCAATCTCCTTGTCGCTTGGGAGGAAAGTGAGGCACTTGGTACCATCAGGACTGGCCTCCAGTGACCCCTGGAGCATTCCGATATTGACCATCTCCTGTAGAAGCTCCTCAACTTCCCCATCGGTCTCAAGATTCCGGGCAGTTTCGGCGCTAAGTGTCTGCTGGCGGATCTCTGAGATGCTGATCTTGTGATACACATCGGCGAGACCAAGGATCTGCCATTTCTGGTAGGCCATGACGACTTCCTTAACGAGAGTAGTCGTCTGGTCAGTTACCCATGTCTCTGCCCCTTTTTCAATCCCGGCTTTGAGCTGTTCCACATTGGTGGTCGAGAAGTGAGCTGCCACATCCGCATAGGGCTTCGAAAGGGTTGCGTAGGACTTTTGGGCGCTTGGGCTGACTTGGGATGGGAGTGATGGTGCCTGGCCAAGGGCTAAGAGGCCGGTAAGGATCCACCGCTTGTGCGAGTCGGTCATCAACTTGCTCACGGAAGACTCTCTTGAGGGCCAAGTGACGATTCTCTGATATGCATTATGCGCGTTCGCCCATTTCTTCTTGGCCGTGAAGATCATGGCAGAAACATATTCGTGCTCCATCACATTTTCGCGGGTTAGATGCTCTGTCAGTTGTGTGGATGGGCTAATGTAGGCGGCTGGTGAAGCCGTCAGATCACAAAGATACTTTGCACGAGCCTGATCTTTCATGCCCGGGAGAAACACCCAAGGTCTCTCAATAATCGGCAGAATTTCGTCCCAGTTCGCCGTCTCATAAGCTAGCTTGACCACGGCGAGGTGGAGGCTCGTGAGCATAGCGGAGTCCGGGTCAAGTCGCTTTAAGGCAGCAACAACGAGGTCAATCGACTGACGCGCCTATCACCCAGAAGAGCATCGTTAGTAAAACGACGTATGGCTGATCGCAAGAAGCATCTTACCGGGAAGAGCTTGCATTCCACGATATCCTTGACCAAGTCGTAGAAGACGTCACCGACGTAGCGGATCTGCCGAGCGTCGTATGACAGCAAGAAACGAGCGACATGCTCGCGGAAGTTATCGACTGATATCGGAAAGGAAGCCTCGTCGATGTGCTTGAGCGTGTTCAGAATCGCGAGGTGCGAGATCGAGTGTCTGTCGGGTTTGACAATCTGCAGAACCCCAGTTAGCAACATGAAATGGCCAACTGTAGGGGACAGCGACGACGGACCTGGAGCAGTTGCGGGGCGTTGGCAACAATAGCAGACGCCTGGTCCTTAAACAAGCGGGTAATCTTTGTTATGTGATTCTTGACGGTCTTGTCGTAGAAATCGTCGGAGGGATAGTTGTCGTGCTCGAAGTAGAGGAGCGCCTCTTCCATTTTGACAGCGATCGGGGCACCTAGCCGAAGCAATAGAGACGTTGAGAGGGATGCGGCGAGCTTGCGCTCCGACAGATCTATGGGCAGACACAGAGCGCAGAATTAGGATAACGCGACTTTGGCCGAGGGCTTTCAGTGTGGACAAGGGGGAGAGGGTGATACGAGGCGATTTCGGTCGAGGGCTAACCAGGGAATCGCAAATCCAAGACGCACTTCAGGATGATTGTAGGCAGCCTCAATACGAAGCTTAGGTCGCCAGTAGGAGAGAGGTACCCACGAAGGTTGACAGATACCATTGCTGCTCCATTGTGGTGGTGGGGTTGAATTGGCCCGTGCACTACAATCAGTATGTTTCGATTCGCCTAATCCTCGGTTGATTGTCTCTGCTCTGGCCTTTGGGCAGTGCCCCCTCATGCAAGCTCTCGTCCTCAATGCTTCTTGCTATATACGTCTTGTCCCTATCCCTTCCTATATCTTTCACAATATCACCTAGCTACTGTGATCTTGTAGTATCGCTTGGAAGTAAAAAAAAATGGTGAGATGAAGGAATAATGTCATTTGACGTATCAACTGAGAGACAAACATAGGCGAAGCAGGAACTGACATAACTCGATAAATAGTCAAGAGAGAATTCAACCAATAGGTAATCAATAGTTTAAATGCGTATCATGGTTATGTACTAGGGCGATGTTCTTTCACACAAAATTGTTACTTCTTAGGTTTATTATGGATTAGGACTTGGTTATAACCAGCAACTATTGTCGTCGATTTGTTAGAGTCTACATACGGATAGCCTTAGAGTCATTGTTTCTCGCTCGCTGTCCTAGTTTCAGAGGAATTTGGGGAACCTGGCCCGTTACCCCGCCCCCACCATGGATACTCGAAAAACATTTCGCGATAGGGATCCAGACTCGTTCAACCATCACGACGACTGACCCGAAAATATCGAGCGAAATTCAGCAGTACGTTGATTCTGACCCCAGAATGACAGGATTTTGATCGGCTGCCAGTTCTGCGTTTTCTGATCCTGAACATAGAATTCCTTTTCAATTCAAATTTCACTAGCTGTTCGTCAGACTCGCTATCTGCAATGCCTCTCCCTGACACCGTTGAGCTGCCCGCTGGCTTCGACGCCCACGTCCACCTACGTGATGGCGACATGTGCAAGGTTTGTCGACGCGTAGCATTCCGACCAAAACTTGAGCCCGTTGACTGATCTGTTCTCGCAGATCGTTGCCCCGACTGTCCGCCAGGGCGGAGTGAACCAGGTAAGCCGCATCGTAAATAACACTTAAAAGCATCACTAACACCTCCGCAGGCCCTTATCATGCCCAACCTGGCACCCACCCCCGTGACTACCGTCAAGATGGCCCTGGACTACTCCGCACGCATCAAGCAGGCCATGGGCAAGGACGAAGTCGACCTGCTTATGACCCTCTACCTCCACCCGGATGTCACCCCTGAGACCATTAAAGAAGCGAAGAAGGCCGGTGTTGCCGCCGTCAAGAGGTTTATTGCACCATTAGGCACTCTCGACTACCATTTTGCTCGAACCTCCGCCTCTAACCCGTACTTAGTTATCCCGCTGGCGTCACGACCAACAGCTCCGCCGGCGTCGTGGACTACGACGCCTTCCACGAGGTCTTCAAGGCCATGGAGGAGGTCGACCTCATCCTCTGCCTTCACGGCGAGTGCCCGTCCCACGCTGGCAGCGACATCACAACTCTCAATGCCGAGTCCAAGGTGAGCAGATGGTCCCGGAAGTGTGTTTCTTCTAGACATGTTCACTAACAGCCCTACCCCTACCCCAGTTCCTTCCCACTCTCAAGGCACTTCATGCCAAGTACCCTAAGCTCAGGATCAGTAAGCCAGACTCACTGCTGTTCCCGAGAAGGGTTTGGCTGATACTTTTCTAGTTCTCGAGCATTGCACAACCGCCGAGGCTGTTGAGGCTGTCAAGTCATGGTAAGCCCAAAAAGCCCAACTCGAGGCGAGCTTGGAACTAACGGTAACTCCAGCGGCCCCAACGTCTCTGGGACGATCACATGGTATGCTTCCTGCACCAAGACTCCAGCAAGATATTGATGCCCACTTAACAGCCACCACCTCTTCATCACCATCGACGATGTCGTCGGAGACGCGGTATGACCGAAGATATCCCTGTTAACCAGATTCCATGAGACTAATATCAGCACCTTACAGCTGAACTTCTGCAAGCCCGTTGCCAAGGTGAGACTCGTGCAGCTCTGTGAAGGGTACCCCGTCTCCCCATTTCAGAACACGAACTGAACATCCACTACAGCTCCCCGCCGACCGCAAAGCCCTACTCAACGCCGTCGTCCACAGCAACGGCAAGTTCTTCCTCGGCACCGACTCGGCCCCGCACCCCATCACCTCCAAGACGGGCCCATCCAAGGCCGCCGCTGGCGTCTTCACCCAGCCCTACGCCGTGCAGTACCTCCTCGCGGCCCTCGACGAGGCCGTCGCTCGCGGCGAACTCCGCGACGAGGACATCACCCAGGAGCGCCTTGAGGGCTTCGTCAGCGGCTACGGCCGCAAGTTCTACGGTACTGAGGATGTCCGAAAGGAGCGCGTCCGCCTCACACGCGGTGGCGCTGTTGTCAACCAGATGTTCGAGGGCACGGGTATTCAGGTCGTGCCTTTCCGTGCGGGCAAGGAGACTTGGAGCCTGGAGTGGCTATAGGTCTTGATGAGGGGAACCACAACCCCCCCCCCCCCCAATGGAAGGCAAGTAATAGGTGGTGGCATTTCAGCACAATGTTTGTGTTCGATTTGATATTCATAGGCCTCCCCACCATTGCTGGCTCGTGCCTTCTATAATCAATACTATCTCTCAAACTAGAAAAGTTGAATGAATGCCCTACCGATACCCCCAGTCTCATACCTCGTATCTCATTCCTTCTTCAAAGTACCCGTACCAAACACCCCCCTCAGTGGATCCTGTGCCACACATTGACTCTAGTACTACTCGTAAGTGAGATTGCCAGCCTTCTCGCCGATGTTCATGTCCAGGGAGCTCAGCAGCGCGAGATTGGTGGCTGCGTTGAACTTGCTCATGTTCTGATGGCACATCTGGCTCTGGCCGGGTGTTTGCTTCGAAGGCGGACCAATCGGGCCCCAGACGCAGGAGGGAGTAGGGGAGTCGGCCTTCTGCTGGTACGAAGAACGTGGTTCTGCCTCTCATGTTAGCTTGGAGGCTCCAATACGGGACGTTCACAACAACTACCAGCAGAGGGTCTGTATCCTGCAGTCTGTCTTGGGGATGACACTGAACCCATCTGTCCTTGAGGCTCAAGCTTGACTCCCTCGACCCTGCGCCAAGACTGCGAGGCTCTCGCCAGACCAATGTAACCCTTTTCACTCTTGATGGGCGAAACGAGACCACTTTGTGGTTGTTGTCGAGCATCAGAGAATGTTGCAGAACCGTTAGGCTCCAGGAGTGTTTGCGACTGCTGCCGCTGCAACTCGGCCTGCTGCTTCTTCCACCATGCCGGCAGTCCATGAAACAGGCCCAAAGAGTTCTGTGTCGCCTTGTCGAGCGGCATCTCGTGCTTGTACTTGCAGCCCTGCTGCGTAAAGGCGCAAACGCCCTCGTGAACCCATTTGTCGCAATAGATCTTGGGTCTCTTTGGCGGCGTGGGAGAGGAAGCTACAATGTGATCGATTCTTCTCTAGTGTCACAAATATTATTGTCAGTGCAAAACACCTAGTTGTGCGGATAGAAAAGCATGATGGAGCAAGGGGTTGAAAGGAACTCGGTGAGCATTACCTGAAGAGCATCAGATACTGGTGCCGGTGATGGTGGAGGGGTCTGATGCGTTCAGCGCCAACGATCTGGTGCTTGACAAGATATGGCAAGGACGAAGGAAACGCGCATACCTTGAAAGCAACTGGCTGGAGAGGATTTCCAGACAGACTATGAGGCTCTGATCCCCGAGGGAGTGGAAGAACAAGCATACCATCAACACCGGTCTGTACAGCTGGAATGCCAGCTAGGGGCGGAAGCAAGTCGGCCGGGATGAGTCGGGTGAAGTTACCGTTGCCGCGATCCAAGCAGTAGGCGTAGAAGCCCGTCGTGTCCACACCTGTATCCCTGCTCGCCTGACGCTCCGACATTTGCGGTTCCATCATCAGATATTCGGGGCCGTTGTCCGAGTTGAAGGAGTGATAGTGTCCTTGGGCGTGATTTCGACCAGCTCCCACACCATAGCCTCCCCGCCAGTTTGAGGCATCAACCCGGCGAGGCGTCATGCAGTTGGTCTCCTCGATGTAGTAGTTGGAAGGCCGGAACATCGTGTGTGGGTTCTTGTAGTGGCCTTGTTGAGCATCCATGTGGAGAGACCGAGGGTTACCGCTTATTCCCAGGCAAGGGAAGGCGAGAGACACGGCAGAGTCGAAATCAGGCGTGGTGTTTCGTGTAGAGCTCCGGGAGCCAACTGGAGAATACGATTTGTCGGATGAGGAATGGTTCAAGTTCGATTCCATCCTGTCACAACAAGTGTGAAGAAGAACGAGAGAAGCAGAGAGAGCAGCGGCAACTGTGGCTGTGGAAGAAGGAGAAAAGTCAGAAAAGGTCAGGGCACGGAAGATAAATGAAGGATTTGGCCACCTTGCAAACGGTGAGGGAGGTCAGCGCTCTTTAACTGCCTACCCCCAATGCCGTTGACCGTGATGATTACCTCCTGCGCATCAAAATGTGCCTCCTCTCTGCCTCAAAGACAACTTTGACGCCGCCCGCTGAGTGCAAGATGGATGGGGATTGCAGACCAAGGCGCCAAAGACTCAGATATGAGACCCTGATGCCTTGGACGCGAAGGTCTAAGCAATAGAAGCTCGGGTAAGGGGGGGGAAGTTAGTCGTTGCTATCGTCGTTTGCTCGACCGAAATAATAAGATCCGCCCAGCGGCATTCACGCGGTTAGCTGCAGTTGGTTTTGTACCCCAGCACGTGACAAACAGCTGTCATCTACGGTTGAACAAGTCCAACAGAACATATCTATGTGGCCTGCTTCAAGGAGATTCATACTAGAGCAAAGTTGGTCTGGTGTATTGTCCTGTCCGTTGTCTGTAGGTCTCATATTCTATGCCAATCGCGCATGTATCAGTATCAACCAGAGGACCAGCCGAGATCCTGTCTCGCCGCCCGAATGATGGTCTCCCTTCCGATGATACCAAATCCAGAAGAAGCATGTATTCCATTGTCCTCCCGGTAGTCTCCTAGTAACCTCAGATATAGAGGTCCCTGTCGCTAATTTCTCTGTATAGCAAATATGCCACTGTCTGTACTCCTTTGGCTTATCTTCTGCTTTCGAAGAACCTCCCTCGCTCTGGCCATGATGTTTAGCCTCTGAATCAATCTTTTTTCAGCAGCGGGTCTCCTTGCGGTCGATGGCAAGTGCTTCAAATGATCCAGAGCCAAGCGTATCTGAGCTTGAGTAACATATTCCGGGCAAGGACCTGGTATATGCTGCAAGCTGCACTTTGTACATATAGGTGCATCAGGATGCATCTGTGACAAACCGAATGAATGACCTGACGCTGTCTTTGGCCCATCTGCGCTGACCGATGGACGTGCTGTGGGTAAGACTGACTGCTGCTGCTCAACTATACGACTACCTTCATAAGCTGTGGCTATAGAATAGTCAGGTGGTACGGTCGTATTGCGCAAACTATCCAGCCAAGCCACGTCAGATTTCAGGGGTTGATCACCACGACTTGCTTGCCCAGGGTTGGAGTACGGGTAATTTGGAGTTCCTGGCTGCTGGGCGTGAGAGTTGGCGATGGGCTGAACAAAGATGTTGCCACCTAGGGCTTCTCTGCTGCCATAGGCTGGTCCGACGCCTGCGGCTTGGCCATTTTGCTCCGAGTTAAGTCTCCATTTGTGGATGCCTTTACGGGAACCTGTTTTTGCGACTTTTTCCCGAGAGGTGGCTGCATTTGCGGTGCTGCTCTTCGTGGAGTCGCTGGTTTGGCCTTGTTGGATGGCACGTTGCTCTTTAGAGGCTTCCGGTGACGTGGTTTCTGTGGTGTAGAGCTGTTAACTTGCTGTTTCTTACTGGCACTGGTTGTCCTTCGAGTGGTAGCAGCAGATTTGCCTTTACCTTTGGAATTGTTCCACATGGTTCTATCATCCGCGTCAGTATCTGGCTCCTCTTCATCCTCACCAACAAATTCCCCGTCATTATCAGAGCTGTCGCTGTTATCAGCCGCGAACTCGGCAGCGACACCGCCACCACTATTAGTCTTGTAGTTGATTGTCTAGAATACAGTTAGTAGGCTTGGCGAAACCACCGGACTTGGGTCTACCTATTTACCCGACGGCGCCGATTACCGCGGCCAAGAACCTCCTTGTTTAGCTCTGCGATACGCTTGGCTTCAGCCTCGCGCTCTGCCAGAATCTCCTCCCATACGTTCGGATTAACTGTAGGTTCGTTCTCTTCAGCCAAGGTGTCTTCGAATCCAGCCTTGTCGTTGGCCCAGACCCGTGCGAAGGAAAACTGTGATTCGGCGGACTCATCATTGCCGGTCTTCGTTTGCTCGATATCAGACCGATCGAGAAGCTTGTCGACACTTGCGTCGTCGTAGCGGACGATGTCCTTGTCGTTCTGGTCGTCACTGAAAAGCGCAGACGCTCCAAACTTCAAGATCGACTCCAGGTCGTCCGGTTCGCCTTCTTCGTCCATGGCCTCAATTAGCACGTGGTCAAGAGCCATCTTCTTCCGGCCAATCTGCATAATCTTCTCTTCAGCCGAGTTCTTCGTCATCAGCTGGAAGCAAAGAACTTTGTTCTTTTGTCCAATTCGATGAGCTCGCGAAATGGCCTGAATGTCCTGGTGGGGGTTAAAGTCTGGGTCCAGGATAATAACCGTGTCCGCTGTTGCTAGGTTGATACCTACGCCCCCTGCCCTCGTTGAGAGGAGGAACGCAAAGATCTCAGAACCTGGCTCATTAAAGGCATCAATGTGCTTCTGCTTTTCCAGACTGTTGATTTTGCCGTCAAGGCGTCTGTGCTGAAAGCCAAGTCCATTCAGAAAGTCTTCCATGATGTCCAATTGATCCAGGAACTGGCTGAAAATAAGAACTCGATGGCCTCTTTCCTTCAACTTAGGCAGCATGATATTCAGAAGCATAAGCTTTCCTGATGCCGAAATGAGATTTTGGTGTATCTTGACAGGGTCCAGTGATCGCTCCTCGACTGCTTCGCTGTACATGAACGGATGGCAAAGGCACTTTCTGAGCTGCATAAGAATGTTGTTCAGGCTGCCACGGTCCCTCTTATTGATCTTGTCATCTGCAAATATGGCCTTGATTAGATCGGGACTTTTGGCGATAATCGACTTGCAAAGCTTCTCCTGCAAGATTGACATAGAGACAGGAACAATGATTTGTGCCATAGGAGGTAGAAACTTCAGAACCTGGGCTTTCGTTCTCCGAAGGAAGTATTGCTTGATTCGACTATGCAGCTCAGGCAGGTTTTGTCCATTCAGCTCATTAAACTCCTCGTCGAGTTTCTCTGCGTTCTGAGTCGGGTCAACGAACTGCAGTAAGTTGAAAAGTTCTCGCTTGTTGTTCTGCAGAGGTGTACCCGTCAAGAGAAGCCTGAAAGGAAAACGCATGGAGCGTAACGCCGTGTACAGAAGGCTCTTGTCATTCTTCAGTCGCTGGCCTTCGTCAACGACCAAGCCAGCCCACTGAACTGAGCTGAACTTGTGTTTCGTCCGGTCGTCCTGGGCAGAGTCATACGACATGACTACTACATGGGCCTTAATGTTGTGAGAGCGATTTGGGAAAAGCTCAAACTCATATGCCAGGTCCTGTGCCTGCTTGCCGCCGTGGTAAGTGACAACCCGGAGATCTGGAGCCCATTGTTTGATTTCGCGCCGCCAGTTTGGACAAGTAGAATTTGGGACAACAATAAGGAACGGCCAGCACTATATATATACAAGTTAGTACACTGAATGTCGTCAAGTACCTATAGCAAGTACATACCTTTGGTTCGCTATGGACGAGAGTTGAAATCAAGCCGACGACTTGCACCGTCTTTCCTAAGCCCATTTCATCGGCAAGAATGACGTTCTTGCTTTCATGGTAGTTCCATAAGATCCAGTTGACACCTTCAATCTGGTAGTCCATCAGTTTACCTCGACGGAGACCGGGAGGTTGATGGTCCAATTTGACGAATGGCTGATCCTTCCAATTGTTCACCCGCTCCTTCATCTTGGCACTAGGAGGGCTGTTAAAATACTTGCCAGTGAGGTAGTCGTAGTAAGCAGCCTTGAAAGCGCTGTAGAATTCTCCAGAATCCGATTTTGGCGGGGAATCCCAGACCGTCTCATCATATCCAAGACCTTGGAATTTGACGTAGATCTTGTCGACATTGCCAATGCGGTCCATTTCATCCTCTAAACCCCCCCTTACTGTGTCTTTCACCTTGGCTTGAAAGATGATATCCACAAGAAGGTACTCCTGAGGTATTGCCTCGGCTTTAGTCAACTTCAGTGACAAATTTTGATTCGCATCCTTCTTCGCAAATGAGGTGCGCATTACTCCTGCAGCGATGTGGAAGATCCAAGCTCCCGGCATCCAGCTGCAGTAAAAGTAGGATTTGCCTTGCCATTTAACAAGGTACTCTTTCTCATCCTCCCTGAAATCACTGTATGTCTTTCCAGCGTTGAGAGACTTCTCTTTGGCAGGCCGCCAGGCCACCAATGTCTGGATCTTGTCGGATATTGTGCCGCAGTCAAGGCACTTCCAGTCAATGGAGTACTCCGAGAGACGTTGTTGACGAATGTCAGATACGTCTGAGTCCATCTCAGACGAAGGCAGATGCTCATAGTGCCAGCCACGTTTGCACATAGTGCACCGGAAAAGCAGATTGTCTGCATTGTTGACCAAGGCAGGGTCCACAGGTGTAATGGGATCTTCGCCACCATTCTCGAGACGGATCTTCTCTTCTTGCTTCGCAGTTCTTTTTGGCGAGAATGCGGCGCACGAGCGTCCGACGCCTTTGCACTGTTGACAATGATCGTGCCGGGGACTATTTTTGTCCTTCTTCTCGTAGAATCTAATGCAGTACTTGCACTGGAGAACGAAATCGTCATGGCCAACCTTGGTAACGATGTGCTCTCTTGCCGATCTGTATCCGATACAGCCTTTGTGGAACGACATAGAGCACCCTTGGCATCCAATCATTGGACCCCTATTGACATTAGGACCGGCATTGCAGGACCCGCAGAGGTTGGAGTGAAATTGATGGAAAGGTAACTTTCGGTCGACTGGCTTGAAAACTTCCTTGATGTTGGCGATCCTGGGCGCATTTACTGGTGCTGTGTCTTCAATATAAAATGATTCTTCGTCCATCAGTGCTTCGTCGAACATATTGGACTTGTTTCTCGTCGATCTGCCAGACCGGCGACGATCCTCGAACTCGATTGATGAGCCTCGTGATTTAGGTCTCTGGGTGACCTTGGCTTTCACTTTGAGACGCCTAGACTTTTTGCGCCGAGACGAAAAAGACTTCGGCAAGAGGTCCGACGTGATGATCTGAAAGTCATCATCGTCATCGGATTGATGGCGAGGGGGGTTTTGGGACAGCTCGTCCATATCGTCATCGCGATTTAAGGGTAAATTAGCGAAAGCCATGGTCGTCAGCTTGAGCTGCTTTTGAGTGCGTTGTCTCAGTTGTCGACCTTGCGGTTGGGGTTCGCCCTCATGATCGTTGTCCGAGATAACCCGCGAGCTGTAACGGGTGTTTCGTCTCGGCAGTGTACGTTGACGTTTAGGGCGACGATGCCCAACATCCTCATCAGAGTCCATGATGTAATTCTGGAGGGTTCGGCGCCGAGTTGAGATACGTTGGCGGCTAGAGTGGCGGGGAGAATTGTCCCCGTCAAGCGTTATATCGATATCGGTGTCAGAGTCGGCAACCGACTCATCCCAATCCTCCTGCCAGGACCTCTTTCTAACTCGGCTATCACCAGCGATGCTCAATCCGTTATCAGCCATGCTGTTGTTGAATCTCAAAAGAGCGAGCTGACCGTTTTCGTATGAAGGTAAATCCTCAAACGGTATCTTAAGCTGTTAGTAGATGCTCTTAGGATATTGTGAATGAGTACTGAAGATTGGTCTCATTTTTGCTTGGCCAGAAAAAGTAAGTTGGGAAAGATAGGAAAGCATGCAAGGCAGGCGCAAGGGAAACAGCGTCCGAACCAGCCAGTAACCAACTGCAAGCAAGCAAGCTAGCTAAGCCAGAAGCATCAAATCTCGGATACCCCAGATGTGAGCAGCTGCAAAAAATGAAAGATGGCTACAATTGTAGAATAGGAGGCTGGCAATGACGGTAGGAGTAACAAGGCAGATGAGGGGAAAAGACAGAGAGATACCTCGCTACGAGAAGTTGACGCAGGAGAGGCAAATTAAGATAGAAATTGCGATAGGTAGTTCCGAAGTGTCAGGGAAAGGTTATTTAGTAATCAAGAGATATCGGTAGAGAGACTCAACACAGAGCACCCATCAAAGGAAAGAGCAAAGGGGAGAAACTTGATATTCAGGAATAGAAGAAAACACTTACGATATCCTGCCGGCCATCTGTGAACTCCGCCTTGTACCACACTTCGCCTTTAGGGCCTGCGACCTTTTCGACGACCTCATCAACGACGTCGCTCGAAATTGAGACATACTGTGCGCGCTCTTCTGGCGACAAGTAGGGGAGAATAATTTCGAATTCGCAAGTAGGCCAATCGGATCTCTGCAGCTCGGTATCTTGTGTCTCGGGGGTATCTGCTGATATGGTGGCCGGCGCGGCTTCTGGGACCGTACATGCCTCGTCGACTTCAACGGATGGGATTTGCTCGTCATTGTCGATATCCATTTCCTTCGAAGTCCGCACGTTTTCGTCCGTCATGGTCTCGTCGGCGACAGTACTGTCAGCCGTGGTTTCGCTGGCCAACCATTTGTCTGTTGTAATACCGGTGAGGTTTTCGTGGGAAATATTGTCGCCGATATCAATCTCGTCGGGTTCGTTGGAGGCAATGAGGTCAGACTTGTCGAGTCCAAAAGGTACGTCGCTTGGAGAGCCCGTTAGCGACTGGAAAATCGCGTCGCCGTCGCCGGGCGGAACGTCCCCCATGATGCGACAGGTTGCGACGTTATAGCACTGAATAATCGGGCAGTACGAGGGGCGGGTGGGAGTTGCTTGCCCGTGACGCAACTGAAAAAAAACAAAAGAAAGAGACGAGTAGAAAATCCAAATCCAAAACAACTAAGCCGGCTGTCGTAGGTGGAATTTCGCAAGTCATGGGTTACTGGGTAGGTAATTAGACTATGAGTCCAACGCGACGAGTTGATCGGAACCGCGTTGCTCCGAGCGCGCACATTCAGTTGTATGTACCCGCTTAAGGAAGGAGCAGGAGCCACTGTGCCGGGAAAGAGTTGTCCACCCCGCCATTTCGCCCAATCAAAGACCAGTGGCTACTGCAAGAGAGCTTTACCGCTCAGACCCTGCTTAGGAGGAAAGTGGCAGAAAAAAAAACGTCGGCAGCCAAGAACTTAGAGACGCCTAGAACGTTTCTCTATGTTGTAGCCGAACAATAACATCGACAACTGGGCCCATCCCATTTACGCAATGCAATGAGTCTTCTTTCCAGATGGAGCACTTTCGGCCCATTAAAAACACCGCAAAGAGCAACTCTCCTCGCCCGAAGCCCACTGCTCTCTAGGCACGCGCGCAATGCCTCGCTCTCTGCGATTCACCGCGGAATATGGCGTTCTGACAAGGGGCCTCGCAACGATCGTACGAGAAGGCCTGGCTCTCGATCGCGTCTGACAGATTCTCGCGGCCGAAGTCGACCCGGAGATGCAGCCGAATCCAAGCCAGATGCTTTTAGCCAACGATTTTCAGGTGCCGTCGGCGGCCACCGAGACGGCCCCCGGGATCGCGAGCCGCGCCAGCACTTCAAGCCGAAGAAGGCCTTCCAGAAAATGCAGGAGATGGAGGAAGAAGGAGGCAGGAAATCGCGGAGCAAACGGTTCAACGACCCCGAGTTTTCCTTTGGGAAGAAGAGTCTGGTGTACCAGCTCAACCGAGGCGAGTTGAAGGATAAGGTGTCGAAGCTATTGGAGAAGAAGGAAACACCCGATGAGGATCCGCCGAGGTCATCTTTTCAGTCTGATCGTCAGAATGACCGTCGGAATGATCGTCCGCATGACCGCCAACCTGGCCATCGTCAGGATCGCTATCAAGACCGTCAACACGATCGTTCAACACAGAGACCCGGGTTCACACAGTACGGGATGAGATCCATGAGGGATGCGGCGCGCAGAGAAGTTGAGGGTGGGGAAGCCCCTCGGCGGCGGTACGACTCACGAAGGTCTGAAGACGATGATTCTTATGCGAAGAGGTCATCGGACTTCCCGGTTTCGGTCCAGTATACCACTGCTGCGTCGCAATTTCTCTTTGGTCGTTCCGTGGTGAAAGCGGCACTGAAAAATTCGAAACGCAAGCTCTACCGTCTCTATGTCTACCAGGGCAGCAATAAAAACACCACCAAAGACGATGACTGGATTCTGGCCTCGGCGGAGAAGAAAAACATCAAGGTCACTCGCATCTACGAAAACGACCAGAAGCTGCTCGACAAGATGAGCAAAGGTCGACCGCATAATGGCTTGGTCATCGAGGCGTCGCCTCTGCCACAGCTGCCTTTGACGGGGCTCGGCGCAGAGTCGAGTGAGTTGAGGGGCTACCCCGTCCATGTGGCTCGTCAGTCCAAAGAGGAAAGCGAGATCAATGGCACCGAGGGCTTCATCCCTTGCCGGCCTGGATCCCCTAAACCGCTTGTGCTCCTTTTGAACGAGATCTTGGATCCCGGTAACCTGGGCGCTATTCTTCGAACCGCCCGATTCCTTGGTGTTTCGGCAGTGGCTATCACGCAGAGGACATCGTCGGCCATCACCCCCACGGTGTTGAAGGCGGCAGCGGGAGCTGCCGAGGAACTGAGACTTTTCTCGGTTGAGGACCCCGTCGCATTCCTGGACGCTTCTCAAAAGGCCGGGTGGGCTTCGTATGCAGCCGTCGCACCAACAGCCGGTCTGCGCAACGACAGTCGCCAATGGACCCCTGAAGGCATTGAAGACGCCAAGCCTCTCACCAAAGAACCGACCATCTTGATCCTCGGAAACGAAGGCAGTGGTCTGCCTTACGATATCAGAAAGAAGGCATCTCGCGAGATCACGATCCCACGCATGGTCATGTCGAGCTCAGTAGATAGCCTGAATGTCAGCGTGGCTACCGCGCTGCTCTGCAACTCGTTCCTGAGAGGAGTTCAGCAGCCCCTGACACTCACTGAGAAGCTACGGAAGGATGCTCGCAAGGCAGATGGCGGAGAGAGTCTGTTTTGATAAGGGGGTATGTAATAACTTGTACCATATTTGTACGACTACCTGTAAACGATCATCTAGAGTGTATAGTGTTATCCTGGCAATCTGAGTGCGCAAAGCGCAAATCATCTTCTCCGCAAACACTGCCAGCGAGAGAAACGCCAGGCACTCAAAAGGTGCACAAGCCCGCGAAAGGTCCTGTGCCATGTTCGAGCTTCCGCAACGCATGAGATCGGCGAAAGCGACCCATCAGGCGCAGATTGGTTGCCCAGGTGGCGCTGCCCCCAAAAAAGGCTACCCGTCGACCCCCTGCAAAGGTTTACATACAGCCGAACCCCCTGACAGCGCCAAGGTCTGTGTTTCTCCCGCGGGCTTCTCGGATAGTCGCCGGCCCGCCTGGGCCCTTTGAGATCTTCTTAGCAACTGTCAACAAGCTCCAGCTCCCTAAAGGATCCCTGATCTACACTACCTACCTAGTTGGTACGTACCCAACCAGACAGGCGGGACTGGGTGGTACAGTGGGGTGCCACAAGTCTCCTGACACCCTACCTACTGACGTGTTATAACGCGTCTTCCTAAATACACCTCTATTTCTTATTTCTTCTATAACTTAAGTAAATTATAGCTAATTTATAAGCCTTTTACTTTTAGCTATTAGGAGATTACAGGCCTAACTATAAGCTATCTAGGGATTAGCGTATAGTAATTATAGCCTTTATATTAAGTAGTAAAAGTTACTATAAGACTACTACCTTCTTTAACTACTCTTACTAAATAGTTACTAATACACTTTAATAATACTAAAAAGACTAAACCCTTAAGGTAGTACCTTAAAAAAGAAAGCTAAAAAAACTATCTTATACTTAAAAATAAGCTATAACTAAGTTAGTAAAAATTAACTATTAGTATATATACTAATAGCTTTTAAATAAATATAATAATATTATAAGTATATAAACCCTTAAGTAAGTTTTTTAAAGTAATAACTATTATAAATAAAAAGTAATAAAAAAGCTTTTTATTATAAAAAAAGTAGCTACTTTTTAGCTTTAATTTATATATATATAGCTTTAGAATATTAAGGAGTTAATAATAGTATTCTTACTTATAAACTTAGCTTTTCTTAAAGTCTTTAAGCTAATTTTATTAACTAAGTTTTAGTTTTTAAATAAGTCCTCTTATTAAAATAATATAAATAATCTAACTACTTAGGTATTTAAATTACCTTATAAATAGTAAAAAAAAAAGTTTATTAACCTTATAGCTTATATTAAGGCTAATATCTTAATTATAGTATAAGTAATAGTATAAGAGAATAGTTAAAGTAAGCTAGTTTTCTTAAAGAGAGATAACACTATAAAGAAAAAGAAATATAACTTAAATAGCTATATTTAATACCTAAAAGAAAAGTATTTACCTAACTATAATAAAATAAGGTATTTTATTTAAAATAATACCCTTATTTATAGCTTATATATAACTACTATATAGCTCTTAAATAAAGTAGTATTATAACTAAAATAGCTACCTTACTTACTTAACCTTAACCTTATTAAGTACTATTAGTAAATAATAAAGTTTAACCTTAAAAGACTATACTTAGAAGTATTTTTTCTTAAGAATAACTAATTAGATATAAGGTTATTTAAGGAGAAAATTAAGGAGGTATAAGATATAATCTTATAAAAAAAGATTAAGGTACTAATTTAGTTTTTACTATAGCGCTTAAAGGTAGTAATAAAAGTATAAGGTTAGTATATATAATATTAAAGAGTAAACTCTAGGCTTTAATTTAACTATAGTTTTACTATATAATTCTAAAAATTTATAGTTTACTAGCTAGATTAAGTGATAGGGTGAAAATGCTAGGTAGCTAGGAAAGTGGGCTGTTAGGAGACTTCTGGCACCCCACTGTACGTACGGATACCTAGGTAGTCAGTCAGCCGTCGTTCGAACAAGTCAGCAAGCGGCGTGATCTGGAAATCTCAAGGAAACAAGCATGCATAGATAGGTACCCAGCAAACGGACACAAACGCATTGTTGGTGATCGGATCCCGAGTTCGACGTGTCTCGCTGCGGGTCACAGACAACACAGTGACAACGGTCGGATACGAGAGAAGCAGACTCGGGGCGGTGAGGTGTCGCAGCTGCCAGCCTCGAGCGCACCCAGCTCCATCACCTTGCAGGTGGGAATCTGCGGTGTCCTTCTCTCTTTTTCTCGGCCTCTCTCTGATTCTCATTCTCTCGCCCAGCCACCGATTTCCGCGCCTCGAAACTCGACCACTCTCAACGCCTAACTAATTTCTGGCCCGGTCATTTTCGTGAAATCCTACATCTATCTGAGCAACGAGCACCTCTTCATCTTGCAGACTTGGCACACACGTCAAAAGTTGCCGTTCTACGGTCGCCGCAGTCGCAGTGAGCTCAACTGACAAGGCGTGACTGAGCTGCCTTACACAAAACTTGGGCTGGCTCACCATTTCAACCTGGTTGTACCACAACATCAGCACTGGGAGCGCAAGACGATTGAATTTCGGAGCGAGACGAGGGATCTGCCTCAATTCCGGCAAAATGCGTTCCTTTTCACTTTTCGGCCTCCCCTCTTCGCTCCTGCTTCTTATAGCAGCCCACGTCAATGCAGAGCACCCGGCAGCCATCCGCAAAATGCCACCAAATGCCGGCGAGAAGCTGCTGCCCGACGACCTCTCCTTTTCTGACGATGTCTTCATCACCCCGCTCTCACCCCGCGAGGAACTTGTCGCCGCTCGCATGGCCGACGACCCGCTGTTTTACAACGCATCGCTCCCTTACCGCCCGCCCTTCGCTGAACACTTTGACAGTGCCAACCATGGTTGGGGGCAGCTACGGCGTGCCGCCGAGGTTCTTCATATCCTCGAATCCAGACAGTCATGCCCTACAACTATGAACAGCTGCGAGTATATCGGCTCGCCGAATAAGTGCTGCATGAGCAATGAAGTGTGTGTGAAGGTCGAGGATCAACGGGTTGGGAACGTCGCCTGTTGTCCGAGCGGTGCTTCCTGTGGCGGAGCGGTGGGCGTATGCCCCAGCGGCACAACTAGCTGCGATGCTAAGCTCAGCGGTGGATGTTGCATTCCGGGTTACATCTGTCAAGGTGTTGGCTGTAAGTCTTCACAATGAGATTTGGATGCTGGCATGATCATGAGCTGACTGTCCTAGGTGTGCCCAGCCCTCCCCCAGCGCCGAGCACTTCACCCACTCAGACGGCCTCAAATGGAGGAGGTGGTGGAGGTGGAAACGGCGGCGGCGGCGGCGGCGGCGGCGGTGGATCAGGCGGCACGACAGTCCGGGAGACCGTCACCACTACCACAGTCTCTACGACGACACTCGCAGACGGCAGAACCACCACTGTTCACGTCACGATCATCATCACAGTCAACCCCGGCACCACCCCCACCACCACTGAAGACCCGACGACGATTCCTGGCCTTCCGACGACTTCGGATGCCTCCGACGCTGTGCCCCCTTTCCGACCAACGTCGATCAACCCAGGCGAGGGTGGCGGCCCGCCCGTGACATCGGCCTACTGTCCGACTGGCTTCTACGCCTGTCTCGCCCGCGCCGGTGGAGGCTGCTGTCAGACCGGCCGCGACTGCGCCACTACCTCGTGCCCGCCTACTCCCTCGGTCACCATCATCAGCAATGGCGTCACTGTTGTCCTACCAGCCACCGACGTTCCGGAGCCGCATGCGACGGAGACCTGCGCCGGTGGCTGGTTTCTGTGTGGCGAGGAGGGCGGCCCCGTCCCCGGCTGTTGTCCGAGCGGGTACAAGTGCGGCATCGCGAGCTGTACTAGCATTTCACCCAGTCAGACGGGCGAGATCCAGAAGCATTTTCCAAACGCAGGATCTACGGCCGCGGCCTCTCTGGCCCTATTGATCGTTTCATTCGTTTTTTCGTTGCTTTGAATTCCATCATCATGCATTGGGCGGCGTTCATGGTTATACTTTGGAAGCGTCAGGGGAATAGACTGAGGAACGGAAGCAGGACATATGAGAGAAGGTGGCGGAAGTAAGGCCTGCGTATTCAGTTGGGTCTGATAGATACATGATCATGAGCATGGGATAACAGACGTCCTAGAAGCAAGGCCTGGAACACGCTTGACCCGACGGCCAGCTAAAGGCTAATTGATGTATAAGATTCCTTAGCTTGAAAAGATGATGAGATTCAAATGATTGATCAGCGTCTGTACTATGTAATGCTTCTATCACAAACTACACACTTGCTTTTGTTACAGCTGCAAAATGATGATCTTTGCATCTCCCTCACATGACATCCAGCTCAAATCAGGCATGCCCTTGTCCCGCAGATTCCTCTACCCAATACAGTCCCAGGTGAGAAAACCTTGGGAGGAAAAACCAAACCAGAACTCCTTACGCCCGCGCGTGCCTCGAACGGCTTCTGCATGCCTACCCCCGATGCAGTTGTCGATTAGTATTAAAGGTCCGAGCCGTGGAATACAGCTTCTCCCGCGGCATGCCGATGAAAGAATGCCAAAGACGCGTCGCATTGGAGACGAATCAGGAAAGTAAAAAGAAATAGAAAGGGGGGGGGAAACAGGAGGGTGCGGGAGGGGGGCGTCTAGATAAAGTAGGCGGCCACGAGACCGGCAACAGCCAGGTACCCCGCGGTATTCTCCACAGCGCCGCCGGTTGACACGGTGACGGGGCGGACAGAGCTGGAGGGCGGGATGGGGGTGCGGGTTGCGGACAGGCTGCCGGAGCTACCACCTCCGCGGCTGGTCGACAGGGCGGTGCCGTTGCCGGAGGAGCTGGGCGCGCCGCCGGTTCCCGTAGGTCGCGTCACAGATGACAGGGGCCTCGTGGTGGACGACAACCCCACAGAGGACGGGAGCCTCAAGGAGCTTGAGAGCGCGATTGTCCTACTGGTCGTGCCATTGGTCACGACCGGACGGGAAGGCCCGACGGGGGTTGTGAGGGTCGGTCCGGCGCCGGTGCCGGAGGCGGTCGCGTAGGGGGTGCAGACGCTCGGGGGCAGCCGGAAGGGTTGACTGGCGTAGACGATGCAGTTCTTCTCGCAGGCGGCGTCGCCGGACCGGGGCTGGGACTGCCAGCATAGGGCGGGCTGGACGCCGAACGGGAACTGGCCAGCGAGATTGTTGGTGCAGCGGCCGGGCTGGCCGAAACCGTTGGCGTCGCAGCGGATGATGATGTCCGTGCCGAAGGAGTCGCCAGCGCAGAAAGCCGAGTTGGGGCGTGAGCAGAGGTACTGGCCCGTCGTCGAGTTGCTGGGGGTGAGAGGGCGTGGTGTTAGTGAGGGTTTGCTTTGGGAACGGAAGAGCGGGGAGAGGGAGGGGAGCTGCGCACTAAACGACTTGAGCCGAGGCCAACGCAGAGGCGGCGAGGACGAGGGTTGCCGAGGTCTTCATCTTTGTCGGCTTGGTGGTGAAGTGTTGTGGTGCAGGCAACGACACGGTGATAGGGTTGGCGATGGCGACGCTAGGACGGGTGTTATATGTGTGGGCTTACACAACTGTGATACTTGTGCTGTATATGGGATGCAAGCAGTGATAAGGGGCGAAATAATGCAATGTTAAGAAGTGGTATGGGGAAAGCAACATCATCCATATATAGGTTGTGGGTGATGCGCAGGCCGTGACGGCGAAGGTTGCGTCGAAGCCATCTCTAGGCACGAAGAGGAAAGGTTGAGACCAGAGAGGCTGGGGACAGGTTTGGAGTCTACCGCAAGCAAGCAGCCAAGCATTTCAGTCCAGCAGTCGGTCCTACAATCCGCTGGACTCGGAAAGCGACGAGAAGCCCGGCGCATTGAGACAACGTAAACCGTAATGGCGAAGCCGGGCTGGGCTGAGACTGGTGACGGCACTCGTTAGCGGGTCTGCCGATGAACGGATTGGGTGTGCCTGGACGCCCTGAGAAACGTTCCTGATCGGGAGACGGAGTAGATTGCCTCTCTTCCGAAGCCAGCTTACCTATCACGGTTCAACTGGGTTACACCTTGCTTATGGCGCCCCAAGATGAGAAGTCTGTCCAATAGCGGGCTGTGCGGCCCTTTCTTAGGGTTGTTTCTAGCTGCGCGATACAAGTACGCGCAATTGAAAATGGTCGCGTGTGCCACGCGGATGTGTGGATGACCGGACGAACTGGTGGTGGTTGTCATCTCCTACCTAGAAAACAAAAGGAGCCTAGGGGAGTTAAAACAGAGGGGTGAAAGAATGTGGAATGGCAGGCTGGGAAACCCATTGCATCGTTACGCCGTCATCAGAGTATCAGTAGAGACATTGACGGAAGCCCCCATCAAGATGCATTCCTCGTGGGGGCATATGGCGATCCGGTCCGTTGTGCAGAGCACATTCAGTTTGCTGAAGCCACCCTCTCCTGGCCTTTCGCTCGAGGTTAGTTCGAATCAGAGGCATCTCTGCAGCCCGGGTAACTGACCTTCGCGAACCACTTCCCTCCAGCACTTCCCTTCTTTTTTCTTCTTCTTCCTCCCCACAGGTGACTGACACGAGACGGCGCAGATGGACACGAAAAATAAAAATATAAAAAGGTGAGACAATTGACAGACAACGCAAACCCGAAAGTGGCCGGGGGTTGAAGAGCATGTGCCTGCGCCTGGCGATACTGCCGAGAACGGCAGGCGGCGGGGAAAACGGGAAAGACAAACAAAACCTAGGTAGGAAGAGAAACGTCAGAAGACAACGTGCATCCGTCAAGCCACCATTCGTCGTCGCAAGCTTTCGCCTCCGGCGCTATTGCACATTTGCCGCGTGGCATTGAGGGTGCCATCCAAGTCCGCACGCCTCCGAGCCCGACCGCCAGAGGGAAAATGGAGGACATCCAGAGAACCAGCATGCGTGGTGTATCACGACTGGGCAGAAGAGTCTCGGGCGCGCTGGTCTCCCGTTGCCGAGCCTCTGACATATATGAATCCGTTCGCCGAATCAGAAAAGTCTGACAGGCTTCCCTCAGTCAACCGTCGAAATACCGACGCGCAATGCTATGCTGGCACCGCCCCGTCGGCGACAATGGCGCGTCCTCCTCTCGTATCTCTTCGCCTCGCCTGATGTCTCTAGGTACCTAGAATTGAAAGAAACCGGTCCTGGTCGTTCAAAAGGGGCCACCGCATCTGGTAAAGTTCGGGCGTGGCAAGAGGGAAAGATAAGAGAAAAAGCGAAATAAAGATTGTTTGCTCACATAGGTAGTCGGAACAGTTGGTGTCCGCCGGAACGTTACCAGCCCTGGATCCCCCCCTGCAACCGAAATAGAAACACTTAAAGCCCCTGTCGCGCATTCCCAGCAGAGGCCGCGTGCGCCCCCCCTACCCCGCTGCTCCCGAGCTCTGCCCCCCCCTGCCGAGATGGTCCCGCCGCCTTTGTGACGCGATCCCGGGCATTCCACCCACTGGCTGTTTGTCTTGTAGCCGGAGAACACGCCAAATCAGACGAGAGGGATATCACGAACCGACTTTATTCCTCGGCTGATATGACAGGACTATGTACCTGTACGATGTAGTTTGCAATACATGCTGTCTCGAGTGACGTCATTGCTTCTCGCTGCTGTTTCTCCACCAACGACGTCGAGGTTGAACAAACAGTGGCCTGAAGTGGCCTTTCAACACTCTGGGCGCGAAATGGCACGGCAATTATCGTGATTCAAGTATGCATTTTAGTACCTGTGGAACTCTGCGATTTACACCGGCACCAATGGCAGAACCACATTCCAGGAACAACACCAGCCACCCAAGTTTTCCGCTCGCAACTCCAACCGCCGGCAACGCCTATACCGTCAAGAACCCCCCCACCCCCGTCTGCTTGCATGGGACACTGGTGCCAACATAACTGCGCCATTCGAGACCCCGTTTCCATGGTTTCTCCACGTTCCCTCTTGTTTACAGCTCCTCGTAGACCTCCGTCTGGTTGACCATGGCGCTGAGGGGGCCGCGCTTGACCATGATGCTCATGATCTCGTACAATGCGTCGGCGGCAGCCATGGTGGTGTGCTCAGCATTCGTGTCGTAGGCGGGCTGTTGGTTTGCACCAGTTAGCTGCTTGCCGATCACTACACAGCAATGGGCGATAACACTTACAGCAACCTCGACAATGTCGGCAGCGATCAAGTTCAAGCTCTCCAAACCGCGCAGGATGGTGCGGAGCTCACGCGTCGACCACCCGCCGGTCTCGGGGGTTCCGGTAGCCGGGGCGACTATCAGCAATCGTTAGCCATACACAGCCCCTCGATCAGCTTTCAGCAACGTTGTCTTACACGCAGGGTCGAGGGTGTCGATGTCCAGGGACAGGTAGACCGGGTTCTTTGTACCGACGCGCTCGATGATGCGCTTGATGATGCCGTCGGTGCCGATTGTGTCAATCTCGCGGGCCTCGACAATCTCAAAGCCGCAGTAACCGTCGTTCTCGTAGTCGCTGGGCCCGCTGAGCGTGGTACGGATGCCGGCGTGGATGTTGGAGTCATTGCGCAGCAGGCCCTCCTGCGAGGCGTGGTAGAAGTACGTGCCGTGGTTGATGCTGGCGACCTCGGATGGAGAGCCGCCAAAGACCTTGGGGCGCCCTGTCTGTAGTCAGTGCCGGAACGGTGCGCGGGTGACCGTCGATGACTTACATGTGTCGAGATGGCTATCAAAGTGGATGACCGAGACGGGGCCGTACGCGCGGTTGATGGAGCGCAGCAGGGGGAGGGTGATGGTATGGTCACCGCCCAAAGTGATCACACGAGGCAGTGTACGCTCGTTCTTCGCAGGCCCCTTCTTGGCCGCATCGGTCGCCGGCTGGCGAGAGAGGATGTTGAAGTGGCCCTCCTCGATCTGGTGCAGGGCCCAGGTGTTGTCATATCTGGTGGCTCATCAGCACAGGCGGACAGGAGTTGCGGGACATTCGGCCCTTACGATGTAACCGGGATATCCCCACAGTCCAGGACAGTAGCCCAGCTGTTGAAGGGGTTCGTGTCCAAAGGCACGTTGTAACCTCCGCTGCGAGCTTGTGAGTATCTCTCCTACATGCAATGAGCCTTTCTGAATGCAAGCGTACTAGAGGTTCAAGCGGCGGGAGCCCTGACGGATTCCCGAAGGGCCAAAGCGAGCACCGGGACGGTACGAAGTGCCGGTGTCAAAGGGTGCACCTGGGCCTTGTCAGCAGTGCCCATAGTCTGGTGTCGTCGCCTTTCCTACCAATAAAGGCAATGTCGTATCTGACATCCTTTGCGCCCAGGCACGGCTGGTAAGGCAGGCGGCCAAAGGTCGAGATTCCGGAGAACACGGAGTCGGCCTGTCTACAGGTTAGAGACAGACTCTGGGCTAATCAATTGGAAGACATGCCTGAGTGCCGCCGTCACCAGGAAGAGTGTTATACCAGAGAGACTGGTGAGGCCCGGTCATGGACTTTTGGGCATCGCCATGGTCACCGTGACCATAGACGGTTGCTGCAAGGCAAAGGGCGAGGATGCTTCGAGAGAACATTGTGCTGAGGCTTGGTGGTGAAGTGAACAAGATGAAGCCGACAATCAGCAGAACCCAGCAAAACCGAGAAGGGAAAACGCCATGCTTTTATGAATTCCGGCCCGGTACATGGCTCAAAGTTTTACCAGCAGCAGATTGGCTGTTGGGTTCGACAGCTCTCCACGTATGATGATGGGTTACAGCATCAGATATGGTCCGGGACCGGCTCGGAAGCTTATCCACGTTCGTTTTTTTTTCAACACACCGACGGGAATTCCCTGTGTCAAGACTGGTCAATGGGTACCGTTAGATGCAGTATCGAACATGCCCTTCACGTGTTGGTGTTAGGTAACGACCAGGGCCGTGGCAGAGTCGTTGGCAGTGCGGGGCAGAGATAAAGCTCTCCCCTTCTCCAGTGCCATGAGCAGGATCGGCGCAGATGTTAGGCTCAAGATTCGATTGGTCTACCTAGTCAGCTCTGCACTCCAGATGGAACCCCCCAGCGTCAAACGTTCGGTATGTCGAGACAGGGTGCTGACAACCACCTGAGTCGACGGCAGGGTAATATTCACGTGAGGAAAGCGAACCAAGAGTCTTTGAACGGTCTCGACGCGGCGACGTCACGAGTAATGATAGGTATGGGAGTGGATTAAGGATATGTCAGAGTTACACACCGTTTTACGATGCAAACCCTGAGCTAGATAAGCCAAAATGGGTTTCCGAGATGCATCTTTTGCAGGGCCGGCGGCGTGACGAACTCTGGGGCTGTTACAGCACAATCTTGGTTCCGACGGGGGAAGCGCCCGTCGAACTGGTACAAGGCACCATCGCCATGGGCGAATGGGAAGGCGTTGGATTGGCTCATGAATCATTCAAATCGCAACCGCCCACCTCTCCCCAGAGTCTTCCTCTATGAAGATGTGTTTACAAGCTCCTTGGATAGGAGTTTCCATGGATGACGCGGGGCAACTCCTACGCGGGGCTGATAAGATAAAAGCTACGACACGCTAGCGTATGCAAGCTGTGCTAGACGCTTACCCGAATAGGCAAACAAGCAGTAATGACTACTTTGCAGTCCGTCATGCGCGTTCTGCAAGGTGTTTGCCTACGTAGTAGAGCGAGCACGATAAAGATGATGATGATGATGCGAGTCCGGGGTCTGGAGGATAGATAAGCTGTTTGTTTCCTCAAGGCTCGGCTTCGTGCCATGGTCACCACTCTTGGCCAGACGGATAAAGATCGATCGCCCTTCACGACTGGCGTCGGTTACTGGCCAGCATCTCAGTGGCGACACGTATAAGTTCTTGCGTCTCCCCGCCCGGTTATATAACTTTGCACTTGGGTTACTCATTCGTTTCATACTGCTACACATCGGTCAGCGGAACGGCATGCCAACTGATCCGATCGCATTGGCCAAATACTTTGAGGTCGCTCACGCCACCAGCGACGGCGGACCGAGTGGGCCAAGCACATGGTGGCTTACACGCCGGGGCCCGGAAGTGCTCCGCAACGATGATATCGGCAGCCCGGCGGACGCTTCCGGCAGATAGTTGCCGTCCCGGCTGACTGAGCCACAGGGACGTTGGAACACTTCACATTGCAAAGGCGGGAAGACGCGTGGCTTGAGACTTGAGGCGTCGGAAGAGGGCTGTTTTCCGAAAAGTTCGTTGGCTATAGGCGAGCATCGACTCCCGAGCCGAGTTTTCAGAACCCTTGCCAGCGAAGGACTTTTTCGATACTTGGCGGAGTCGATGGCGTATGCCGGTGGCCCGCGGCGCATCGCAGTCGAGTTTTTCTCCTCGTCTTCCTGCAGCTACCGAAGTGGCTTCTGTTTCCAAATATGCATGTGGCGTAATGCAGCAAGCCGTGGAAGACCGTTGATTTGCCCCGAGGCTTGTCGGAGTCCATGCAGGTCTGAGAAAGAAGCGCCGGATGCCATGAGCCGTCCCATAGCTTTGATTTGTCTTGGAGAGAGGCGGCCTCTGTGCACTCTGCAGTTGCACCGTCGGGATATGTAGGTACGAGCGGCTGGGATGCCAGAGACTCGCGGTGCAATCACGGACATCGACATAACCCAGAGCGCGATGGCTGTGACCGCGACCTGGGGGTGAGGTGGGGAGAGCACACCGAGTTGGTGTCACGGGAGTCACCGCAATACCTTCGCTTCCAATACGGAGGTTCAGTGTCACCCAAAAGTTCACGGTGATGGTGTTGGAGTCAGATAGGCAGATGTCAGTCGATAACTGGCGGTGCAACCCAGATGCTGCTGCCAGACGGCATGGCTTGTGAGGCGTTTGTGGCAGGGCGGTTAGTCGAAGAGAGGAAGAAGAGGACGGTGGGGGAGGAGACACATTACACGATGGCGCCATACATCGTCCAAACTAGTCGGGAAAGGGAGATGACAAAAGAGAAGGAGGGAGGGGAGGTGGGAAGGGGTAACGTCGATGGGAGGAGAGGAGAGGAGAGGAGGGGAGAGGGGGATGAGGAAAGGAAAAAAAGAAAAAAAAAAAAAAAAGGCGGCAAAAGTTGGCATGGCTTTGCAGAAGAAGGAAACCACGCTGGAGCATGATGCAGCACGATGCAGCACGATGCAAGCACTAAAAAAAGAGGCACAGCCTATGGGAGCTGGTAATATTGGGCCACTGCGAGGTGGAAAAGAGACAGCCCCACTTTGGCTAGCCGCCATCGGTCAAGTGTAGGGTGCTACAGAGCCCTTTGGGATGGTGGGTAGGTTCCTTATTTGGGTTCCCTGGCGGAGCTACTGCTGCTTGCTACACACACCTTCCCTGCAGAGTTGGTGTACAGGTAGGGAGGGTATCACGGGACAAATGCACTTACCTGCAAGAAGAGAGGGAAAGAGCCCAGCCGATTTTCCCCCTCCATTTATTTATTTATTTCAAGATCGCCAAATGGAAGCAGGATTGCTTGCCTTGGCTTGAATAAAACTTTTAGAAGGATGACTAAGTGGCAGTCAGATAGGATGGGAGGGAAGGGGAACCCTAAGTTCGGTTTGAGAGAATGCCTAGGAATCCAATGCAGTACAAAATACCTACTGGCCAATCTCTCTCTGTGTATGTGTGCCTGAGGGGAGTTTGTTCTTTCCAGCCACTCGATTTTTGTGCCGTTTTTTGTTCTTCTCTTCTTCTTCTTTTCTCTCTTTCCCTTCTTGTTTCTCTTCCCCCCTCGGTATTGGTCCAGCTCCTCTCCCTTCCTTGGCCTGGTCTTGGCCCTTGGGAAGCCCCGAACCCACCGTCCATACGATTCCTGAAAACACCCAGACCCCTTCCTCTCCCCATAATGACCAGTCCAGTACAGTCTTTCTTTGCGTATACCCGCCACGAAACGAACTGGTTGGTTGGATCCGTCTCTAATCCAAGGCCTGACGTGCCTTCTGTAGTTCTACAGGGAGATACCTTGGAGCATCTCCCTGACCTCACCCTGTCGTATCCCACCACAGCTTGACTGACAGCCAGGGCCATGCAACCCACCTACCGGGCGCCCCCCCTAAATTCTTTCTTCTTTTCTCGCCTATCGCCAGCCAGCTTTTGGCTCCATATTCCCGACTCTTTACGAACATCTACCTACCTTACCAGCTTACCTACTACCTACGGTACCTGACCTCGACCCTATGCACCTGCCGCTCTATTTCTGCTCTGCTTTGCTCTGCCCTTGTCTCTCTCTCTCTCTCTCTCTCTCTCCCCCTCCCTCTCTCTTCACCCACGGCGCGTTTCTTTTTTATTGCGTCAGACCCTTTCCGGTCCTGCCAATCATCTTTTCTCGTCCTTTTCTCCCTGAATCGTCGTCTGTCCCCATCGTCTCAACCTCCTGGGAGCCGTGTCCTGCACCGAAAAAACGCCACCGTCCGTCCGCCGCCTGCCACACGAAGCCCTGGATCGTCATTCCCTCCTGTTGCTTCCATCAAGGCCGGCCGAAGTTCAGCATTAATCTCACATTACGTCCCGTCTCGTTTCCCTGCTTCGGTCTGTGCCACTTGGCCCTGGTCAAATCGCATCCCCGTCTTGGAACAGACGTCCTCGTTCGAGTCTTCATCTTCCTCATACACCTGCGCCCGAGACCCGGACCCCATCTGCATCGTGACCATTGAGACTACCCAGTCTCTGCCTCAACCAAACCCGACACGTCTCTGTTCCTTCATCCACGGAGCCTATTGTCTCATGCCGCTAGGCTGAACCGCCTCTGCGCTTCGTGTCTCGTCTCATCGGTTCCGCTGCCGTCGTCACTCTCGCGCGACTTTGGCCAACTGTAACTGCACACCGTTGGACCTCGACGCGATTCACCAAGTCAGTTGGTTCCAATGTATTAGGCTTACCTTTAGGACGTCATCCCGATAGCTCTCCGGCTTTCCACCTTCACTCTTCACCTGCTCTGCTCCACCCGCTATCGGATGGCATACCTTTATTCCATTTCTTTCCCCTTCCCCGTCTCGGGCTCGGCCACGTCTATGAAACTTAGTCTATCCAGCATGCAAACGACTCTGGTTTTCTCGCATCCTCGCTAGCCTGCGAAGGGTCACTGTCTATGCATTTAGCACGCATTGCAATCTTGTAGAACGCATATCAACGGCAGATGCCCTTTATAATGACTGCTCCGGCAACCCGGAAACCATCCTCCACCATGTCGGTTCGACAAAAAACCTACCCCTTGGGCTCGCCCGACAATGCCCTGGCGGGGCAGAGAATGTTCAAAACGCATAAAGTCCTACCGCACCCCAACAGACAAAGGAGCGACACACCGCGCTCCTATCAAGTACGATCAGCCCCGAGGAAGTATGATCTAGTTGTCGACTGTGTACCGTCCCAAAGGGACGCGCCGCAACAGCAGAGCCCTCAGACGCTGAGACACCAACCGAAGCGAATAGGCAGCGGGCCGGACTTGCCTCCGACACCACCTTCACACTCGCGCACCTCGTCGAGCAGTCGCTCCATTCAGCCTCCGAGTCCAACGCCTGCCGAGAATGTGTCGCAAACGCCAACGACACCTGCACGTGTACCTGCCACTCCTCCAAACCAGCAAAGTCCACCAACGCCCGACGTGACTCCTCCACAATCTGCGACTCGCTCCAAGGCTGTTCGACCGATCCCCATCGATCGCACAGTCTCGAAAGCCACCACAGTCGAGTCGCGGACTGCGTCCTTCAGAACTGCCAGAGAAGAACCGTACTCTTCTGAAGATGACGACATGCAATCGACTGTTAGGCCAAACATCCTTTCTGCGCGAACTTCCCAAAACACGGTTCGTCGGGTCTCTGAGCCCAGGGCAAAATCACCATCACCGGTGGGGCTGGGGCTAGGCCTGGAGTCGCCTTCGGAGGACGCTACAACTCCAAAGATGAAAAACGACTTTAATGCCTTTGACGGAGAATGGACTGCCAACAATGAAGTGGAACAAGAGTGGGACGACAACTTGGGCAGGACCGTCACAGTGAGGAAGAGGCGCCAAGAACCAAAAACCGCACCCCGGGCTGGGAGACGCAAGGTTGAAATTTTTGAAGATCGTGTGGTCACGCCAACGAACGCGACAAAGGCGTTACGCGCGATGTCTCAGCGTGAAAGGGCAGCTTTCTACGCACCGAGTGAGATCGCCTGGTCCAACACGCCAACCTATGAATCCTTGGCCAACCGCGATGCTCGGAGGTTCTCGGGCATGTCCACCAAATCTACAAGATCGAATGCCTCGACGATTGTCGAGGCGATCTTGGTTGATGCCCCTTCAATCCCGCAAAGGCGACAGACCCTCAGACACGTGCAAAAGCAGCTCAGTCTGAGGGATTCAGGGTCCGATCGATCTCCTTCTAGCTCCGCCGCGAACTCGGCCGTCCAGCTTGGAGGGTCTCCAAGGCGTCCAAGACCGCTGGCTCGTCCCAGCGGCAGCCGTCACAACAGCTACGCCTCGAACACGACTTTTAATTCCATCTCGAGTGGTAAAGCTCGTAGGGAGATCTGGAAGAGCGGTGGCATCCCTGTCATTGTTATTCCGGACCGTCGCTCATCCGTCAAATCACAGTCCAGCGCGGCCCCGTCTTTGAGATCCACAAGCAGTCGAAGATCCAAAAGAAGTGCAAGCTTGAATTCGGCGACTCGTGCCAATGGACCGAGAGGCCACGACTTACCGACGCCAGTATTCGAGCGGCCAGGGCGGAGAAACCGGTCCATGTCAGAGTCTGATGGCTCTAATCAACGGACGATTGACTATCCACCTGTTATTCCGAAGCGATCTTCTTCACTGTCTGCGCCGACCAGCCGCAACACATCTCGTGCCGGCTCACTTACTGCGGACAGCCTCAAGGCTCAAACCGCTTTGTTGGGCCAACCCTCAGGACATGAAATGAGAGCACCCGCCTTGGCCCTCCAAAGGCCCACCTCATCCGGGACCGACAATGGTCACCATCATCGGGACCACAAGCTCAATGTAGACCATCTCGGAGATCCCTTCTTTGGCAGGCGGTTATCTACGCAGAATACTCCTTTCTCGGCGGCTTCCGTGACGACGAGTGGTACTGCCCCTGAAGTTTCAGAGGCGAAGGCTGTGAGCTTGTATCCTCATCAAAATTCGTCTGTCCTCGTGGTGAATCACTCGAACAAGCCCTCAGAGTGCTCCGACGCGTCCCAAACGGACAAGGAGCTGCCAGAGTCACCTTCAAGGCCCGCGATAATCACTACCGGTCCAGACGAGGAAGGGCTTGTGACGCCACCGCATCCTCAGCATACCATGGACGATGTGGACTCGCCACTTCGCAACCCTCGAACTGCTCCGCCAGTGCCTCCCGTTATTCCTCCTGCTATTCAGTTCATTCCTGCAACTCCTTCAGGCTTGACACCGAATCACGAGAGGGAGCGCAACATGGGCAACTATTTTGAGACAATGGCGGATGAGCAGCCGCAGAAAGGTGGATCTGTCGTCCGCAGGGCGCTAGCCCGGAGACGAACCTCAGAGAAGTATCCGCCTAAAAGCGGCAGACCGGGACTATTGACCAGGACCTTTTCTCTCACGCGTAGAGGTTCAAGCTCCAAAAGTCACTCTTCTATGGAAGGACCTTGCTTGTGCCCGGACTGCCAGGCACCGCCGCCCGAGGACGATCGACTCCACCCGCATTGGCGCCCTGCCTACGCTGATGAGGATGACGATAGGTGGGAGAGGGAAATGGAGGACGAGCCCATCAGCCAGGTGTATCGGTACCCTCCGATCGACAATCGTCCAACTTCGCGAAGAAGCATCAGCGCGCGGGTGAAGAAGACGTTTGCAATCCTTCCCAACCGTGGTGAGGGTGACTTCTACACGTCAGAGACGCGGAATGAGCCTGATAGACGCACCATACGCCGGACGGACAGCGGCAACCTCCGTGTCATGAGGCGCCGGAGCAGCTTAGACTCTCTTCGCGACCAGTCGGCCAACCCCGTTCCTTACATGAGTACCGTCGCCCAACGCGACAACAATGAGGAGGCCGGTCCGAAGAAGAGAAGACGCTTTTCTATCTCGGGTACGTTGGAGGGGTTACAAAACCTGCCGAGGCAAATGAACGAGCGTAAACGAGAGAAGAGGACGCAGGAGCTGCGCCAAAAGATAAGCGGGCCGCGCGAAGTACGGGATGGCATGGGAGACGTCATTCGACCAAACACATACCGCGACTCGTACCAACAAACTAGCTTGTCGATTCACCATTTTTGATCGATGCACGTACAAAATTTCACCAGCCAGATTTATCTGGAACAATCATGCGTAATATACTCGAGGAGACTGGGGCGCCCGGAAGGGCGCAGGAAATGGCTACATGGGAGGTATTATGACCGTTACGAACAAATATCATTTACGACTACAGAATTTTACGACCAAAGACCAATTTCGCGCACTCCGGAACGAATTCCGGGATGCGGTTGACTTGAAGGCCTTGCAACGACAATGATGATCTCACTGGGGCCAAGAACCTAGGGAATGCATGATTTTGTTACGAGAACACTGGGGACTGTTATTGTTGTACCATATAGAGATTACTTGTGAAGATACCATTTTGCACAGGTTCATGATTAAGAACGTCGGCGCCTTAGTATATTGATGTTCCTTTTTCCCACGCATTTTTTGAATGTGATTCGTGGTATCAGTTTGTACCTTTACCATGCCAAGAGTTTTGCCCTTCCCAGATTAGACGCCTAAACACCGTACTCGAAGTCGACGACATGCGCACACACGTGCACCCGTCTGCAAGGAGATGTCACACCCACAAAACCTTACCGCTGGTCACGTCCCGGAGGACCGCCACCAGGAGGGAAAGCCCCAGGAGGGCCGGGAGGGAATCCGCCAGCACCCGGCGGCGGCATACCAGGGAACTGGAAGTTAGGGGGCAGGCCGCCCGGTGCGCCAGGAGGCGGGAAGGGCAGGCCGGCCGGGAGACCGGCCGGCGGAGGGAAGGGCAGGCCGCCGGGGGGCATGGGTGAACCGTTGGGACCCGGGGGAAAGGGGGGCATAGGAGGCATCCCGCGGCCACCTGGTCCGGGGGCTATAGACGCGCAGGTCAGTTTCAAACTTTTCATTAAGTAATTGAGAAAAGCTTCTCGTATGGACTGGTGGGACTTACGCGGGATCATGCCTTGAGGGAAAGGAGGCGCGCCAGCGGGCATGCCGGGGAAGGGAGGTGGGATACCTGTGTAAGCTTGATGTTAGCATAGCAACGACAGAATTGGAAAGGAATTCGCGCTCGCGCGCGCAGGGGTGGGGGGTTTCAACCAACCTCCGGGGAAGGGGAAAGGCGGCGGAAAGGCGTGTCCTGGCTGGTTCTGCGGCAACATGGGGTTGTTGTGCGCCTGGCCTTCGGCGGCATAGGAGGAGGTGATGGAGTCGATGACGGATTGTGCCTTTTCGTGACCGATTTCTAGTATTGGTGAGACGGGGTTAGCTTTCTTGCTTGCGCGGGGAGGCGGGATGGCGGAGGAGGGTGACGGTACGTTGGTAATAGTCTACGACATTGCGCAGGTGGTTTCGACCGCTGTTATGCGCCTTTCGCACGCTCATGGAATCGTGCGTCAGATAGACATCGCAATAATCGCCTGGAAACCCGTGTTAGTCGGACTCGGACCTTCGAAATTGAGCGGTAGGGGAGGAACTGGGAATAGCCGTACAGAAGACTGGGACCTCGGGTTAGCCTCGAACTTTTGGAAGTTTATGGAGGGGAAGAGACTTACACTTGGGCATCGTGGCGGATGGCGCTACAGAGAGCGAATAGTTAACTGTGTGGCTCGAAGCTGGCGATGCAGGAAACAAGAGTGCTTATTGTTCCTCAATGACTGGCCTCGTTAGGTGTGGAAGGATGCGTCGCATCGCAGTGAGAAAGGGTGGACGTCGAAAGGCAGACGCAGCGCGCGCCGCGCCAGACGCCACACCTCAAAAAGTTGCAAGGCTACCATCGCACGTGATTGCCAAGAGCAAGGCTGCCCCTCTCCCAGGCTCTGATTGGCCTTGTCACGGCGTATCCGCTAACAAGGGTCCTTGAGTGGTCCAGGCTCTCGAACGCGACAGATTTCCAAAAATCCCCAAAGGTGGTCCCTTGAGACTGAAGCTCTCCTATCGCTAGCCCAGGGAGCTGCTCCTTTCAACGACCAGCTTTCGACAATCCAACCCACGCCCGGCTCCCCTCCACCCTCTCCCCTTCCGCCATTGCTCTTTCACTTTCACTGCTGTGACTGGCCCGACTCGACCGATTTTCGCGGCAACACTTGCGGGTTCAATTACTACAAATTTGCGAAACGAACCGAACGAACGATGGCGCCGACAAGATCGCTGCTGCATTACGTGTGCGGCCTCGTCCTCCTCGCCTGCTGCGCCCAGGCGCTCAGGTTCGACCTGCAGGCCACAAGTCCCCACGAGGGCAGGAAGGAACGATGCATTCGTAACTTTGTCGGCCGGGATACCCTCGTTGTCGTTACGGCCATTGTGGACGGTCACAAGGGTGACGGTATGACGGTCAACATGCACGTATGTGTCCCCTTCTTTTCAACTTCAGGAAACGGAATACAAAGCAAAAGATCAAATCCTGGGGGGTTTTTTTGTTTCCCGGGAAAAGAAAAAGGCCAAGGAAGAGAGGGGCAAAGGGGAAGAGGGAAAAAAGAACGCGAGCCGTGTTTGATTTGTATGGTTAGCTAACCGCGCATTGTACTCCAGATCAAGGACGCTGTTGGCAACGACTACGGCAAGCCCAGAGACATCGCTGGCGGCGAGAAGCGCATTGTCTTCACGTCTCACGCTGATGCGGCCTTCGACGTCTGCTTCGAGAATATCCTGTCTGGCTGTACGTGGCCCCCCCTAAACCTGACTTTGCATGTGCCTGGTGGTCACAATGTCCATGATGGCAGGACCTCCAGCATAATGCCTTGTTCTCTTTCCCGAGGATTCATGAGAGTTAGAAGCTGACATCAACTTGTATAGCCGGGCGTGGTGGTTCCATGAGCCGCCACATCGAGCTCGACATCGACATTGGTGCCGACGCCAAGGACTGGAACGCCATCCAGGCGACGGAGAAGCTCAAGCCCGTGGAGGCGGAGCTGCGGCGTATTGATGAGCTTGTCAGTGAGATCAACAGCGAAATGGACTACCTGCGCGCGCGCGAGCACAAGCTGCGCGACACCAACGAGAGCACCAACACCCGCGTCAAGTGGTTCGGCATCGGCACGACGTTGACACTCGTCGGCCTGTGGGCTTGGCAGATCATGTATCTGCGGGCGTACTTCAGGTTTGCGATCCACCTCCCTGCCATGTGGGCCCGCAGCCCAAGTGGCCATGGAACCTCTGAAGCTAACTATAGCAAACAATGCAGATCCAAGCACCTTATTTAGAGTTCTTCGCGGCAAGCAAGTCGGCCAACGGCTACCAAAACCGCGAAGGATTTATGGGAAAGACAAAGGACGTTATGTTGTGTTGGGCACGGATGGGCGGCGGCGAGTTTCTCTACGATGCCAACTCGGAAAAAGCATACCAACATCTCGGGGGGTTCCCGAGTGTGCAGCAGTGTATACATACATACCACGATTGCCATTTGAAAAAGTCATGAATGAAATAACGGACATCACATCACAAACCTCTCTGAACTGCAGAGATGGTATCAGTCCACTTTGGTGCAGCGCAGAGCCTAGACAGAGGAGGATACTGCGCTGTCTTGGTCCGTTTCCATCCGCAACACCGATCCTCCCACCTGCCGCCCCTTACTATGCTTCAGAAGGTGTTGCTGCTTGTCTACTACGGTGGGCACGCCGGTTTGAATAAGAGTATGTTTCAGGTCACTGACAGACTTGGGATAAGCTGTCCACCGAGCACTTTCCAAATTGACCGACGTACCTTGCCTGTGTTGACACAGGCGTCGCTGATGCTCATGCTTGCAGCCGTTTATTGCGCTGTCAAATTACAGATTTGCTACACACCATCCATCGTCCCAGGTTCTGGGGGCGCGGTGGTCAGCCCCTCAATGAAGCCAGGCTGCGTTCTCACGTCTCCCGCCCACCTCGCCGCCTTCTAACACGTACTCCGCTCCCGTGAATATGCAAAGACCTCCAAAGAAGCCGAAAATGCCCGTGTACCATGCGCTCCCTTGCATCCCTCTCCCACCATGATGGTTATGTTTCCTGATAGATATGATGGTAAAAAATCCCTCCCACTGGCTGTTATGACTCTTTTTTTTCATTTCTTTCTTTTCTTTTCCTTTTTTACACTTTCACTCCGCGTCGCCGGCGCCCGGCTCTTCAGTTCTTGTTGCCCGCCTTGTCGACGTCGAACAGGGGCGGCATGAATCCGAGCCCGCCCTCCTTGCGCTCCTGGACGTCGCGGTGCACGCCGACGGTGCCGTCCGCGCGGCGGCTGCGCACGTGGGCCCTCAGCATCTCGAGGACCTCGCTGCCCTGCCACCGCGCGGGGACGGGGCGGTACTGCGCCTTGAATGTGCCGACGGTGTTGGCCCACTCGCCGGCGCGCGGTGGCTGCGTGCGGACGTCCTCGGCGCCCTTGGTGTCGGCCGGAGGCGCCTGCGTCGGGGCTGAGTTGGAGGGGGCCTCCTCCTGCGTGGCCCAGTAGTAGATGTCCCAGTCGTTCTCGTCGAGGAAGAGGTCGTACTGCTGCATCTGGGCCTTTGTCATGTGCGGGAGGTGCTCGTTGGCGAAGGTCGACATGAGGAGGTCAGACTCGAGGGTGCCGCGCTTACGGGACTGGTCTGTCCAGACATGGGGTTTCTCTTGGTCAGCTATCTCATCTTTTTTTTCACCCTTCCTTTTCTTCTTCTTTTTCTTTTTCTTCTTCCCCTTGCCCGGCGGTGTCTGCTCAAACGAATTCCACAAAACAAAACAAAAGGAGGAGGAAGTGACAAGTGACAACTTACAGAGGAGACGGGCGCGCATGGTGCGCTCGTCCTCGCCCACGCGCCGCAGCGGCTCGACGCGGAACTTGATGCCCTCGAACTCGCCGACGCCCAGCTCGCCGTTGACGGCGGACTCGGTCTGGGCGGGCGGCTTGCTGGCGAAGCACCTCCGGACAACGAGGGGCACGGCCTGGGTGGGCGGAGCGACTCGGAGGCGGCGAGCCGGGCGGAGGGCGCGGGCCAATGTCGACATGTTTCGATGCGATTTTGTCGGGCGTCTGGTTTCTTTTCCTTTTCCCTCTTCTGCCGTGCTGCTTGGGTTCGGGACAGGCGTTTGCTGTATGGATGCCTGGGAGAGCGAGACAGGAAGTGGGCGGTATGAATAATTAGAGGTTTTGAAAGGGCGAAGGGGAGGGTCTCGTGTTACCGAGGTAGGCAAGACTATCGATAACTTGTGTAGTTCGCCTTCGACAAACGGGGCCCCTGGGATCTCCGTCGACGGTCGAATGGAGCCAGGGCCGTGCAGGTGTGTACCGTGTTCGCGCCGCTGACACTGTATGACGGTTCGATCCCCGACGAACGCGCGCGGAGGTCGGCTTGAATCGTGCAAAGTGACAACTAAAGCCTTGGGTAATTTCTTCTCGGTGGCGGCTCGAGTCTGAGCGTACAAATTGCTTCGCCGAGGTGGTGGAGCAATGCAAAGCGGCAGCTGGAGGATGGATTATGTACAAGCATGTCTCTCATTCTACCGCTGGCCCCTCCACAGATACATCCCCAAAGTCCACCACCCTCTCCGCTAGATCGCCTAGAAGCACAGCTCCCTTCACTTTGCATTCAGTTGCCTCGTCGGATGACTGTAGGCTAACACGAGCTGTTCTTTTTCGACTGAGTTCTCGCCAAACGGAATCGAGGTTGTAACGGATTCAGTATACACAGGAATTCCTGCCGACGAGCAAAAGACAACTTGGGTATTGCGTAACCGAAAACTCCCTAGACATGCATGTTTCTGCATCTTCCCTAGAAACCCCTCAGGCGCCATTTCATAACCATCAAGCGAAAAATAAAAGACAAGGAGTTTGCTTGTTTGCCAGCCCGACCCGTTCCAGAAAGTCCGCAAGTCCCGGACAAACACAGCGTGGACGGAGACTTCCCTTCCAACCACACAATTTCATACCAGTCATTATCTCCATCAAAGGGAGAGAGCGTTGAGCACGCTACAGGTGGAAAGAGGAAGATGCTCGTATAAACATTATTCTTTACTCCGCGCCCTCTGGTAGTATCCTACCTAGGCTGCGCAGCACCTCCATGACGGGCATCTCTTTGGTGCCAGCATTGGCCTTTTCCCTCACTTCTCGCTCCTTGAGCCGCGCAGCGCTCAGCGAGAGCACCTTGTCCGCCTCTCGGCCTGCCGTGTCGACTCGCTGCAAGAGCTTGTGTATGCCGTCAGCGAGCTGGTCCACCTTGAACTCTAGCGTTGACTGCGTGTTTTGCAGGCGGGAGAGCGTCTTGGCACGAACGCTCTCAAACGAAGACGCCGGGTTGGTGAGCCAGCTCAGCATTTCTGTCTCGTTCGGATCGAGCACTGATGCATCCGCCACTGCTGTTTGCGCGGCACCTGCTTCTGGGAATAGCGGTGCGACTTCTATACGCGATTTCTTCAGCGCCAGCCACTTCTTCTTCTCTTCTTTTAGTCTGCATCTCGTCAGCATAGATCCCTGGCGAGTTGTCGAATGTGGCCCAACAATACCTCTTGACTTTCTGTTCTAGTTGCTCAATCTTCTCTTGGTGTTCAATGTTACGTGGGTTCGGCTTGTATATCACGGGCTTCTTCGGTCCCTCTTCTCGACTGAACCAGTCCGAGAATTCCGATTTCGTCGAAAAGTCCTTGAGCAATTGCTCTTGGATGTAGCGAGCTGTACGGAGTTAGCGGTCGAGGAAGGTTATCACAGCCTCATGTGTAAACTTACCACCCAGAATTGTGTTAGAATCTGTTTGACCATGCGGCGGCTTTTCCAGCAGTGCTCGTTCGCCGCACCAGGTTAGCAGTTGCTTCATCCGCCTCGGTTCCATGAGGCCTTCAGACTCGATGTGCTTGTAAAATTCCGCAGTTTCGACCTCCCGATGGGGAATCGCATTGTGTCCGCTCTCGATTAGGGAACTTGCTCTCCTGCCGCGCATACCCGTGCTGCTCCGCCGGTTGCCGCCTCCTTTTTTCCGCATTTCCTTGTTTCTATTGATGACGGGCGTGTCACTGACGGGGAGCGTTATCTTCTCGGACTCAACTGGCTCGTCCATAACGCGTGGCGTCTGTTGTCTCTCCACTTCCATTGGTGTCGCGGTTTCGGCATCGTATTCTTCCTCCGGTACTGGCGCTGGTCTGTTAAGCGGCTTTTCCTTCTCCGGCTTATCTGCCTTGCCCGTAGAGCTGCGCGTGCTTCGACGCGTCGTACGCTTTGGCGCAACGAATTCCAGCTCATCCTCCTCTGCCGGCTGCAAACTCGCGGTTCGTCGCGTCCGGGGCCTTGATGAAGTCGCTGCTTTGGGTGCCGTTACCGATGGGGTCGGTTCGGGTGCCTTGGCTGCTACTGAAGCGCGTGTCTTCGCGGGTCTGCCCCTTCCCGATTTCTTCGCGACAATCGGCGCGGGGTCAGGTTCTGGCCCGGTCTCTGGCTCCGGCTCGGATTCCGCGCTCTTAACTCGCTTCGGTTTCGATCCGCGCGTGAAATGGAAGTCGCCATCTTGTTCGTCATATACCGACGAGGCTGCGCGTGTTGTTAGCATGATATCCGCTTTCCCCTCGCGTTCCTCAAACCTACCCGCAAGGCGCTTGCTTTTCCTTGATCCAGGCTGCTCGTTGCTCATGCTAATGACTTGCAACGGGTGGCGGGTGCGAATGACGGTCGTCATGGATGGCGCGTCACAGAGTGCATATAGTCGAGACGTAAAAGCCGGCGCTGGGAAATGTGGTAACGTCAACCGCGCTCCGAAGCAACGAAACTCGCGTTAATCGGCGCGCAAAGGACAAAATATCGGAGGAGAAATCGGGAACTTCTTGACAATTTTCAGTTCGCTGCGCATTCGGTCGGCGGGGAAGTGGCGTGGGGGTCGCGTTGATCTGCTGGGGTAGTTGGGGCGCGAAAATGGAGAGATGAAGCTTCTCGACGATGTTGTTTACATGAGGGACGATTTACCCGAGAGGCTGCGCTAAGCCCTTTTAGGAAGTCTCCTAACAGCCAGTCACAATCCCGGGCCACGACCGACCGACCGCCTCTCTGATAATTCGGCAATTATCTATCTCATCAGTCTCCAAAGGCCGATACCAGGGCAAAAACAATGTTCCAACTTTCAACCCGCACATTTCATGAGACTACTTCCGGCGGTGTATAACCGCACCGGTGATCATGAAAATGTCACAAATTGTCAAAACCTAATAGAAGTAGTACAAGAATTGATTCTCATCACTATTCCGAAATGAAAAATAGAAAAAATGAGGATATTATTATGTGAAGCGTTGAATTCGGAGGCATTGCCAGTCATGCAGCTATTGTTACCGTTGCTACGTTCAAAACAAAGATCAAATCAGCCAAACTGGCGGCAGGCGGTGTTGTTTCCGACTTCCGCCCCTAGACGCCTCCCGTGTTTCATTCAGTAGAACTGCCAAACCATAAAACTCCTTTTGATGTATATGCCTTGCATTCAACGCCTCTCGATGAAGGGTGAATGCATTACCGGCAGTCCCAGCCAATGACGCCGGCCGATTTCCTTCCTCCGAAACGAGGACTGCTCCCGTTACTATACAGCCCAGCCTCAACTAACCTCCAAGAGCAAGTGGGAGAAGGGAAGTGACGATAATGGGGCACGAATGTCGTGTTAAAAATGATACAGTAGAACCGCGAGGCCGGGCCAAGCCAGGAAAGAAACGGCGTAAACATCGTCGTCTCAGCATTGGCTGAGCACAGGCCACAAAATGGTAGCCGCTGCTGGTTGCTCAGGGATATGACGAGATCTCAATTCTCTCAGTCTTCCCAAGGTTGAAGGCGTAATCGTATGACGCTTCGTCGTCCTATGAAAAACGTCGCTGCACACCCTGTCCTGCCGCAAGCACCTGCTGGTTTGGAATGGAAGCGGCCATGCCGTACGGATTCATCTGCGGGTTGAAGGGCTCCATCGCCTGTTGCATAAAGGCACCGTGGAGGCCCTGTTGCTGTGTAACAGGGCAGTCCTTGTGGGCGAGGAGTAATGTTTTGAGGTTAACAACCTCTTCCCTCAGCTGTGTTATCTGAGCCGTCAGAGCGTCATTTTCGCTGCTGAATAGCTCGACCTTTGACTGGAGGTTAGCCAGCCATTGCTTCTTGCGCTGGCGGCACTTGAGTGCAGCAACTCTGTTCAAAGTCGTTAGCTAAATTCAGTCATGTGACAATAATAGTCTCATAGCTAACCTGTTACGCTCCAAGAAGTTCTTGCGCTTTTCTTCGTCTGTCATCTTAGACTTGGATCCGCCTTCCTCGTTATCATGCTTCATGTCGCCGTCGTCATCTGACTGGCTTTCGTCGCCATTCATATCAGATAGAGCAGTGTTATTGGTCTTGGACTTCTTGCTAGGGGGGCCCTTGGCCGGAGGCTCTTCAGCCTTCCGACGGCCATTGACTGAGCCACCTCCGGTAGAGTTTCTCTTACCCTTACCCCTCGCCGAGGGACGGGCTTGCTCGCTCTCATCCGACATGGCGCTGCCGCCTTCGCTAACACCTCGCACTGAGGATCCAGCGCCAACTGAGCCAGCACCGTTCACACTCATCCGAGGAGACGTGTCGATACCCTGTGTGGGGGCAGGGGCAGGGGCAGGGTGCGACTTGGACTGGGGCTGCGTTGTCGACGCGTATACGGGAGCTTGAGCGCCGTTTCTACCTTGAGCAAGCATAAACAGACCGTTTGCCGCGTCGTTGTCGTGGGGGTCAAATTGCTTAGCTTCGGCCTTTACAGCAGGTGCGCCGTTGGGCATATCCTGGGGCTGCGAAGTAACGGGTGGCTGTTGTTGGCCCTGGCTCTGGTTTTGGTTTTGGTTTTGATTCTGCGCCTGATTTTCACGTTTCGCAGCAGCACTCAAAGCAGTTCGGTGGAAATCAATGGTGCTAGGTGTAGCACCTCCGCTAGCAAGCTGGGCAAAGAGTTGTTGGGAGTTGGGACTAGGAGCAGGGAACATGGACCCGCTGCCACCTGGTGTCAAGCCGGTCCTGAGCGAGGACTCGTTCGGGGTCGGGAAGCCGCCTCGTAAGTGATGCGTGTCACTGAAGTAATCGCTCGTCGGACCCGACAACATGGCCGGGCTCAACGGACCAGTCCGGAGAGAACCACCTCCCCAATTAAACGGAGTTGCGCCGCTGCCGGGCAGCAACGAAGAGGGCGAAGTCAGAGCGGCAACGGATGGCAATTTCGTACCTCCGGGTGTCTCTGGCGCGCCTCCACCGAAAGACTGCTCAAAGGGGTTGGGCTCCAGACTGAGAGATCCAGCGGCTCCGCCGCCAAAGTAATCGGGAGTGTTTCCAGCGACGGTTTGTCCAGGTCGAGGAGGGGGGCCGAGAGGTTTCGCGCCGTCAGCATCGGGCTTCAAACTCGGATCGGGTTGCTTCACTTCGGAGATGGAGTCTATTTAGTGGTAAGCGAGTGGACGGCGACGACACGACGAGGGCGATGGAAATGCTTGTTGAGAAAACGGCAAAGTATCGTGATGCGAACGAAAGAGAGCAAACGTACCTCGGCGTGACGGAGTGGCATTGTTGGACTGTTTGGGAGATTTGGTATCACCCCTGGTCGAGGCATCATTCGGCGGCGTGCCCATGATGACGACGATGATGTATTATACTAGGGGGAAAGAGGGTTGTTGACGTTTGTGGGGTCGACGCCGAAGGCAAAAGGTGACGGCAGAAGGGTAGGGATGATGTATGATGGTGTTAGGGGAAACAAAGCCAGATGAGGTCAGAGGGCAAGACGCAGCCAACAGTAAGAGGAGGGCTTGGGAGTCCGAGTGGAAGCAGAGAAGGGAAGAGAAAAGCGCGCGATGGTCCTGCGCAACGTGGGAGACACGGGCAAAGCAGCGACGGACGGCAACGGGCAGGGAAGGTTTCGGTTAGTTGGTCAGAGGCAGCAGCTACGGTATTGCAGCGCTCCTCTGAGTTGGAAGCGGCACGGGAATGGAGTAAGTTTCGGCGATCGACGACGTGGTGAGGAGGGAAAAAAAAAGTTGTCTCGCTGTGGCCGGCAGCAGAATACCTAGAGTGATTGCGTAAGTTGTGGCCTCTCTGGATGCGTACCCGGGAACGTGCTGAGATCGAGGGGGGTGCAGAGCGAAAGCGAGTATCGAAGTGAGGATGGGATGTTGGGTGGGAAAAAAAACGGCAGACGTCACAGGTCAAGTATGACGTTGCGCGGCGGTTGATTTAATAAAAAAAAAAGGGCGAGGGCGCACGAGAGAAAAGAAAAAGGGTGGGCAGCGGCGCACACTCCTGATACCAAGACGCCCACGTCCATGTCCATGCCCATGCCCATCCACACCCCCCGTCCTGGTCCATCCAGTCTCGTTCGACAGCTTGTTCCTGCGCTGTTGCGCCTTCTGTTGCTTCCTGCTTTCTGCTCCTGCCCCGTTCTGCTGCGAGAAACGCTGTGATATTTGTGGGTCTATTTTACGCACTGTACGGCGACTGACCCGGGTAGCCAAAGAACGGCTTACGAATGGGGGTTAGTCTTCCCCACACACACACACGCCCCCCCCCCCCCCAGCGTATCGTACCTCTCTACCTACCTGACCTGACTTGAACTATCTACGGAACGATGACAACGTATTAGGTATTGCCGGCAACAGCATCTTCGTGAGACATCATCCAGCCCTGCCATGGGTGTGTGCCCGTCTGTTTTTGACCGTCTCCCCGTCCGGGGCTTTGATTTCAACTTCGGTACATATCTCACTCAAACCTGGATTGGGTTCCGTCCACTGCCCTGCCCTGATATCGTTGAACGGCCGAGTGAGGAGGTCACCCACCCACACACACGCAATGATCAAACTCCGTCCCATATTGCTGCTTCAAGCAAAGGACGGTAGAGGAGGCTACCGACGACGCGATGGCATGCACCATCTTGCTCGGAGGGTTTCCTTCTTCGTATTTTCCAATCCGCTCCTCGACTGTGCGGGTTTGCCTTTCGGCTTCGCCTTATCTTGATTTATCAGCTGAATAAAATGTACAAGAAGATGTACAAGAAAATGTACAAGAAAATGTACAAGAAAATGTACAAGAAAATGTACACTACACTAGAATACTGTCCACACTGTTGCATTGCCAGGACCGTCACCATGAACCCTGGGGACGTCTTGGGCCGGGCCTGGGCAGGCGATGGGTCTTTTCTCTTCCACAGTGCCTCGCTTCATCCAGATAGATATCTACCCTACGGATGGATACCTACAAACCACAAACCACAAACCAGACGGGCGGCCTGCCAGGAGCAAATCGACCGATACTCAGTGTCACACTGTACGCGTGTCGACCACTCACCGGCCATGGCCCAACCAGTGTGCAAGAAGCCATACGGTCAGAGGAAAAAGGAATGAGAAAATTCAAATCCAGAGGGGGGGTGCCGGTCCGCACCACCCCGGTCTGCACCGTGTCTTCAGCCAACGTTGTTCACTGTGGCTGCGAGTTGTCCATCCATGATCCGGCAGTCCCACTCCGCCCCCACCCACACCCCAAATGGCAAAGACTGCTAACCCCTGCATTGATTGCATCACTTTCCTTCCTGTCGCAATCATAACAGCGCAACCCGCCGCCGGCTTTCTCTCGGTTTGGCGGTTTGCCTTTTTTTTTTCTTTTTCTTTCTTTCTTTCTTCCTCGTGGAGGTGGATGAAGAGTATCCATACAACCCGAACCATCATACACTAGTCGCCCGCCGAGCCTCACCCACGGCTCGCTCCATCATACAAACATCCAGTTTCGCCCCTCCTCACTTCTGTAAATCTCCTACGCATCACATCACTGCTACGATTTCTTCGACCCATCAACCCGCTGCGCAGTGCCTTCCTTGTCTTTCGCAGGTTCTAGACCAGTCAGCGCCATCGAACCATCCGCACCGTGTGGCCGCGCTAGGTGTCTAACCATGCGGCCGTCAGGTCGTTTTGAGGAATCTGGCCCTCGACAAAACGTTACGGTGAGATGATCGACGTTTTTGTTCCTCTTTCTGGAAAACTTCCCCTCTCCCATTCGCGAGCTGGTATCGTATCCCACCCGTACTGTACGGCAACTGTACCTTGGTGTAGTGTACGGACATCCAGCCTCTGGGGCTCGACCGCATTCGACAAGACTCTCGAAACCTGGCCGTGTCATGCTTTTGTCCTGTAGACCATCAGCCAGGCCTCGACGGCAGTCGCTCTTCCATATTTCTAAGCTGCACCTGCCCAACCCAGCTGGGGCCGACAATGACAGCGTGGGTGGGCTGGCAAAATGAAGGGATTCAACGCGACTAGCAGTCGGGGTGGCAAATTGTGGTCATTACCCACCAATGAGGTGCTGCATAGCGCCGCGAATTGGTCAGGGAGGGCCCGGCATCTGGTCCCTGCCCCCCCGACTGGCGACTTTTTCTACTTTTAACAAATTGCGTCACAGCACTAGCACACGTCGGGCCACGTCTATATCGAATCCGTTCCGAGGCCCAGACACGGAAACGCAGACCAGAATGATGCCGTTTTCCCCCCTCCTCGCCCCTTTGGCAAGCGACCCGTCGCCTAGCATTGCTTCAGCACTCGCGCCCTCTCTCTATTTCTCTGTCTCTATCTCTCTCTCTCTCGCTGTTCAGCATTGTTCGCGGTATGGATCTTGCGCTTACAGTTCTCTACCCGAGTCCTGGTTTAGTCAGCTGAAAGTCACAGATTCGACTTTCAACACCCCATTACGTCACGGACACGTCTGTTTTAGGCTTGAGACGAGGACAACTAAGAAGATAGAGTTCGCGAAAGCACAGCAAGTACTCGCGCCCAAGGCTACGGCTTCGGCCTGTGCACTCAGGAGTACCGGTCCTGGTGCCATTTGGCTTCTGCGCTGCGTTGGTGGCGTCGTTGGACGTGACGTAACTGTGCGCTGTTGAAGTATCGGCGAATGGTACGGATATACATATTTGTATGGCCCAATAAGCTAAGAATACGGTGCTGTGTATCAACGGTGTCGCCCACACTTGTCGCCCGGCACGGTCGGCAAGTTCCAAAAGCTAGCCAACGGACCTCTGGTCTGTACGACTAGCCATTCGCGCGTTCGGTTCGTGCGTGTCAGGATCCATCTTATCAATGGCGGGCTGCGATTTTGACAGGATCCATCCAGTATTGTAGGTATACGACCGCGACACAGGCAACGGATTTCGAGAACTCTCATCGTCTTCCAGGTCTTCGCTTTGGAAGCTTGCGGATAAGCCCACGAGCTGCTCCGGGACGACCGCTTGATGGTGTGCTTGGTTGGGTTTTCTGCGCTCGCTACGCGAGTCGAATGGGATTCTGAGTCGCATGCTCGGGGAAAGGACAGGGTACGTATCACAGGAGGAGAAAGACTTTGTCGGCAGGTCAGTTACCAAATTATGACGCACTAGACCCGGAGCACGATCCCTGTGCCCGCAGCCAGTGGCTCCTCTATTCCCGCACCACACAAGCACAAGCACTGTGCTTGAATTACTGTACACTACGGATTATTACCTTGATTGCCTTTCGCGTCGCGTTGCGACGTATCTTACTGTAGGGGGGTGCAGGGATACATATACTGACGGAACAATGACGGAGAAAGCCGATTGCTTGCTAAAGGTGACGGCACGCTTGATAAGCACTTCAATCAAGCCAAGCCTCTCTCTGGCATAGGCACGACTATTGTCGATTTATCTGCTTGAGCCTCGATTCCGATCTTGCGCATCAAGAATGTCGGATGGAAATTCGGATCCAAGCGAACGAACGCACGCACGCAAGAAACACACGCTCCATTACAGCAAGAGAGCGGCGTCTTTCGCCATGTCTAGCTAGCGCATCTACACTCCCACTGCCCATTCCCTCGGGTCGCCGCCACAGGTGCCTGTTTAAGCCTCAACTCAGTGGAGGATCTCGTCCGAACAACTCCAGCTCGGCGTCGTCGTACTCCTCCTCGTTGTCCTCGTCCGCCCCCAGCTGCGATCCATGACTCCCCGTCGTCGGCGCATTTCGCGTGCCAATGCATCCTGTGGTCCCCGGTTGGCCATGTTACCTACTTTCCCCTAAGCAAAACCACCGCGGTAGCTTCAAAACACAGCCACGCTTATCGCCGATGGCTAGCTGGATCACATTTGACCCCATACGGTGACATGCCGCCTCGCAACTTGACCTTTCAACGGGCGATTCTGGCACCTACTAGTAGATGGGCGGGAGAGGGAAGGGTGAACCGCGCCGACGAATGGCTGGCTATCCCAAGCGGCCGTTCCGTTCCACCAATGCTGTGTGTCGTGTAGTGTGTCTTACAAGCGTGATCGATGGCGGCAAAGTGATGGAGCTGGAAGCAGGAAGCTGCGTCGCCCGATGGCTCTCGCATGTCGTGCCGATGCCCCACTCCCTTCTCAAGTTATCACAGTCGACTTTGAAACTACTCGGCACTCGGTTTGTTTTTTTAGTAGCAGTGGGTTGTTAGTGGTTTTATTTTATTTTATTTTACTTTATTTTATCTTATCTTGTTTTATTTTATTTTATTTTATTTTCTTGCTAGCGTTGGTCGCCGTCTGCATTAGTGAATCGAGAGGTATACAGCAACAAGCAGTAGTTTACAACTTCAATGTGCGGCAAGCGAACGCGCGTAGGAAAACTCGGCCACTCGATGTCCAGTCTGTGCAACACGGCGATGTGGGGGGGACCGAAAGCGGCCTTCTCGCCTAGTAGAGACGGCGGAGGGAGAAGACCACTGCACAACCACCCACCCACCATATCGGACCATTTGACGAACTGCAGCATACCTACCTAACCTATCTCAACCAAGATGTCTTGTGCGACGTGGACGATCGCATTCTCAGCCCTCCATCCCAGCTCAGATGGGCACGAGGTTTCTCGATGAACGGTTCCCCCGGGCTTTTCCAATTGTGTTTTCCCGTGCCCCGGCCCGCGCCCCCTTTGGCATGCTCGTCACAAACCGAACCCCCCCTCGGTGAGTGAAGATTTACGCCACCATTCCAATGTTTAGGATGTGATGCTCCCCGATGGCCATTACACGTTTTGCAGGCCCCCGCCCGTTGCCATCGCGCGTAAACATTAGTTCAGCGGGAGAGGAATATGGAAGGCTTTTTTTTCACAGCTTGGCGGAGGCTCTGCGTTCCTTGAACCTGTCCAGCTTCTCCACCCTGAAGCCATGTCGCGGCGCGTGCACCCTCGCCGGCCCCTTAGGCCCCTGGACCTCGATCACTACCTCGTCCTTGTCGAGGCTGACCAGCTTCCCGGTGTCCTTGTGCGAGGCGCCCGTGTCGGCGGGCCAGAGGATGACGTCGTCGCCCGCCGCGAGTCCCTCGGCGGCCACGAGCGCGTCCGCCGCATCGACACAGCCCGCGGCCTCGTTGTACGGCGACGAGACGACGATGCCAGCGGCCTCGTCCCCGGACACCGTCGCAACCTCTGGCGCCGCCTTCGTCGCCGCCGACACGGCCTTCTGGAAGCGCCCGATCCACGCAAACACCTTGGGGAACCGCTCCGCTGATATCTGCTCCTGGGGAAGCGCGCCGGGGATGCGCGTGAGCCAGTGCGGCAGCCACACGGCCTCGATGTCCGCCAGCCCGGGCCCGTCCGTCCTGAGGACCCAGTCCCGCCCGTCGGCGAGCAGCGTCGTCTCGAGCAGCTCCATCGTGCGGCGGATCTCGTTGACGGCCGTCGGCCGCGCGCGCTGGATGGTTTCCGCCGAGTGCTTGCGGCCGAGGTATTCCGCGCGGTCCTTTAAAAAGTTGCTCTTGGGGTCCCGAAGAAACGGCAGGTCCGTGGGGAGCACGTTGACGGCGTTGGAGAAGACGCCGCCGTCGATCACGAGAGCCTCGAGGAGGCGCTCAACGGCGACCTCCTCCGGGACGGCGGCGCCTAGGCGCGGGCGCGAGGGGTAGAGCTGCTCGAGCTTGCGGAGCATGAGGCGGGTGTCGTAGTAGATGTCGCGGCCGATGGCGAGGATCGGGATCCGACGGTGAACGATGCCGAGCTTCTCGACATCCGGCCGGGGGAGGACGGGGGGTTGCATCTGGCGTGTCGTGTTAGTGCACAGTCTCCTCCTGAGTGAGCAAACAAAAAAAGCAAGTGGCGTGGCAGGCGTACGCATTGGACGTATGGGATGCCCCTGAGCGCAAGGTACCACACAATCCGCCTCGCGTACGGCGAAGCGGAGTAGTGGTACAGCACGATCTTCTTTTCCTCGCCAGAAAAAGACATTGCGGGCTTGTTGACCTGCTGTCGGTGGATGTAGTTGAGATACGGTGAGATGTGGCGCAGCCGGTCAGACAGTGAAAGCACGGCAGTACGGGGTCGAGAACCAGGCTATGGCAGCGAGGAAATCCGCCCGATTAGGCGTGACTCGTGTAGCTGGAAGACGAATCGGGGTTGTAAATTGCTTTTCAAAAAGAAAAGAAAAAGAGAAACAAGGTATAAATAAACAATAAGAAAGACGAAGATGGAATACTAACAATAGAAAAAGGTAAGCGCCCGCGGCAACTTTGCAGGTCTGGGTGACGTGAGGAGGTTGATGATGCAGCAGCCGAGATGAGGCGAGAGATGCCGAGGCACGATACTATGTAGACAGCCGGCCAATCCGGGGGTTGCAACGTGGGGCTCTGGGCACGTGGAGCGGCCAATGGCATGGCTCTGTGGAGGGGGGTCGTTCACCTGGGTGGGGCTAGCCAATTGGGTGTTATACCTTTTTCTAATGAAGGGGTGGTGACCCTACATTTGGAGGATGATCTCTGATTCGACTTCCTCCTGTGTCAAGCCATGCGCGACGAAGGAGCCCAACATATCCCTCTGAACCGTCTTGTCGGGCCCGAAGCGCTCAGCGGCCTGCTTCTTGGCGATTCTATATTCGACGATCAGCGAACGAGCCCGTTGTTCAATATCAAGCTACGCCAAAGCGGATAAGAAGCATCTCACCCCATCACCTTTCCGAACCCTAGCCGGTCCTTCTCCGACGGCAGCAGTGCCCGGAACAGGGGCGAGCCGAACAGGCGAACGACCCAAGGGTAAACGGTTGACACCATGAGCATTGGCAGACTCTCTTCCGTCGTCCTGATGTAATCGTACACATCCGAGTCGGTTTCCATGAAGCCTAACGGCTTTCCAAAAGCGAGGTCCGAGATGACGTCCAGGGTGAAGAACTGCGCCTTGCGGCCAAAGTCCAACGGTTTGTCCGCATCGATGTACCTTTCGATTAGCGTAAAAAGCCGCGATAGGTTTTCGTCTATCTTGGTTTCAAGGTTTTCTACCTCACGGCCAGAGTACTACACAATGTCAGGCACGTCATGCTTTTTGGGCAATGTATGAAGTGGCTTGAGGGGGTAATGGGAGAGGTTGTGGCTTACACCAGCCGCCATTTTGGACCGCAGCTTGGAGTGGTCATCCTCATTCCTCGACGACAAGATGTTGTTCTTGGCCGGGTTGAAGCGCATGGCGTCGTACCAGTCCGAACGACGGTATTCGCTACGCACGGCGAGCATGCGCTTCAAGAGCTCCGGATCGTCGTCGAGGAGGTCGTTGGGGCCGATGCGCGCGAGTGATCCTACGTTGGTCTCAAATAAGCGGCTACTTCTTGTGAATAACATCAAGATAAGATAAAGCCACGATCATAAAAGCACGAGATAGCTCACCATATTTTTGACTGACATGATACAAGTCGAGGTCTCCATGTCGCCCGGTCAAGACCCGGAGAAACCATAGTTTTGATACGGCGGCGAACGGTGGTCCCTTGAAGTGTCTAAGTCTCCTATATTGCCTCACCGTTACCAATAACTTATGTAGAAGGAAGGCCAAAGACAGGAGAATAATGGCAGACTGGGTGGGGTTCCTGTCCCATTGATGGCGAAAAGCCTGGACGAGATCGGACGGATCGGCCATCACCTCTCTTTTCGATGGATTTGGATACGAAGGTAACGGTGCCGCAGACGGTGTGTAAGTTGTAAGTCAGACTGCTGTTTGGCGGCGTACAAATCGTTGGCCATCAAGTTGAGAGGTTCTGGACGACTGCAAGCTTCTGATGGTCAAGAGAAAGCAGGTCGTATATACGTTTGCTCACCATACGCGGGGTAACTTAACTGCAGAAACCCCGGTCGATAGCCCCTCATATCCTGTGGTATGATCTTTCCACCTTCCTGTTCTGCAGAATATTCGATAAGGATATTGGAGAGGGGGATAGGTACTTGTATGACGTAGGAACTCGGAGCGAGGTGGGGGGTGTGAGCGACGACAGCATGTTGGTCCCAACAGGCAACTTTTACTTTCTTTCATGATGAATATCCTGACGAGTGGCAGTATTGCCATGTGTCCCGTTTCTTTCATTGTCTGAACAAAATTGCCTTGTCCACCTGCTCCTGTCTTACCAGCCACCATCTTACGGCCGCGCAGGTGGTGCTTGAGTCCCAATGAATCCTCGCTGCGTCAAAACAGCCCTTGATATGTATCGCTTCTCAACCTCAAACTTAAAGATAGAGCACGGAAGGCTGATTGGCTTGGTTTGAGTATGATGCTATGATTTTGAGATAGCTCACCGACGCCTAGCCTGCGGGGTCACTTCGGTAGGTATTCTTTCAGACTACCTAGGTAGGTGCCTAAAACGACCTCGTCGAGGACGTAGAGCGATTTTCCAAGACCGGCAATTGGATGCAAGGTTCTCGCACACTGATACGGAGGATACCCATCATGCCACGACAAGGCACCTCATCCAAAAGCGATCCGGAGTAAGCCGGGATCTACTTGAGGCGGTTTTCCGTTCCGCCGTCGGAGGCGTAGCTTCCACTCGCCAGGTGTAGTAGGACCTGTGGAAACGAACCGATCTATACGTTTTATCCTGCCAAGTACATCGGGTGACCTCATGGGTGGCTCACGCAACTGACTAGGATACCTACTACACTGGTCTTCCCCCCCCAATATCTACGTTACGCCAAGTCTCGGCAACGAATGCAACATTATGAGAAAGACCCAGAGCGAGCCCGGTAAAAACTGCACACATGCGGCGGATCGCTCATCAAGTCTCGGAATGTCCATTCTAAAGCACGTCGCTGACCGACGGCTACACGGTAGACTGCGCCGCCGGAAGTGGCTCTCTGTGCCCCACCTTACGGCCCGAACGACAGGGCTATCCGGCGCGGGCGCCGACCCGGACAGTGGGACCTGCGCGACGAAGACACCCGAATACGACGAGTCAGCGGCGTGCCACTCGTAATACTAACACCCGGCCGCAGCAGGATCTTCGGGTGCAAAATCTGACGGTGACTGGGGCCGCTTTAGCAGTGCCCCGCAGAGACAAAGTTGCTAAATGGGTTCGTTCACCTAATCTCGCTGTCAAGGAGGAAGAGTTCGCCAGAGGACGCCGGGGGTGAGGTGCTGACCCAGGCGCTCCAACAGAGCAGGATCAGTCTGTGGCACAGGTCCTAACGTCAATATTTGTATTTTGAAACGAAACGCGAAAGTTAACTCACGGCCTCGTTGCGCCTACTCACGCCTGTGCATGGCCAGTTCCCCGGACTCAACTCCGGGTAAGTCAAACCCGCCAGTAAACTAATTTTTTTTTCTTGGTTCCCCGAAAAAGGCCGGCGCTGTCGACCCATCTTATCTCGTCCAAACTCTGATTGCAGCCGGTGGTTGCATCCTTGGGCAGGCATGCCGGTGCCCCCGTCGACGAATCGGGGCGGCGGCGGTAGGAACCGGTCACACCAGAACCGTCCAGTGTTTCCAAGTCATTCCAAAACCGGGATGACTCGAAGGCTATGGGACGTCCCTGGGATGGATCACGTCTACCCGCTTGCAGAGGGCTCCTCTCGTTGATGACCTCAACAAGTTGCTCAGAGGTCTGCACCGTCTGATCAGGGCACCGGAGAAGATGTATCAACTTCCGGTGTGCTCAATACAAATCCAAGGCCCGGCCAGCAACGCGTTGTTTGCAGATCACAACAAACACAGTTTCAGCAACTCGGACTCCCAACAGTTTCCATTGGCTGCATACTGCCGTTGTGGCACAGGTACACAGGAGCCAGAGCTCACGCGAGCATTGCGACCATCTGCACAATGTATGGCTCGTCATCGAAATGCAACGCTAGACTGGAAAGGACTCCGGAGGTGAGAAAGGTATATCGTAATGGCACTTTGACTCTTTTTTTTTTTCTTTTTTCTTTTCTGTCTTTTTTGTCTCGAACGCCGAGGTGCTTCAAGCTGGCAAACCTTATCGCGCTCAGACTGTTCTTGATATCCGGAACGTCTTTAGTTCCAAGCATCTGTTCGCCCAAGGCCGCCGCCAGTCGGCCGGAACTTGACTCAACTACATGTGGGGGACATTTCGGCATACAAACCAAACCATGAAGTGGAATCCAGGGTCTAAGCAGACATATCCGCAAGAGTCCTAAGGAAAAGTCGATATCGTTGGCTTGATGATACCATACACAGGCAGGAGGCTTTGCCGGCTCCCAGGAGGAAAGGCATGCCGTGACGCAATCGTGGCGGGATACGAAGAGCTGCGGGTGCATATTCGAGCTGTGGAATAGGATGGAATGAGGAGCCGGGGCGCGGCGCCATGTAGGGTGGACGGACATGCGGGGAACGAGAGTATCTGTATGTAACAAGGTCGTCAGCTCCCCGTAGCGAGCAGGTCAATGGGTGCTTCATGACAGGCCGCCATAGATTGGACGAAACGAAGGAGCCAATGAAGAGCCATGCAGCTGTATCACCGCCCTTGCAGATGGGAATTGTCATTGAGGGAGGGCTGGGGGACGCCGGATAGTCGCCGGACCGCAGACACGACATGGCCAGTCAGCTATCGAGGGTTAAAAAAAGAGTTGCACACAACAAATCGGTCCGGGGGAGCTGCAGCTCTTGGGCGGCAAGACTCAGTGGAAAGTGTGATGGAGGAGTATCGTACACAATCCATACTTGTCACGTCGATCCCACTCGCCCAAGCGTAGCGCCAGCGGTAGGCCGAGGCCGGCAGGCTAAAGTGAAGGCGACTGAGTCGCATCCAGGTGCGTCCAAGTCTCGGTGACACAAATAATCCGGGAAAGCCAGAGACTCTGATTGTCATACCGGATTTGGGGCTCACGGAGTGGAGGGAGAATGCAGGGACAAGAGGGCGGCCCCGCCATGACAGTTGGCACGGAGGGTGGAATGAAGCCTTGGATCGAGGCAGAAAGAGCCACCACGGTCTAGTCGTACCGGGACTTGAAGGGGCACAGGCCAGACCAGACCAGACCAGACCATGGCGGGAGACACAAGTCCAGTCACAGGAGGCTACTACTACTATTTACGTCGTCCGTGTCAATAGTGAAGCCATATACGAGGTGGCTGCTTGGTTGCACGACGTGGGCTTGAGGAAGAAAATGACAAACCCCACGGATTGTCCGGCATCGTTGATGAACGAGGCTGCTGGGCTGCGTAAGCAATGGGTGCGCCACGTCTCGAGGTTCCCTGATTTCGCATCACTTTCCAGCCAGTATCCCCCCCTAGGCGCTGGCTCGGAGGCAAGTGGTTTTATGCTGGGTAATGATGTTCCCGTCCCCAAAAAGACCAATGGCCACATTACGAGGCAACAGAGGGTGTGTAGACTGCACTTCGAGCATCGTTCCAGGCCTAGGCCGCCTCGTGGCTTATGTACCAGTCCAGTCGATGAGTCCTGCCCGTGTCACTCAGCTAGGTAGGTAGGTATCCCCAGAGTTTGAGTTTGGGGAATGCAGGAAGTTGGGGAGGGGGTTCCTTACTTTGGGGGTGCTTCTCCGCAAACCGTAAGAAAACCCCACATTCCCCTTATTACCGGTAGGCACGTAGTTTACGTACTATGTATCCGTACGGATACGGAGTACTATTACCTACCTACTATGGTGCCTGGAAAGTGGGGCCAGACAACAAGATTTCAACACCCTCCCTCCTTCCGTGTCTTCTCCGTTCCTATCAAGCAGAGTCATTTCATCACATCACGTCCAGACGGATCCGACGACCCGGCGCCCCGACTTGCCATCGGAAAGGGGACGATGGTACGGATACAGCATAAACGAAAGAGAGAAATATCATGGGCTTACCTACCTGGGTTTCATACTGCGCAACCCCATCGCTTCCAGGAATACCAACCGACACTCCATGGCCATTGGAGGATATTCTGTCTCCCCCTCGTCGCTTCTGTGGTCAGACAGGGGTGGCTGAAACTAGCCTGTACCTACTTCATACTGTGTATTGCCGGGCCCTTTTGGGGACTTTGGATGCTTGACACTGCCGATCCTTGAGTTCTCTCTAGGTATTTCGTCTTTGATCGTGGCCAATGTGGAGGAGGACGAGGAGAGGAAAAGGATTGGACACGCAGCCGGCCGGCGCGCCATGAGAGTTGGGATGCATCTTTGCTCTAGACCGTGGAAAGGAGACCTGAGAGCATTAGCGCTTGAGGCAAACAGCACGGCTCTCTTTCTCTCTCTCTCTCTCTCTCTCTCTCTCTCTCTCGCTCGATTTCACGTCCCGCCAAGGTAGCCAAGTACGTACCTACGTCGGGAAATAAAGAAGGTACAAGTTCCGACTTCCGGTGGATGGAATGACCTTGGACAGATCAGACGGACTCTCGGAGAAGGCGTCCTTCTTCGCCTTACCTTTCGTTAGGCTAGCAAGTCCCCCAACGCATGCTCCAGGCTGTCGTGGGGTTGATTTGTGCTTGCATAAACAAGGAAAATCCGCGGGCCACACAAACCAATGGCAACAGGAAGGCCGTCACGACATCACCGGCATGATCCAGGGCGAATGGCGGTGAGAATGGCGTGCAAGATGCTGGCACAGTCGTCGACGTCGTCGTCCAGTGGCTGGTGTATAGGTACAAGCACGGTGCAATGCTGCCGCCTTCTGTGCGTGCGTGCTGTACCCCAACTCGCCGAAACCTCTGCAGAAACAATTCCGTTTCCCCGACCAGCTCATCTCTATATCTGAGATGTACGTCGGTGCGGATGTGCTGGCTGTCTGCCTCCTGGAATCCTTGGCTGAGAACCATCCCCTACGTATCTGTAAACGTCCGGGGGGGTGGAGACAGGGACATACCGGCAGAAACCCAGACCGGTCTCCCTTTGGCTTCCATTGTTTTCTCTCGTGTGCCCTGTATCGCCCAAGAGAGATACGATTTGTTCCCATTTCCCCTATAATCACGCCCTCTTACACCGAAACCTGGCCGGTTCTCCTCTCAATGGGGCAATGCGGTCATGATCCTGGCAAGGGCATACCTAGGCACCACAGATATCCACCCCGGCTGTCATGGAACATTCCTCCCCTTCCAGCGCCCAGTGAAAGCCGGGGGATCATCTTTGCCGACTGGGGGCTTGTTTGGGGCCGGCCAACAAAAACAGATGGCTTGCGGGCCGCGGCAAACCAGGACAGACTGGACGCGGCATGCATGGCATGTTGTTGCCTTTGGGCTAGCTGACATGCCTAAAATCGAGAATGAGAACGAACGAAAATAAAAATAAAAATAGTACGGGGTAGGAAACAAGTACACTTTTGTTTTATTAGAGATGCAGCGTATCAACCCCCCCCCCCCCAGAAGGCTTAGTACCGTACCACGGGAGAGCACTCGGCTGGCTGGCCTGAAAAGCAAGCAGTGGTTAATAAAATCCCATCATTGCCACTGAGACAGTCATCTTGCGCATCCGTCCTGACACACGCCAGCCAGCTCTGTCCTGCTCAGACCCATCGCCCCCCGGTGCATCTCCCATCTTATACATCGCCTTAGATTGCGACATTGCACATCTCAAGCCTCGCGCGTGCCAGCTCCGCAGGCCAAATGAAAGACAGTCTTGTACCACATACGAATACCTACATGTGCCCGTTGCCTCATCAAGCTTGTCTCGTCTCCCTCTGAGCCCGTTCGAACGCCTGGTCCACTTCCCCTCCTCTTCTTCATGTCTGTCTTGTAAGCCCCGTTATAATCCCAGGTCAAGACCATAGGTATTACTTCTCCCCGGGATATGAGGGCATCCGGCTGTTTCTGATCCCTGCCCTGTACAAGTCGCATCCTCTCTTTCCTCCTCTCTTCTCCTCTTCGCCCCAGACTTTTCTAATCAGTGTCTTTGCTCATCTCCCTTTTTCGTTCCTACCCCTGATTTTCCCCCCACGCTTTTACCCCGGGCTACTGCAACCTTACCCGTACCTTGCCTCGATTCGCACCTGCCCATAGCCTACACTCTCGACCGCTCGCTTGGGTCTTTTCTTTCTTTATTTATTTCCCCCCTTCTTCCCCCAAGCATTCCATCACCCTTGCCGTGTTTGCGTACCGACTTGATCGGCCCTGGGTGTCTACGATACAAGGAAGGAATTGTGAAATCTCTGTTACGGATCGCGCACAAACGCCCACGCCCACGCCCACGCCCACGCCCACCCCCGTCACACCCTTTTGCTCCTGGCCCTGTCCTCCTCTCTGCCTACCTACCTACCTACCTACCTCCCTCTGTGCCACTGCTTCGAGCCTCCCGACTTAAATACTCCGTCGCCTGCACTCCCACCCTGACGAGCCACTCCCACCCCATCTACTGCTCCCATCCACAGCTCCCATCCACAGTTCTAAAGCTCCGCTCTACCTGGTCTATATCGACATCACTTCAATCGCAAGATTCTCCATCTACCCGTAGGCTTTACAAACCCCCGTCACTTCCCCAGACTTGTCCATAGGACCCAATCTTCCCGGTACGTCAATCCCGTCAACCATCTACGGTGTCGTCGAGGCGTTGCGTCTCTGACACTACGTGGTAGCTCTTCATAGTCCGCAACCACAACATCCCCAAAATGCCTGCAAGCCAGATTGCTTCGCCCATGCCAATTCCTCCCCAGCGGAGGAATTTGCGTCTGATGACGGGCCATGATCTCTACAACAGTCTCAACGCAAGTCTCGCCTCAACCACCCACCGCCCAGTGACGCCCGTTCGTATGATCCGCGAGAACGACTACAGCGTACCCGCCCCTCCACCACCAAGCCCAGTCTCTTTCGCTGCGGAACACTGGCAGTCATCGATCCGCCGCTAGACTGCCTCAGCCAGGTCTACGACCAATGAGCAATATGCCCTATGTTTGACACATACGGGTCTCTTCACTTGTACAATCAGCATACGGACTATCATGGGAGCAAAGGGCAAAATGGGATACAGGGAAAAAAGTCATTCGAATCGCGAACGGTGTTTCCGTTCAAGAACAGGGCAGGCAACAACGTTGGGTTTTTTTTTTCTTTGGTCTGCACATGGTATTGGCAACAAAAACCGAAAACTGGTGTTAGCTAGGGACGAGGAGCATCTACGGATTGCTCGTAATTCTATGATTGCATTCGCGCTTATCAAGGAGAATTGTCTTCCAATCATGAAATGACATTGATATCAATAACCGTTCCACTACTTCACCGGCTTTGAATGTGATATCGACTTACCAAGGTACGTCTTCAAGGCGGTCCCCTCCTAGGGTCGCACAGGTACACGAAGATAGCAACATTGTTAGAAAAACCCAGTATGACTATCCCGTCCAATACTCAACGGAATATGATGTCGAGTTACGTGGTTCCGAGGAGGGTGTTCGCCGGGAAAAGGGCCGTCCCATGTCTGGCATGAAGTGGATCGAACAGAACAGGTGTGAAGCGAGCATAGACAGGTAGGTGGACGAGCCTCCAAACAGTGATTTGAATGCGGCTGGCAAAATTGGACTGCAACGTCAAGTACTCCGTACAGACTTTCCTTCTTCTTTATTGTCACCCCTTGTTTCTCGCTGGGCCGCTCTGTGTGCCTCTCCACATTCAGGTAGGTACCTAGGGTAGTGTCGTGCTTTCCGTTCGTTGCACGTTGAAAAAAAGTAAGGAAGAAGAAGAAAAAAGAAAAAGAAAAAAGGAGGATGCTGGCGGGTTGCCCCGTCGCGGGTGCATGGACCCGCGCAACCGACGTGCCCCACCCACTTAACGCGACTTCCATTGTGTATTGCTATCGAAAAACGCGTCGGTCGCGGACGTGGAGTCTGCGACCCCTGACCAGGCGCGTTGCTAGCGGTCGTTGCTCCATCATCTCGGCTCCCCACTCCCCTTCCAATATACAAAACCTCTTCACACTTCCTCGCGACTTCCCATCACTTTACACTACTCCTTCTACACCAATTGAGACTTTCATAACGCTTGCCATATATCCTGCGCTTTGTGGCTTCATCTTGAACCTTCTGTCGACCGGCATTTCGCGTCTTATACCCACCGAGACGTTCAGCAGTAACACATCTCGACGCAATGGCTCGTGCAGCTTCCCGTCGGCAGGTCAAGCCCGATCCCTCGCCGGCGATCAACCTCATCGGCAAGTACGGCCGACTTTCCAAGACGCAGCCTGTTCCCGAGGACAGTTCTGTGAAGAAGGCCTTCTATATCGAACTAGCCAGCTCTCGCCCAGTTACGACTGTGGAAGTTACGACGGAGATCAAGATCGAACCCAGCCCCGAGAGGGCCATTCCTCCCACGCCAAGCTCCTCTAGAAAGCGCAAGGTCAGATCCATTGAAGACGAAACCCCCGCTAGGCAAACCAGGAACAACGTCCTGTCGCCTGAGGTTCTGAAGCGTCAGCGACTCTGCAAGGATGAGCCTGCTCCTGTCATCGAGGAGCCCGCGTCGGCAACAACCACCCTCTCACCCCGGAACACATCATCTACTCTTGCCGACACCCGCCGAAAGTCACGCAAGTCGGACGTCATATCCCAAGCAAAGTCCGAGGTCCGCAAGGCCAACCAAAAGGTCAAGCGGTCGAGGAACCACGATGCATCCGCCAAGCCGGAGGTCAAGGAGGAGACGACCAGAAAGCAATTGCCAGCTGAGCTCCTTGAGCTTCTCGGCCTCCAGCGGGCGATTCTGAAGACCGTCTCCCTTCAACTGGTGCACCAAAACAACAACACACCCCTCGACATCAGCAGCATTACACCGCACGTCGCCCGCACCTGGGGCAAGCGTAGGGTCACAGTCGACGACATCCGAACATGTATAGCAATCCAGGACGCGAATCCTGCCGGCCGGGAAGACGGATTCATGGGCTCCCCCTTCATAGTGACGGACTACGGGCGCGGCAAGCTCTGCCTCGAGATGGACCCGACCAAGAACACCAGCCACATCGACGAGGATCAGCTGTGCAGGCAGTTCGAGGAGAACCTGCACATCATGTGCGCCCAGCGAGCCACGGATGAGATGTCCGACCTGGACCTATGCTTCGAGAGCTTGACCTTTGACGACCTCCCCAAGTCCGACATCACCGTCCGCCATACCGCCATCTCCCAAAACCCCGTGTTCGCCAAAGGCCAGCGTGCCCTGGGCGCGCTCAAGGACGGCATCCTGCAGAAGAAGCAACAGAAGGAGGCACAGGTGGCGGCCACGAAATGCCCGGCTCTCAAACCCGACGGTACCAAGATGAGTCTTCTCGACAGGCTGCGCGCCAAGGAAGAGGCCAACGCCCACATCCAGCTGCCCAGCGGTCCCGAGCTTGCGAGGCAGCGAGCACTGGCGCGTGCCGTTGACATTGCTGCCATCATCTCGATGCTCGTGTCTTCGTCGAACGTGGCCGGCCAGCCGGTTATGTCGTTTACGATGCTCGTTCTGCAGCAGAAGCTAAAGGATTCCGTGCGGGTGCCGATGCCCGTGGAAGAAGGTATCCAGACGGTGCATCTGCTCGCCAACGAGGTTGCACCTGAGTGGTTGAGAATAGCCAGCGTAGGCGGCAAGGAGCACGTCGTCGTCCAGACAAGACGGAAGCCGTACGATACGGAGCTCGCCGCGCGGGTGAATAGACTCTCTGTATAGAGGGACGGGGATAATAATTGTGCGGGAGATGGAAGAGCTTTTCATTTTTGTCTTTTGAACGGATGGATGCATGGTATGGTGTACCATGGCGTGGTTTTTTCGGATATGGAGTTTGGAAGATACCACGGAAGAAGAGGAAGTGTAGGCAGGCGCTCGGTTCTTCGGGAGTGTGTCTGTTGGTCCATGTCCAGCGGCCTGCCAATTCATGAGTCAGATGAGTAAGTCACTGGTTTGGATATCCCAAATGCTGAGAAACACCCCGTACACCCATACAAAGACACACACACATATATAGACAAAACACTGCGGACGGGACGCAGATAATGGAATTCGCGTAATCGTCAGCTTTGCAGTGCCGACTCATCTATTGTGCTGTAAAACGTCTAGGAACCGTAACCATCGTCGAGAGCCCATCTCTCGAGACATTTCTGTCCAGCCTTGGTGTTTCTCAGTCTTGTTCGTGTGCTATGCAACCAACCGGGTCATAAATCAAGACCTTTTTCGACCTTCCAAAGACCAGACTCCCAGCGAAAGGAAGAGTTAGGGATTCTATGGGCGAGAGCTGCGAGCGCTCAACCTCGCAGGGTTTCCCTCCCCCTCCGAAACCCCCCGTCCGACCTTCCTCCTCCCATAACATTCACCACCATTTGGGTTTCGACACAACAAGGGCGAGAGGGTCAGCAATCTCCGTCGTGGGAGACCAGGACTCCACCCGCTCATTTCTTCTTGGCGAACCGGGGGGCACCGATGTCATTGCCGCGCAGCTTGACGTTGAGGACGCGCTCCATGGCGGCGAGGATCTTCTGGTCGGGGGCGGCGGAGCCGCGCTCGAACTCGGCGACGACGGACTGGGTGGTGTTGCACTTGGTGGCGAGGTCCTTCTGGGTCATCTTGGGCTCCATCTTCTGGCGCGTCTGGGAGATGGCGTCGCCGACCTGCTTGCCGACCGTGTTGGGCTTGATGATGTCGTCGGAGCGGTCGACCTTGGTCAGGCGCTGGCCCTCGACACCGGGCTTGGTGGCCTGAAAAACGGGGAAGGAGGATTGTCAGTTCACTGGCTTCTCTCTTCTGCATTTGTCTCTCTCTCATTTTAAGGGCCGGGAGGGGAGCTAGAGTGAGGCTGTTCCGGTCGTTGCTCCCCTCCCCCGTCGTCAATGTAGGAAGAGTGGGGAATGGAGGGGTGAAGGGACAGGCCATGATGTCAAGCATGGTCGGGTACGTAAGGTAAGGGCAACTGCCAAAGACGGTTGGTCTTTGGGAAATGGGGGGAATCACGTACAGCATTGCCGGCGGCGTACTTCTTCTCAGTTGCAATGACGGAACCACTGCGCTGGGCGGCGTTGAGAGCGCTCTTTCCCTTGATGACAGTTTCTCTCTGCGAAGCTCCGCCGCGGGCCTTGGAGCCGATCTTGGTGGCGGTGTCCCAGTCATCCATGGTTGGCAATATGTATGTGATGGGTGGTGAAGAGGATATGCAAGTTGCTGAGCCTGTCGATTGGCAAGGTGAGAGAAGAAGGGGCGTGCTGTTCCTTTCTCTTGTTGTTCGGTGGTGGTGGTGGTGGTGATCGTGGTTGTCAAAGTGGAAGTTGCGCAAAAGAGGGTTCCGTTGCGTCAGTTTTTGGGGGTCCTTGTTCGGGCTCTTTGTGTGGCTGGTGTGGCAGAGAGAATTGGTGGATTTGTGGGCTTTTGAGGACAGGCTGGTCGGCAATAAGTATTGTAGAAGGCGATGGAAGGACGAAAATGCTTGGTGGGGGATGGGAGAAGGGGGACTGAGTCAACCGGCGTCGCGGACGTAAGAGGGTGGCACATCCCTGCACGAGCCTAACGCCGCAGCAGGAGGAGCAGGAGAAGCTGCCCCGGCGCAAAGCAAGAAGGGGATTTGGCGGGGTGCCTCTGTTCAGCTTGGCGAGGCTTTCTCCCTTCCGAGCCCTCAGCTGTTCTTCTTACACTAGGTATGGCTTCTGCTGACGTTTTCTATCTTTTGCCCGGCTGCGCCACATCCACGTATAGAAAGCGGCTGCGGCGCAGAGAGACCGAGGCCCCTCAAGGTTACAGTCGCCGGGTCAGTCCGCTAAAACCCGGGCAGGCCTCCAGTGACCAGAGTGCCGTCTCCCCTCACTCACCGCTAGGCCGGATCGCCTTCGCTCTTGTCTGTTTGGGACTTGTAGATTTGCGTATTACTTGCCATGTTCCTCTATGGTGAAGGACTTTGTTGGCCCCGATTAAGCTTCTGTTGTGTGCAACTTTCTCTCCGGAAGCCCTCCCATCAACCGGCATGGCATGTACATCGTACATAGTAGTGTAGTCAAACCCGCACTAAAACATCCCCCCAAGGGCCGTCTCGTAGATGACTAAGCTCGCGGATCGGACCTGGGACCAGCGCAGTCTTGATCTCATCGAGACACGCTCACCAGCCCCACAACCAGCCCTTCCTCTACCGAGCCATCCCCCAATCTGGCAAGCAGGAAACACCCAGCCAAGCTTCATGACCCTTGACGGGAACTACTTGATGTTCTTCAAGAAAAAAGAAGGAGGATTAATAAGAAAGAAAAAAACGCTCCAGCTGGTTTGTAATGTTCACGGTGTGGTGACCAAGACATGACTTCGTCGCCGTAAGGACCGCACCCACTGAACGGCATCTCGCGCCGTACCCCGTCCGGCACATCACCCTCTCCCAACCGGCCCGTCGCCGTGACGGTTCACCGTCATACCACAGCCCGCAATGTCTGCCGCCAACTTGAGCCTCCGGCCCTTGACCTTGTTGGTAGGCTTCGCTTACTACTCTCTCCTCGGTGGCCGTCTCGATACTGTCCTTCTCATCCTCTTCTCGGCCCTTCGCAACAGACACGCCCTCGCGGATCTCGTCTCAGGCTACGTCGACACGCACACCCTGCGCCACCAGCTCCTCCTCCTCCTCCCGGGCTTCATTCTCGGCTTCGTCGTCGTCCAGGTCTGCCGCTTCTTCCTGGGGCTCGCGGCGGGTACGCGAGACGCCGCGAAATGGACGACGCCTGTGAGACCGCTGCTGATCCCCTGTACGACGACGCACCGCCGGACATTCCCGGAGAAGCACGCCTTTGAGTACTCGTACCTCGTCGTGGGCATCCCCGTCGGCTGGAGTGGCACCTACGCCGGCATGGTCTCGAGCGATGTCCAGGCGCCCGGCTGGACGTCGTTGTTCTCCGTGTCGCCGCAGCCCGGCAAGGGGTGGTTTGATGTCGACCCCGCGGATTATCTCGACCGAGGCAATGGGCATCTCGGGCTCAGGGGAAAGCTGGATGCGTATCTCGAATCACAGGTATGTTGAGGGCACCCTCGCTCGGCAGTGAGGGACGGACGGCTAACACGGCCAAGGGCGCCGATCCGGCGCAGTATCCTGGCGCCTATCTCGTCACTGCGGCCAGGTTTATGGGGTATCACTTCAATCCGGTCTCCTTTTGGTACCTCTACTCCAAAGACAAGGAGCTGGCGGCCATGATCCTCGAGGTGAACAACACCTTTGGTGAGCGCAGGATGTACTTCCTCACCACTGACGCTCTCCCGTCAGAGCAGCGCCTCAAGAGAGGCGACGACACCGGGGAAGGCGTCTCAGAGCCCGACTCCACAGGAGACCAAGAGTCTAACGGCAAAAGGCCCACGGTGAGACTGACCAAGCAATGGCCAAAGGACTTCCACGTCTCCCCCTTCAACTCGCGCAAGGGCGCCTACTCCCTCTCGGCAACCGACTTCTTCGGCCCCGGTGCTCGCGGGGCCTGCGTCCTCGACAACACAATCACTCTCAAGTCCTCAAAAGACCACCCCAAGCTCGTTGCCCGCCTCTTCAACTCGGGCCCCGCCATCGACCCGGGCTCCATGTCCGCCCCCCAGAAGCTCGCCTTCCTGTGCCGCTGGTGGTGGGTCGGCTTCTTGACGTTCCCCCGCATCGTCAAGGAGGCCGGCGTCCTCTTCTTCGGCAGGAGGCTGCACGTATGGTACCGGCCGGAGCCGCTGAAGGAGAGCATGGGCCGTCGGGCCGACGCGACGGAGAGCCGGCTCGAGCCCATCTTCCGAGCCTACCTGCGCCACCTCGTCAAGCAGTCCGCGGCCGCCGTCGCCGTCAGGTACATACCCGCCGGCATGGACTCGGCCGGCCCCGAGGTGATGCAGTCCCCGGCCGCGAAGAAGAGCCCCAAACGCGCCGAGGAGCTCGACTTCAAGGTCCTCACGCCGGCGTTCTACGCCCGCTTCGTGCACTACGCCCACGATCTCGAGGCCGTGTGCTGCGAGTTCCAGGACAACTCCACGATATGGATCTCGCGGCCGGACCTCCTCCCGAAGCTCATCCTCAAGAAGCCCACGCCGCCCCTCAAGACGACCAACGTGGTCGACTTTGTCTGCTTCCGAGCCATCCGGGCCCTGCGCCGGAGGCCGGAACGCATCGAGCGGCCACTCACCTCCGCCGGGTCGCCGGGTGAAGGCCAGCGGGATGGCGGCGGCGGCGTGCAAAAGGTGGATATCCGCGACTTTCGCATCTCGTCCATGGATGGCTTCATCCTCAGGCACCCTGAGGCGCAGATGCGGAGCGTCTACCGGTCGCTCGTGCTGCGGGTGTTCCTCGCCGACCGCCTGGCACTGGGGAGCGTGGAGCTGCTGGGCTTGCAGCACCTTATCGTGCGTGCGGGCGTCGCTTGGGCCCTGTCGTCGTTGGTCGCTCCGTTGGTGAGATGATGAAGAGGAACAGTCAGTCTACTTAGTCAGCGTCATATACTTGCACACTACGCGCTTGCCTGCGCTCCCTGGGCCCGGCAGTCGTGTTGTATAGGTAGACGAAGATGTTAGATTCAATACCCTGTAGGCGATATCTCATAGACTATTAACGAAACGGACGGCGTTCGTCAAACAGCGATCCGGAACCCCCAACCGATCTTGGCCCCGATGCGCGCTTGCGGTGATCAAACATGCAAACCTGACAGCGTAACAAAAATGTCTTCCGTGGTTCTCCTTCACTGGAGGGAGGGAAAGGCTATCTTGTCAGCGGAGAATGCAAAGAGGGGGGCGGCAGATAAAGATAGCTCGCAGTACCCGCCGTCAGCAGAGAAGACCCAGGAGGGGATACGACATCCAATTACACTGACTAGCCGGGCGGACGATGCCAATGGACCACGTTTGTTAGGTGGGGCTCCCATGCAACGCAAACGCCTCCCCGCGGCGGGGGGTGGGGGACGGATATGGTATTTGAAATCTCCAATCCTCTCTACACTAGATACACGCGCGCACGCGCAGCAATTGGTGGGGTTGTATTCGATTACTTCGCGGGAGAGGCGGTGACGCTGACTCCGCATCTCTTGCATGCTGTACCTCACCTGGACGGGGCTTACCTGGCGAGAGCTCGTCTCTACCGGCCTTTCCCGCGTGTTCCGGGCCTTGACAATGGCAATATCAATGATTTCTGTACTTAGCTACCAAGCTAGGACGGCAGATGCTGCCCGCTTCCCCACCCTATTTCCCAAAAAATACAAATAGCGTGTTTCCAGGGAGTCTAGCACCTAGGTAAGGTCAAAAGGCCCCTCCCAAACAAAAAAAAACCAGGGCGGGCCTGCGCCGCAACTTGGTGGCGGGTTTATTTACTCGATTGGCAGATTTGCAAAGCTGCTTGCCGGGCCGCTTGCCTAAGCATCCGGCCAACAAGCTTATGGGCCATCCAGCCAGGGGGGGGGCCGGGATGGGCCCGCTCACCCAGCCTGAGCTCGACTCGAGGTGCCGGGGAGCTGTAGCGGCACTAACGCGGTCCTGCATCGAATTCCAAATCGTCCCATCTCTAGCGGCGGGGTGGGGGGGGGCTGCATCAAGCACACTGACAAGTGTTTCTCGTAGTCTAGTTCTGTCTCGTCCAGCAGGCCACCGCTTCCATCAAACAAGACAATTCAGCATTCCCATCTCATCTGATGTAGAAGAAGCCAGAATGACAAATTGGCCCCGATATGTCCATGATGAGCTTTGCCCGAGTGACCTGATCGTGGTGGCATTGGCGTTGAGCGAGCCAAGCACTTGGTTTGATCTCCCTCCGCTCAACCTCCCACTGTACCCTCCCGCGGGGTTGACGGTTCCAGTTCGAGACACAACCAGCCAATCCTCGCCTCGGCTGGGAATATTCGTGCCGCAGCTTGCACCAAGGACACTGTGAGCGTGTCCGAAGAAACCGCTAAGGGGGAGATCCGGAGCTGCCTCGTGCTCGACCCCCAAGAAAGCAAGCTTGCACCCGCCGATCCAGCTCAAGTGCCGTGAACAAGGATATGCTGCCATCGCAGGCCATGGACCCAAGGATCGCCGTGCTGGCCGCAGTGTGACAGAAACATATCCCGGATATGGTGCCCAGAGCTGTTCCAACAAGTTCCATGTTCCAACTTCGGGTGGCCTCGAGGCCCTTCTTGGGCTTCGATCCTGCAGGCGCCGCCGCAGTTGCTTGAGTGTGAGGGGGGGTGGGGGATGGGCGCCCTTCGAAGCTTTGTAGAAAGCTCCCGAGGCGCATATAAAGAACCCCGTCGTCCCTCGTCCGTTCAGTCGTTTTTCTAACGAATCGTTCCTCAAGGAAAACACACGTCAAACGCCATTCCATTCTTAAAGACTCTTTTCGGCAGCTAGAGTTCTTTCGGTCGCAAGCCAGTGAAGCCACGCCCTGTCGGAAACTTGCACCCCACGGTTTCGGCAATTCTCCCCGCTCCACCAATTTGACTCCAAGGGTGTGTCTTGTGAGTGACGTCGTCAGAAGTATGTCAGCGCATTAGGATGCTAAAACTCGGGGGTGGCATCAGATACCCCGCGCGCTTCTCCCGGCACAACAAAAGCAGCCCGTTCCCATCCGTCGTTGCGAATCTGTGTCGTCTGTGTCGAAAGCTCGCTGCACTGCATTTATCTGTTAACAATCCACGTACAAACACACATCTTCTCGAATCCACGAAGACGCAAAGTAATCTTTTTGTTCCAAACTCGATCCAATATGCCTCTCACCGGACACTGCCTCTGCAAGGCCGTCACCTACAAGGTCGACGTCGATGCCCCGCTCATTACCGGCTATGATCACTGCGACGATTGCCAACGCCAGACTGGTTCAACATACTGTAAGTGTGCTTTGTCCATCCTTTCCCCCCTTCTTCTTCCGTCAATTGAGACGGCTGTCGCAATTCGACTCGTGGATGCGGAAGTCCGGAACTCAAAATCGGATTGCTCGCTGACCTCGTTAATGAAGCCCTCGTCGCTGTTGTCCCCAAGGACAAGCTAACCATCAACGGTCCCACCAAGAGCTGGGCTGGAAAGGGCTCCTCGGGCAAGGCCGTCCACCGCATCTTCTGCTCCGAGTGTGGCTCCCCGATCGCTCATGATCCCGATGCGGCTCCCGAGATTATCGCTCTCAAGGCCGGCACCCTCGACACCGAGATCAAGAAGAACCTGAAGCCTGTAAGTTGCACCGTACCTGTTGCCGAGAGTTGCCGGCTGCAACCAAGCCTCCGATTGCTGAGTGCTGGTTTGGCCGGAATCTTCGAATTTGCCATACGAATGAGGCGGTCGAAACTAACGGGTCGTCGGCAGGATACCGAGATCTGGACCGTTGGCAAGCTGCCGTTCTGCCAGGAGAAGCTGGCCAAGCCTTTCGAGCACATGCCTCAGTAAATTTGGCCACACGGGTCAAGCAACAAAAAGATTGAATGTTAGGTGGAACGAAATACCCCAGATGCAGAACAGGAGGGCTCGGGATCCATGATATATGTATACTGCACTGGAGGGGCCGGCCTAGGATGGGCCATGTATGGGGAGTTGCCGACGTGGTGGGCTGCCGTGAGAACCTGGAGGGTTATGAAGCCGAGCACCCAATCCAGACCACATTGACCCACGCCCATCGTTACCCAAGTGAGTGCACTAACTTGTTTCAGACACAATTTTGGGAAACACCTTCTCAACATGAAATACCTAAATTAAACCAGCTCCTTCGAGTTGGCCCCAAGCATGTTCCTTTCAAACACCTGAGCAGCGCTGCTGGCCTGCCCCACACAAGCCAACGTTGTTTATCACTACATCGTTATGGCAAACTCGTCCATCACCACCCTGAAGGCCAGAGCGAACACTACGTTGGGCAAGAAGAAGCACACTTTCTTTGCATTATTCATTACTTCTTGATACGCCAATTCATCTCAGCCGTGCTCGTCAGTCCCAACCCAATACAGTGCGCCTTCAAGCTAGAACTCCTCCCGATGTGGAACACCGGATCAATTTACAAGCCCGCAAGCACTGCCAGACCGGCAGCACCCATCATAAGACCCCTTGCAGCGTAGTTCTGCACTGCGCCGTTGCCAGGCACGGACGTGGCTGTGGCCGCGTCGTTGGTAGCCGTGCCAGTGGTGGCAACGGTGGTGGTGGCACGAGTAGAGGGGCCGCGGCTCGTAGTGGCCGAGCCAGTCGCGATTGCCGTCGGGCCAGCAGTTGTTGCAGTTGCCTCTTGGCTGACGCCAGTAGCACTAGCAGCTTCACCGGTGATGCTGCCAGGACCCTGAACACCGCTAGCCGTGTAGTAAAGGGAGATGGCCGTGTTACTGGGAGCTTGGTCGCTCTTGACCGTGGCACCGGTGGTGACAGGGGTGGCAGCAACCTCGATGTTGGAGTAGACGACGGCATAAGCTGCGGTTGGTGTACCAGTGCAGAGAGCATTGGAGGCAGACGAGAGAACGCCTCTGTAGAAAGCCAAGTCTCGCTCGCTGCGAAGGCCGTGGACGAACAGGCATCGCTCGCAAGCCAACTTCTCGGCGAAGAAGGAGCCGCCGCACTGGTTGCTGTTAGTCAATGATATCCCACTTTGCAAGACTGTCTGTACTCACCATGCATTGTGCATGTGCCTCAAAGTGGATGGGGTCGGTGCCATTGGGCTTGCAGGCGACCTCAATGTTTTCAATCTGGACGCAAGGGGGGAGCTGGCCACCCGAGCTAGTCGCGGGCTTGCAAACAGCATCTTGGTAGGGACTGCTGTTCTGACGAGAGCCCAGGAGTGCCGGGACGGACCAGGCCTGGGCGGTAGAGGGCAGCATGGCCGCGAGGCCAGTGATGAGGGTTGTCTGTCTCATTTTGGTGCCGTTGGATCTTAACGAGCTTGAAAGAGAAGAAGTGGTATGGTGATTAGAGGAATGAAGGAGAAGCTATTGAAAGGGAGCAATGGATGTCAAGAGTCCAAAAAATTGGTATCGATTTGTTGGTGTAAGTGGAATGGCAACAAACGTGCAAAGTTGATGATGCGTGCTGTGTAGTTGGATGATGGGAGAAAAAACAGAAATGGACGAGGACGAAAGGCGGGAGAAAAAGGGCAAGGAGATTGTCTGACGATGGACTCATGCCAAGGGAAGTAAGTGGGCGCTGCGATGCGTGGTACCTACCCAATCTGACCAAAGGCGCATTCGTACCTTACCTCAAATTCCCCATCCACCTTGCCTACCTCGTCTGTGCCCTAAATTGATGGCACTTCTGACAATAAGCCGGCGGAGGGGCAAGAGCGCGTAGATAACTAGGTAGGTACGATGGAGCCATCCTGGGACCAGGTCGGTAGGCGGAATGTCCACGGCGGTCCGTTCTTTCTCTCTCTCTTTCTCTTTCCCCTCCTCCTTCTTTCCTTTCTTTGTATTTTATGCGGGGCCTCTTGGAATGTATTTAGCCGTCACTGCCGTCAAAGACGCGTGCTTCCTTGGCTGGCATGTTGGCCAAAGTTGAAGGTCGCCAATCTGGGCCAGGGGAAAATTGGTAAAGCGCAGTTGGCACGAGTTGCATGCTGTAGACAGCAAGCAATACACCCCTGCCCATCGCGTCGTCGCTATCGCTTGCCTTTTTGCCCGTAGTGTGTGTGTGTTGTTGCTGGGTTCTACAGATTGTACATGGGTTGCGGTCAGCTGGCTCCTCCGGTTGGCTGTCTCTATGCACCCACCTGCTGTCATTTCACAGGGAAAACACAAAACCGGAAACCTCCAAGTCTGAATCGGCTCCGAGAAGGGATGCGCGGCCCGTTGTGCTACCTACCTAGGTGTCTTGGAATTGTCTTGGATACTGTTGTATCAACGGTTCTTATGGCACCTTTCTCTCCCTCCATGCAACAGACCTACATTGAGCTCTGTTAAACAACATTGTTGCCCCCAATTGCAGGGATTATTTAAGCTTGCTTCGTTGAGCAAGGTCTAGCCTGCCGTCACTGTAGTGTAAATCCCTCCAAATGTGGTAGCCTGCGCGCCGATCTGCTCAACTACAAGCACGTCTCACCTCAATCGTAAGCCTCCCTCGGTGCAGATGAGGCTCTGGAGGATACAGGCAAGCCGGTTTAACCTTCGTGTGGACTCTAACGGTGCATTATCTTGCATTCAGGACACAGTAGCAGAAAGAATAGGTAAAGTGCTGCGCTGCGTTTGTGGGGTCGTCGTCAACCGTGGCCGGATTCTACGTCTCTTCCCCCCGCTAACCTTCAGCCCTACTGGCGTGCTTTTGCCATGCCTACCTACATCAGTAGGTAATAAGCCATCAGCTAATGTCAATGCATACTGTACTCTGCTCAGACTGCTTCGGGTTGTACCCGGTACACTTCGTCACCGGCAACAAGTCTTGTACTAGATAGAGCATATATTCGCATGGCCTGCCTGACGCCGTCAGCAGCAATCGGCATGCCCAGTCAAGGGAAGGGCCTCTTACTGAAATCCCTCTTTCCGACTCGCGTCTACAAGTCAACTGTCTCTGTGGCGCCATCGCCATTCACTAGCCTTCCAGCGTAACACACCGATATCCCTAGCTTCCTTGTGCAGCCACAGGCTTGGCTTGACCCTGCATCCTGGCAAACAGCGCGAGGACAATAGAGCTGAGAAGCTGAAAGAAGGCAAATAAAGCCACCTGGAACACAGGTCTGCCATCAATAGTGGCTACTCGTGCGGCTGGCAGATACGGCGTATAATGGTTTGCAAGCTTTTAAAAAGGTGTCCCTTGCCCTTCTGGTGCGTCTCATCCAAACACAGGCAGCTTGCATTCTCAGTCTTACGCGATACCCCCAAGAATCCGAGGGAAACATGTACAGTTTACTACTGAAGCTCGCCTTGGCTGCTGTCGGCATCGCGCCGCTCGCTTTGGCCGGCAGTGATTCGATATCCCCACGCCAGCTTCAGCAAAGCCTCAGTAATGCACTATCGAAACATGCAGACTTTTCGGCTTTCAACCAAATCTTGAGCAACTACCCTGGAATCGTCGACAATGTCACAGCTGAGGCCGACAACAAGATCACACTTCTGGTGCCCACCAACAAGGCAATTGCCAACTTCCTCAAGCAATCCAATGCCAGCGACGTAAGCCAGATCCCCGTCGACCGGGTCTTGACCATTTTCAAATACCATACTCTGGAGGCCCCCATGACGGCTATTAACTTCAGCTCCTCAAGAGGTATCACAGTTCCCACGAAGCTCCAAGACTCGCTCTACAACCTGCGAAGCCCCGGGCCTGCTCTCATTAGCCGGTATGGCGCCGGGGCCCAAGGCCAGGTGCTCTATATTTCACGGGACACCATCAACCCTGCAAGGCTCCGAGTGAGGCAAGGGTCTTCTTCATCCAACGACAAGGTAGCAAACCTACGCGCTGGTCTGGGCCAAACCGCAGAGCTCACCACCATCGATGGCGAATGGGATGGCGGGTATCTCCAGTCCATTGATACGTAGGTGACATTAAGGGAGACTGTCCCAAGGCCGTGCTAAATCCTGTTTCAGTATTTTGGAGCCACCGAGGCCCTGCTCGACGACGATCAGGAAGCTCTCGGACTCGCTGACATCTCTTATGGGCGCATTGGAGAAGACCATGCTATGGAGGACGCTGGACGCCAAGCCAAACGTCACATGTCTGGGCCCAAGCACGGAAGCCTTCGACCAGGCTGGCAACCCGGAGAAGTCTCTTGGAGAGGCAGAGCTCAAGGGCGCTTTGCTGTAAGTTGTCGTTGGAATATCCGTGGTACACCCCAGATGAACTAACATCCGACAGCTTCCATACCCTGCCCCAAGTCGCCTACAGCAACTTCTTGGAGGACGGCCAGGAGTTTACCTCGCTGGCTAATATTACTGTACGAGTCACTGTGAAAGACGACGAGATCTGGTTCAACGACGCGAAAGTCATCAGTCCCAATGTTCTGTAAGCCAGCTCCCCTCGAAAACAAAAGCCCGGAATGTTGAGACTAACCAGTTGTCAAAGGACAAACAACGGACTTATTCACGTCTTGGACCGTGTTATGACCCCGAATGCTACCGGCCCATCGCCTTCGGACTCGCCTTCATCGACTGCTTCCCCAACAGGGTCGAGCACTACGAACCCCTCGTCTACGAACGCGGCGCCCATTTCCGGCAACCCTGTAACCGGTAGTATTCATGCCGCGGCTTTTATTGCCCTCATGGCTGGCGTGTTGCTCGTTTAGGCTCGGTCATGCCTGTCCGAGAGCTCGTGTCCGGTTTCAATAATGGAGTCCATGAGCAATAACAGAAGTGGTAGATGAGAAGGAAAATGAGACCGGCATCTGAGGGTGATATAGGGGAAAATAACGAATCACGATTTCGTTGCAGGCCTTCGTTAGGAGTACACGAACGAGGCTCGGACCAGCTTAGTCTCGGGACTCGAACATTGAGGACAGACTAATATAAATCAAAACAGAACACAGCGTTCTAATTGATGGATTCTCTTTGATTTCTTACTAAAACAAAATGAAGCTTTACCAATGAAGTGCACTCTCTGAAGTGAGGTCTTCAGAAAACAACCCCTTACTCTGCATGAACACTTAATGAGCGCGTTTCTCGGGAAAAGTAAGCAAGCAAACCTCAAGTACATCTGGTATGGTGAGGTTTATTGAAAAGCCTTGCTCCGGCTGAAGTACACGTCTTGGAACATGGTGGCATACTTTCCCCAAAGACACTCGATTCGGTCGATCCCCCTTTGCTGTCCTTTCCATGTTCAGCCCCCCCTTCGTCCATAACGTTAGGTTCATACCAGGTTGGCAGCCGGCCTGCTCCTGGGGCACGCCGATCAACCGTTCCGTTCAAAGTCAGCGCGGCTCGCGAATATCAACCTCATCGCCTCGTTGGACTCGTCGCTGCGCAACGGCCGTCGCCTCATCCGCCACGGGATCCGGTAGTCGGGAGGTCTGTCCCGCAGAGTGGCGCCGTGGACCCAGTGGGCCAGTTCCGGCGAGGACGGGACGGGGTGCCGCGGTCGCCTCGACAGCATGTGCAGAAGGGAGCGGTCCTTGTCCGGCCGACATGGGGCGGGGCGGTCGAAGTGGCTGCGCAGGATGTACGTCCTCGTGAGCTCGTCCACGACGGCGGGGTCGTCCCCGGGCCTGCTCTCGTAGTTGTCCCGGTGCTGGTTGTAGGCCCAGCGGAGGCGGTTCTTGCGGGCCTGGCCGACCGCTAGGGCGGCGGGGTGGGCGGCGAATATGAGAGACGACTCCTTGTACCAGAGGAGGATGCTCCAGAAGTGGATCCTCCGCAGGTTTGCGAAGGACGGGGACGCGGCGCGGAGGTGGGGGATGAAGAGGTCCGGGTGGGCGTCGATGTCGTTCCGGCGGCGGACTGTCGATAGCGAGAGCTCCTGGTTAGCCGCCTGCGGCAATGAAAGATGGGGCGGCGTAGCAGGTAGCCAGGAGGAGTAAGGAGTTTCCGGCGACGTGTACCGGGACGGGAAGATTCTGCCCCAGAGCCTGCGGCCTTCGTCGTAGCCCACGACGGCCAGAACGAGATTGTAGACAAAAGACAGGGGCACAGGGGTGGTCTCTCTGATGAGGGTCAGCGGGAGAGGGTCGGCCATGGCGCGGAGGGTTGATAGGAGATGCGGATGGAGGACGGCGTTGAACCGTTTCGATATGCGGCGGAGGTGCCAGAGGTTTATGTGCGAGACATGGGCAAATATGAGATCGAGTATCTCTGTCGGCATGCAGTTGAGGGCCGGAAGGGCTTCGGAGGGCACTGCGGAATCCATCCTGATGGATCGTCGACCTGATGATGGCTCTGTTTTGCATGAAGCGTTCAGATTTCACGATGGAGATGCCGATAGAAGATCCGAGGAAAAAAAACTTCTATCACCTCGTGTCCTATTTTCTAGGGTATTAGGATGGCAAAAGGACCTTCCAGTCTCTCAAGGTAGCCATCCATCGAACTGGTAGTCTTAAGAGTCACCATAGATGTCGGACACCTTCTCAGGGTGGTATCTCTGTCCAGGTATTGTACCAGCATCAGCATGTACACGGTTTGCAGAAACTCTAAGCTGCTCAGGAATCCATACAGGCTTGTGATAATGGTAGCGTGGTAAATTACAGAAGATTTGAAGAACAATTTTTCTCCTTTCCCTTTCCTTAGGTAGGTATGGATATACTCACTCATGAGCTTGGTGTCTGTGGCCGATCCAGCTGGGCACAGTCCGCCATGTCAACGAGGTTAATTATATGACTAATAATGGCATTCTGGCTTCCATGGAGTACAGTACCCGCATTTTAAACGCCCATTAAAGTTCGCGGACCTGAAAATCTTACAAGCATAGACTGCGAGTTGTGGGCAAGCTTCGACAAGGCCATGTAACCGGATGAAACCGAAGTGAATGCATTGGCTAACAAAACCACTAACACCACTCTTTACGAAGACCGGGTCCCCGAAAGAAGTTGGTTGTGCAAAAAGCCGCACACGGAGGGGGACCTCCTCCTCCTCCTCTGTGTAGGCTGGGAAACCGGATTTCCCCTATACCCGAGAAACTTCCCCGGGCGACGGATCTCCTGGCATGATGCGCTTCCCTAGTGGAATTGAACCCCCCACGCCAGGAACTAGCTAGCAAAAATCAGCGTCATACGTGGTCGCATCATATCTGGCGTCAGGGACTAAGGCCTGAATTGACAATCCCTTGTTCATTTACATGCCAGCTTTCTACGGAGTACAAGAACGCCCTTTCAAGATAGATGGATAGGAGCTCGCCAACGGTTTGCTGCCGGGTCGGAACACGTGGGCCGCATTGGGCTCGAGCCGGCCAATGAGGTAGGTAGCTGTAGATGTCTTGAACGGACTAATGCCGTTGGCTCTCACCATGTTGGCTAGCGTTTCAATCGATATCAATCCGAACTCTACTAGCTAGCGCGCTAGGTGCCAGCACATATTGCGTGCGAAAGCAGCGAGCAAGCACGTCAACCGAATACCTATAGAGAGGCTTCCGATGCTTCTCTGGGAATTCCGATCCTCAGGTGTTGCTGGAATCAATTGCGAGGTGACATCACGTAAAAGGATGCATCATCGAGGCAAACTCGTTCCATTGTAAAATGTGCTAGGCGAGCCTCCGGATAAGCCGGTCCACGGGGGGGGGTTGTATGGGTCTTTGTCGATTGAGGGTTAGTCGAGAGTCCGAGCTTGCCTGCCCTTTTACGTCACCTTTACGGACCAGGGCCAGCTTTATCCTGTGTTGTTACTTCCGGAGATTGAGATCATATTTGTGGCGCTCCTGGTGCGTTTTCGCGAGAGGGAGGGTTTGTGGGAAGCTAGGGAGGACTGAACGTGAGACATGCCGTTTCCCTTGCTCCATGCCATCATGATTACCTATTGAACCTTTACCTCCCCTCCCCTCCACAGAAGAGAAAAAGACGAAGAAAGAAAGAAAAAACAAGCAACGTTTAGTGTAGGAGAGACGCCGGTAGCCATCACTCCACCTCTCTTACCCAAGTCATGAGGCCCGCCGCGTTTGACGGGATACACCTTGCACCCCGGTTCGGAGCACCGGCGTCATCCCAGCCCAACACTACCGCACGCCGACTACTACCGTTACCACTGATGGGGCTTCAGCGTCCATCGGGGGGAGCCACCACCACCCATGTGTCCGTCTTGGTACTCCGGGCCATCGGAGATCTCCCCTCAATCATCTGGGAGGTCCTGGCCGCCATCATCTGGGAAGGGTGGGTCACCATCACCAACCAGCTCCGCCTCCTAGTGGCCACCTACCCTCTGATGGTCATTCTCTACTTGTCCACCAGCGGCTTGGACCTCACCACCCTCATCGCCACCTGCTGCTCCGCCTACCTGTACATCTCATTTCTCTACACCTTCCGTCTCAGGGACCGTCTTCCGTGGGCCTGCCTCGCCGCGGCCTTCATCTGGTTCGACGGCCCGGACAGGCAGCTTATGCGCCGTGCCGCCGTCGCTGTCTTCATGCTGGCGCGGGACGACGACTGGCGCGCGGTGATGGACAAGAGGTTGCGGAGGCAGACGCTGCCCTGGCAGGATGGTACCGGGTTCGAGTTCTTGTACAACTTTGAGGGGCGCGAGCTGCTGCGCGAGGTCAGTCTGTATTGGGTCAACACGCTCTGCTCATCGTTTGGCCAGCACCGCGTGCCCCATGACTTTGGCTTGCGGACTTCCATCAGGGCTCTGGACGTGCTGGTCCTACCGCTCCTCGGGTTGATCGACTGGGCTTGGCGGTACAGGCAGGCCCAGAGAAGCATGAAGATGGACGAGATGGAGAGACGGAGGCCCGGGCTGTTCTGAGGAAAGGGAGCCGGACCGATGGAATAATGAGTGTAAAACATATAGCGAGTCTGGAGAGGGTCGAGCTTCTCGTTCGAGTCATCATACAATAAAATGAATTTCCTAGTCGGAACATGGACCGCGGTGTTGGAATAAATCTGGGTATCGAGTTGAATCGAAATGACGGCACCTTCATCCCCTTCCACAGCTAGGCCCTCATGCATTCACGGGACCTGCCTCGTCCTCCCACCACTCCATGAACGTCCGGATTCTACTTGTTCGCTCCCGCGCCATCTCCCTGCCCGGAGCCGTCTTCATCATGCCCTCGAGCTTGACCAGCTTCTCCTCAAAGTGCACGATAGAATCGTCCATGCTCCGCGAGCCCTTTGCGCCGCCAAAGGTGAAGCAGCGGCCCACCCCCACGGCACCGATGGCGTCCAGACGGTCTGCGTCCTGCACGACGGCCAGCTCCGGGTGCTCGGCGATCAACGCGCGGACCCGGGCCGGGTCCTTGATCTCGCTGGAGTAGCTGACGCCGAGGCAGATGGTCTGCACACGGGCGGCGAGCTGCGGGTCGACGCCGAGGGACCCGAGGACGGCGGAGACGAGGGTCGAGGCGTCCTCGCCGGGCTGGAGGTACTTGCGGTCACCGACGTCGTGGAGCAGGGCGGCGAGGGTGATGGTGTGCTTGTCCAGGGCCGGCGTGGCGGGGGACTGCGCGTAGATGCGGTGGGCGAGCGAGACAACGCGCCTGATGTGGTTGAAGTCGTGTGAGGCGTCGTACTTTGCCATGTAGCCCTCGACGTACTCCGTGACCTTGGCAACGACTTCCTCCTTTGTGGCTGCCATTCTGACGAAGGGGAAAAAAAGAAAAAGAAAACACTCCCAGATCGAGGCCACACTTTCTGTATTGGATGTTTACGTCGATCTCAGAAGGATCCGAACTTGAACATCAGAGAACAGAATGAAAACGGGCACCTCGTGACTTTTTTTTAATCAACCGGTGATAGCAAGGCTTCTCGCTCGTGGGTTGGTAATCCGGTCACTTCAACGCAATCTCTTCAACGAGGGCTTGTTGCAACTAATCTCAAGGAGAATAAAAACTCCGATGGTTTCAGTTTGACAAGAGATGGCTGCTGCCTGGAGCCGTTGACTCAGACCGACAGGAAGGGAGAGGAGGGCCCGCGTGACTTACCCGCGAAGCCGGAAAACGGTACACTATCTGCCCCGAAAGATTTCATAGAGGCAAAAACGCGCTGTCACGAGACTTCCCACGTGATTCCTCTCAAATGTGGAGTTCGCAACGGATGGGCTTGGCCCTCCCCCCTCCCTCGGGCGATCCAGACGTCTCCCGCCAGGCCTCCCCCAGGTACTGCCGTCACCCGTTTGATGCTTTGCCGACCTCACCACGTTTCCACGGATCTTGGAGGGGCAGATGTGGGAAACGACGTTCCCCAGCTCCATCTGCTGTGGTCCTGCAACACAAGAACGCCCAGCTCGTCAGCCGACATAACCCTCGCCGTGCTGAGGTCAGACCGCTCCGTGTGCGCAGTTTTCGTCTGTGAGACATCTATCGGCGTCACCGCTGGGCATCACCATTGATGGATGTCCTGAACTGCTGCTGCTGCCTGCTTATGAGTGGCCGTCTTTTCCAAGTGCCTCGTTATACGACTGCAAACCGATCGCAATGAGCCGCCCATCGCGGCCCAGAAACATTGCGGCTGCGGACTAGATCCTAGATCCCAGATCCCAGATGCGATGAGGGGAATTCCACGACGGGTGTTGCCATTTTCCACCAGCGGGGCATGATTCCGTCCGTATGTGATGGGCCTCACATACCCGCCGAAGCTAGAGATGCATGGATCCGGATGACGCGCCTCGATACTATGTCGAAGCAGGATGCCATGATGGTGCCGTTCCTCACATCCTACCCTCCGAGGTGTGTGGTGTGGACCGTGTGGTGTGGGTGGCTCAAAGGTCACGCAGACGAGCTGATGTCGGCCGAGGGCGGAGGACGGCAGTTTGTACTTGGCGGGCTGCAACCACGATCGGCCTCGTCGACTGACAGGCTACATCGCCGGGGCGGGGCAGGCAGCGAAGCAGGCTCTTTAGCGTTGGCTGCCTTGTTTCCTGCGTTTTTTGTTTCCTTCCAGCTCCGGATGTCGGTAGTGTTTGATCTCCTCCAGGCCAAGTTTGCGGGGTGGTTTCTCGACTTTGTCGTGCTTCCAAGCCAACAAAGATGGAGCGCCATCGGCAGAAGCTGGTCTCAATGCGCTCATATTGCATGCCAGGCCTTCAGAGCATCTGCTCCGGTTTACTTTCAAGGCAGGTACGGGAAGAAAGTGACGAACCGGAGTAAGCAGAACCGTCTGCATCGTTACTCGAGGAACCAGGAACATGGCTTCTGGCACCATGTTTGCCTGCATCCCCTCTCCGACTTGGGCGATCTTCGGTTCTTCCCTGGTCAAGCGGCTGGCAGAGATCATCAGCCGACAAGACTCCAATGAGAAAAAACAAAAGGTCAATCTCTGAATGCTTGCGCATCCACATGCAGCCCGCATGCACATTGACTCAGTGCATGATGCAGTCTGTCAGTTCGCTGCTCGGCGATGCGGACAGGCCGGCGAATACCGTGCAGGAATTGGGTAATGTCTTGGTCGGCTCATCTCTCAACCTCAAGGACGAACCAATCTCGGCGAGAGGGGGGAGCTATCGGGAGGGCTGGGAAGGCTCAAGAGCTTGGTGATGCTTCCGCAAAGCTGCATCGAGCATCCAAGTATTGATTGGCCCAACCTGCAGCATATCACTTGGTGATGGGTGATGGACGACTGGGCACAGAATAGCGACGGACGCGGGCTATTGGCCAGCGACGACAGGGATTTAGACGCCCAATTCAGAGCCATCAGAGGCCGGTCGGCTCTGGACCAGTAGGAGCGCACAGCGGACCGAGGGACGAACCCGGATCAACCCACTCCTTTCTTTCACAACAGTCTATTTTCGCCTGGAATACGTACTGAGTGAGTATGTTGGTATCTGATTCCAGGGAAACCCCTCTCCTTCACCATGCTTAACCGCCCAGCTTGCTGACCTGGCCCATCCCGGCAGCCATTATGTGGTAGCACCACTAAGGCATCGTACTAACCTGTTAGCAGGGAAGAATAGATGGGGACACGACGGGATGGTGACGGTGACGGCCTAGTCACAGTGAAGCGCTTTCGTTTCTATTTGCCAAACACATCTCGGAGAAGTACACGCAGAGCTTGACAGAGTGCCCATCTCTGGGATGAGGGGACCACCCACCCCCTCCCGGCCGGCTGATCCTCCCAACGCCGCCGCGGAGCACATCACCAGTGTGATATTGAATGCTTGCATCGACCATCCACAAGCCTCGTCGTCCCCAGCAGTCCTCTCATTGGACTGACCGTCGAGTGACGCCTCTTCCGTAAACTCCACTACGCTGACAAGTCTGCCGTTGCCCCGGCCATGGACTCCATGGCGCGAGTAACACCGCATCTCGGCTGGCCTCCCACGAACCCACCAGACGGGAATGGAATGGAAGGGTAGGGTACGTAGTAGGACGAGGGAAGAGAAAGGGTGGTGGCGGCCTCGACCGGTGGCCTCGTGCTGGCCTCCAAGGACGGCCGCTCAAACCATATAATGGAAGCCTCCCATCTTCCCTTTTCGTCTGTTTTTTTTCTCTTTCTCTTCTTCAGCAAGCTTACAACCAACTAATTCCAGTTTTCCGTTTTTCTCCTCCATCGTTTGTTCTTTCTTGTTTCCATAGAGCCGGTCTCTATCTTAATTCGCACTCCAAACTAATACCCAAATTCGTTTTTTTTTTGCGCAAACCATCACCAAAAGTTGCCGGTCAGCTTATCCCCCGATCAACGGAAATCTGGAATTTCTTGCTCGCCACGCACATTGTTCGCCAATCATCGCCTAATCGCAGCAACCCTCGTCCAAGAACCGCAATAATGTCGTCTACACAACTTTCCTTCTCCCTCCGTGTCTCCTCCGGTGTCAAGACCGTCCACCTGCTCGGCTCCTGGGACAACTACGTCGGCCAGCTCCCCCTCTCCAAGGACAAGACTTCGTCCAAGTCCGGCTCGTGGAAGGGCACCTTCAAGTTCAGCGGCTCCACCCTGACCGTCGGCCAGCGCTACTGGTACTACTACATCATCGACGGCTACCACGTCGCCCACAACCCCAGCGTTGCCTCCACCGTAGAGCCCACCACCGGCCGTGAGCTGAACATCCTCGACGTCCCCTCCAGCGGAAAGTCCTCCAGCAAGTCAAGCTCCAAGTCCAGCAGCAGCAGCAGCTCCAAGTCGTCCTCCAAGTCGTCCTCCCACTCCTCGTCCCGCAGCTCCCGCCACTCCTCCAAGGACAAGGACAGCAAGTCCAGCCGCCACCGCCACCGCTCCTCGTCCCGCGACATCCCCAAGGGTCGCCCCCTCTCCGTCTCCCAGATCAAGGCCCCCAAGCCCATGTCGCCCCACGCTACCCAGCACATTCTCAACAGCGACTACTGCGACGACGAGACCATCGAGGAGCTCACCGCCCGCTTCGGCGCCGCCGGCTTCGACGAGGAGGACATGGTCACCGACTTCTCCAGCTCCCCCGTCTCCTCCACCGGCTCCAGCCTGTCCTACCGCTCCGACAGCTCCAGCCCAAACTCTTCCCTGTCCGGTTACAGCACCCCAGGCTCCGACGTCAGCACCTGCACCTGCGAGCGCTACGGCATCACCCGCAAGGGCGACCGCGTCAAGATCGACTGTGGCGGCGCCCGCTGCGGCTACGGCGACAGCTCCGACTGCTCCGATTCAGAGGAGGAGGAGGACGACGAGGAGGAGTACGTCGCCTCCACCCGCCGCCACGGCATCGTCGTTCGATGAAGAGCTCAATCTTGCCCTGGGAAGGGACCAGCAAGAGAAATACACGAAGAAGAAGGCCCTACGTGGCCGTACATTCATTTCGTCGCGCAATGTTGCCGCGCCGCTGCCGCCTGTCTTAGAGACGACAGCGAGCCCGCGCTTGCCGACGGCTAATCATTGCATCCACCGAGAGAGCGGCGCTGCCGAGCTGGTCTCGGCACGCACGCCCCCTCGCTCCAAGTGGGTCGATGCTGCGACCCCACGCCGCGGCCGCCTGTCCGGGCCGCGCGTGAACCCCCTTTTCGTTTGTCACGTCTCCACACTGACAACGGAGCATCCTCGCATCCCTCCGCCAAAGGGAGGATGCGGGACCGAGACTCCAGGGGATGGAAAAGGAGCGCGCGGGAGCAACCGCTACCGCTGCCGCTCCTGGGAATGGACCGTTTTCGCGGCTCCGGGCTGGGCTTTGGAAGGCCCGGGCAAGCCGCCTCATGTAGACAGTCAAGCAACCGCCACAGGCGGAACTGGTAGATGCCTATTGAATCTACCCATTAATGAAACCAACCCAAAACTGCACTGCACCACCGTGACAATTCGTGTGTATTTTGTGAATCGAAACTTTTGGTAGGTGCGGTATAATGCCAGAAGCCCGAGTAACTCGGCGAACGGTACCGAACGGCACGGACGTCGGCCGGCTGGCGCAGGTGCGAGTCTCCACCGCCCCGTGACTACCGTAGTCCTTTCCGTGCCAGTAAAGAGCGTGCCAATGTTCGGTGGAGAGACCCCCGAAGAGGGTGGGGCCAACGGCATCAAAAGTAGGGTCCAGTGGGGGTTGATCACTAACCCAACTGGAACTGGAGTAACCGGGGGGGGTGACGGTCACTGCTGTAGTGTTGAGAGTAAGTGCGGGGACTTCACCTTCGCTCTCTCCTTGCTATTTCCATACCCCCCCCCCCCCCCCCCCACCTCCAGCTTGGCTCAAACATCTACTGCCCAGGCTACCTAGTCCACCATCAGGACCTCTATTTACCTTTTTTACTCTTTTCGAAACCCCTCATCGAGAAACCCTCAATTGAGCTACCCGGGACAAGACAGGACAACACATTCCCAAGATCCCTCTTGCCCCTCTCACTCAGGCGTCCCGCCCGCCAGAAGAAGACTTACCCCGACTCCTCGAAGCCCACAAAGCCCACCATGGCCGCCGACTACCCCATTGTCGACTCCCACATACACCTCTACCCGGAGTCGGAGCTGGAGACGCTCGCCTGGGCGACCCCAGGTGACCCCCTCGTGACGCAACGCTCCGTCTCCGACTACGTCGCCGCCACCGGCTCGCCGGCCAACCTCAAGGGCTTCATCTTCCTCGAGACGGACCGCAAGCACGACCTCGAGGCGGGCGCCCGCGACGGCTCGGGGTGGGAGTTCCCCCTTATGGAGGTCGCCTGGCTGCGCCGCATCGCCGAGGGCAAGCCCCGCGACGGCGAGGGCCACACGCCCGACCAGGCCAGCCTGTGCCTCGGCATCGTCCCCTGGGCCCCGCTGCCCTCGGGCGCCGCCGCCATGGAGAGGTACCTCGACCGCGTCAAGGAGGTCGCGGGCGAGGCCGTCTGGCCCAAGATCAGGGGTTTCCGATACCTTCTTCAGAGCAAGCCCCACGGCACCGGCCTGACGGACGACTTCATCGCCGGCCTGAAGCTCCTGGGTAAGCGCGGGTTCGTCTTCGACCTGGGCGTCGACCAGCACCGCCGCGGCAACAAGCAACTCGATGATACGTTGGAAATCATCTCTCGTGCTCACGAGGGTGTCCCCGAGGAGGAGAAGGTCACATTTGTCATCAGTCAGTCAAACTCCCCTCCCCCTCCCCCTCTTTCTTGTCCTTTCACTTCGTCCCTATATGCGAAAACAGCCTACTGACGAACCGTGATCCAGACCACCTGTGCAAACCCGACCTCGGCATCATCAACACCACCGACCCCTCCTTCGTCCACTGGCGCACCGCCGTCTACGCGCTCTCAAAGTGCTCCAACACCTACATCAAGCTCTCGGGCGGCTTCTCCGAGATGCCCGATTCCCTCAAGAGCCAGGACCCCAACGCCATCTTCGAGGCCATCTTCCCCTGGCTCGGCGTCGTCCTCGCCACCTTCGGCACCCGCCGCACAATGTTCGGCAGCGACTGGCCCGTCTGCACCGTCGGCGTCGAAGAGGCCTGGCGCAAGTGGAAGCTCCTGGTCGAGCGCACGTGCTACATGGCCACCCTCGAGCCTGAGGACCAGGCCGCCCTGTTTGGCGGCACCGCGCTCAAGGCGTACGGCATCAAGGACGTTTGAGTCGCATCCATCTTTTTTCTGTCTATATGATGATACAGCGTGAGTCTGGGGGGGCGGGAAGGGGAGGGAGGGGCTGGCTTCTCAGATGAGGCATCGCTGGTCTCCCATGTTTTTACAGAGACCCCGCTACGGTCTTGACGATTTGACGCCGGCGCTGGAATGGCTTTGGCGACGAAAGAGTAGCTTTGCACAAACACACACACACAGATAAGATACCAAAACAACATGATTTTTGCCGTCCGCGTCTCTCTGCTCCAAATCTGCTGCACGCCGGTCCGTTGCTTCTTCCCTTTGGGATGGGGAGCTCATGGAGGAGAGATTCCAGATGGCTGTGGTTTCTCGTATCAATGCCACCTACACGTTCGAGTGCCGAAACCAAGAACAACGTTTTGACGGAAACCCGTTATTGTATGCTTGTTTCTCCTGTCTAAGAGTGAAGAGAGTAGTGGACCGCCTGCTAATCTAAACATGTACAAGCGACTCGAGTCGGCTCAGAGGCTGCGGGCTTGCCTGCTCCAACTGTCCCATCATCGCTCAACCCGCCGTAGCTGTCGAATTCAGCCCCCATGATGGATCATGTCATGGCATATAATTTTGCCTACTTCAAACATCCACCCGTACACTCTGGCTAATTTCCGATAATCGATACAAAGGATTGTCAGCTTATAAATGCGGCTTATTGTGAATCTCGAGGATTCAGACTCTGTTTGCTGAGATGGTTCACCCCAAGCCCAATCAATGCATTTGTTATTGTGCCTCTCACGGTCAGGAACTGTGAGCGACTGTGCCGTTAGCTCAAGGGTACGGGTCGGCGCCCTTGAGCCGTTTTGCCCTTCTGGATTGCCGGTCCTTGCATTCGTGAGCATATCCCGGTTCGTTCGCCTTGCGCCATTCGATGTAAGCCTCGTAATTTTGCTGAGCAAACGCGTCAGGTACTCGCGGTTTACGAGCGGGTCTTGGGCCTATACAGGGCACAGATGAAGGAGCTGTGTTTGAATTGAGGAAGTTGCCCTGATTTGGCATCGACGGTTGTTCTGGGAGAAAGCAAGAGTTAAGATGTGGAATAAATCCAGAACCTGGCATCGATGGACCGTTAGCCATCTGTCGACCATAGTCGGGAGCTGGCATGTAACAACTCTTCATCTGGGGGACGTATCTAGACGGAGGTTGAACGGAAGCTGGCAGGTTAGGCTGCGAACCAAATGGTGGTAGCCGGGGAGGAATACCGGCCTTACTCGGTGGAACAAACGGGACGAAGCCTGCAGCAGACGGGTTCAATGGCGCACCCGGCATCTGTGAGAACATGCCAAACGGAGACGTCATTGAGTTGTTATGGAGTCCGAAAGTGGGACTTATGGGTGGTGAAGTAGTATGCTGGACAAAGGGCGGCTGCAAAGTCGGACTCATCACGAGAGTCGAAAAGGGATCCGGCAGTGACATGTATTGCGGTCGCACTTCGGGAATACCAAATCGTTGGATTGTGTTGGCAATGATTTCGTCCAGACTCTGCGGGGGAGCATCAATGATGTTGGAAGGGCTACTACTGCCCAATATCTTCTTGAGCATTGAGAGGGGAATGCTGATAGACGTTTCTTCGGGGCTTTCCACTTTGATGGGGTCTTGTTTGGGGACAATAAATGAGAACTCCTTTGCCATGGGGTTAAGAGTTTGAGCCTTTACCGAGCTTCTGACATCGACACCAGAGTCGCCGGAGTCGCCAGAATCGCCAGAAACGCCAGAATCACCGGAATCTTTCCTTGGTCGATTTTCGTTGGGCTTTCTTGCCATGTGAGACGAATGAAAACCATGGGAAGAGGGGCGAAGCTTTCTTAGAATCTCTTGATATCGATCTGGCTGACCATGAGTAGAGCCTTCGCTTGACGGCTTGGGATTCCGGTCAGCTATGCTGGTTACCGCTGGGTCGTGTATGACTGCAGTTGTGCTCTGCTTTGATTGTGCTCGTGGTTTTTCGAGACGAATGTCGCCGCCGAATGTTCCCTCCTTTTCATACTTGCAAGGCATTTGGAGATCCATCATGGAGGACTTACGAGGTGTGACTCTGGTCCTCCTCAAGTGTTTGTCGAACTCGGCGACTCCGTCATCACGTATCTGAGATCTGAAGCGATTTGCATTTCTAATGCTGCGAATTTCGGCAGTGTTGAATAGGTTATTGTGCTCTTTGCATTTGGGGTCCTGGCATTCGTGGAATAGAACGTCCAAAACGAGGGGTGTGCGATCCTGCTTCTAAGAGGACATGTCTGTCCCACCGCTCCGAACTGGGGCGACACCGACCACGGCACATCTGGCTGTAGCCATAGACTTGCCGTCAGTCTTCTCCAGAGCACGTTTGTTCTCCCCAAATACTGGGTCGGTAGCATTTTCCAAAGGGTCGATACCGGCAACAGGCCTTCGCCAGTGGGTAGCTGGATTGGCTATATCGAAGTCGGTGACGGAGGTTGACGAATTTCGCTTTCGGGACATCTTGACCTGGTGGGTATGTTGGTGGTCATGGGAAGCTTGCGGTCTCCGCCAATTGGCGGCTTTTAGTGCTGTAGTGGGCTTTTCCATGTTTACTTTATTTCAATTAGCCATCGTCTCTTAACTGCCGGGTGAGATAAGGAGCCTCACCAAATCCTGCAATGGTCAGGCAATGACCCTGCCAGCCAGTCGGAGAAGTAACGAAGCAAGCCGTGCAAACTCAAAGGTTGGCAAATGAGTGATTTCGCGAGGCAACCGAGATGTGGTACCATATGAGACGCAGGAGAGACTAATGGCCGTACGCCGTCGAAGATCGAAGTGGTAGTGAAAATATGTAAAAGTTGAGGTTTTGGGCGAGTAAAGTTGACTCGAGTATTGGGTTGTGGGTGCCAATCGGGAAACCGCCGACGAGAGCAACGATGAACAGTAGAGATTTAACGGCAGCAAATGCGCCGCAGGTTATCTGGTCGGCCAATACACCCAAAGTTGATCGAGCGGCCTTGTCGCTTCGCCGGACGGATGGTGCAGGATGATGAAGCTGAGAGGCGAGGGGGATGGCAACGGTTGCTCACTGATGGAAGTAAACCTGCGTACCCGTGACGTGATTGAACCTTCTCGCTGGTGTAAAAGCATGCGCTCTAGGCTAAAGCCTGTAAGTCTGCGAAGATGTGTCCAAAAAAAAAAGGGGGGGGGGGGGGGGGAGTGGAGGTTGAGGTGGTGGTACGATGGGTGATGCTGACAGGTTGGATGATGGAGGGAGAGGTTGATGAACGAGCACGGCGCGATTGTGGGTGGGTGTCTTATGACCAACCGGACAACATGTTCTGCGATGTGTAGAAAAAGACGGAAGGTAGGTTGTCTGGCATAATATCCATTTGGGTGGATAAGGATAGGTCCCTCCTGCCCGGGAAAGGTAAAGCATAAACTGGCCTCTCCTTCCCAGCCGATGGAAATAATGTTCGAAGATACAAAACCGCATTCACTTTTGAAACTCCTTTCCTCGAAGCCTGTTACCAGAACATGGACGGTCTCTGACCACATAACAAAGGCATAGTAGAGGTATGGGGGAAACAGGAGAGGATATTATTTTTAGCACGCTACTTTTCCAAGGGTACTGAATCACATCAACATCTTCATCTGGAACTTATCCGCTTGCCAAGGTCACTCCATGAAATGTAACGCAAACAAGATCTGGAGATTTGCCAATATGCAAGCAAGCGTTCCAGGGACCTTTAAACGGACTGGTTCGTCTGCCCACTAAGATAGGCACTAAAGTGTTTCTGTAAGGCAATACATCAGCATGGTCAACCAGGTGTAGAAACCATGAAGAAAACTTACCGCGTTTCTCGTCTGCATGAATACGGTTCCAGGGCCCGTGAACTTGCAGACCAGGCCCTCGCCCGATGAAATGCCAGAGATGATGCCTCCAGACGCGACTCGCTCCATGATATACTTGACGTTCCAAGCCACCAAGTGGCCGTTATCGACGATGTACTTCTCACCGTCCATGAGCTAGATTAGGGTCAGCACTGTCGGTGTGTCGTTAGAAGCACCCAAGTTCGCTTACGTCTTTCCGGATGATGGCGCCAAAACTGGTCAGCCAGAGCAAGCCGGTACCGCTGATTTTATACACAAACAAACCCTCCCCACTGAAAATTGCCTTGCTGAGACCTTGGCGCTTATGGTCTTTGATGACGCCCTGGGTGGAAGCCAGGTACGCATCATGTCCGACGGACCACGTCTCCTTGCCCGTAAGACGCAGACTGGTAACGTCGCCGAGCATAGGCGGGGCCAGAAGAAGTTCACCGGGCCCGACAAAGGTTGAGCTGGCCATCTCGGCACCGGCCACAAGCTTCTTCATGCTGAACTTGATCTGACCCCTGAGCGTCACCGAGTGTGACATGGCCACCATGACACCCGGCTTCGCGTTCAACGGGCAGCCCATGGCCAGCTGGATTGTGAGTATAGTGTTGGTGTCCCGGTGGCTGATTCGGTAGCTCCCACCATTGAAGGTGCCGACATCGTCGACGGTTGCCGTGGCTCCTATGAAGTGCGTCGTGGGAGGCGCGCCGCCAACGAGGTTGGACGGGTTGCTCGTGTTGACCGGCGTTTCCTCGACATACTCCTTCTCCGGTAGACTGGAAGCCTCGGGCGGAGGAGAGAACTGGTGTTGCGAATTGGGGGTTTCTGACTGTCGAAAGGGAAGCTGCGTCTGTTGGTGTTGCTGGTGCTGCGGGGACGGCTGCGGTGACTGTTGAGGAGGCGGCTGGTACTGCTGCTGTTGAGGCTGTCCTTGGGGAAGACCCGGGGGCGGGGGATATTGCTGAGATGGCGCAGGCGACGTCGTAGCTCGGGGAGGCGGCGCGTATGTCCTCCCCTGGCTTGGAGATGCCTGTTGAGGGGGAGGATAGTTTGCGTGCTGTCCGGCCGAAGGCTGGGGAGGTGGTGGGTAGTTCTGAGGCGTGCTCGAATGGGGAGGAGGAGGAGGGTAGCTCTGCGCCTGCGAGGCTTGAGGCGGAGGCGGATAGTTCTGCGACTGCGCTGGGGAGGGCTGAGGTGGCAGAGGGTAGCTTCCACTATGGCCGTGTCGAGGTTGTGAGGGAGGAGAAGGGTAGGAGAACTGGGTCTGGTGAGCGGGCGGCGATTGCGGCGGCGGCGGATAGTTCTGCTGGGGTTGACCTTGAGGATCGGTCAGCCAAGGGGACAATCGACGGCTTCATTCGCTCAACAAGACGTACCTCCCGAGGGGGGAGCTGTGAAGAGTGTCAGCGCAAGTTACTCTTGTCCGTTTGGCGGGGCAGATGAGCGACTCACGGGGATAGTATTGGGCAGACATGGCCACAGGCTGCTGACGTCGTCTAGATGCTGAGTATTTCAGATTTTTAACAATCAGACTCGGCCAGGGAAGATGCAGGGCGAAGTCGCGGAGGAAAACAGCGAGACGATCTCGATCTGCCTTCAAGTCAGTACAGTCAGTCTGGTGGCAATGAGTTGTCGCATCGCTGCCCCGCACTTACAGTGATCACAGCCACGCTAGATGACACAGAGCGCACACAGTGAGACTCGGGTTCCACGAGAGAAATGCCGCCTACCAAGCGAATTCGAACGGTCGAAACTTCCGAACAGGTATCGGGGAATGTCAAAGGAAGGAAGCGAGAGAGAGGGGCATGCGTTGCGCAAAGACAATGGGCGCCCTCGGGGTTCAGGTCCATTAAAGAGGGAGCTTCACGCGCCGTACAAGACAGCTCCGCCAGGACCCCTGCCTTCCACGACTGGCCACGAAATGTGGCCGCATTGCCCCCCCCCCCCCCCCCCAGCTTCCCGTTAGCCTGCATTCGATAAGTGTGGTAGGACAAGTACTGTAGTAATTATTGGGGGCCTTCTCCCAGAGGTCGAGGTTCCAATTCGAGCTGCTTGGTTGGGATGGTCTGCACGGTCGTCCAATCGCTGGCAACCGCCTAGAGGGCCGGAGAGAGTCTCTAACTTTTTTGGGCGCCAGGCGAAGAGGGGCGGCGCTTAGAGTCGACCAACAGCAAGTCGCGCTGTTATTGGCCGGTCTTCTTGCCTCTTATTCACTCCCTGTTTTACAACTTTGGTCATCAAGTTTCATGCTATGCTGATTTCCGAATGGGACATGTCTCAATGGCTATCTCGAGGGCGCCTCGTGAAAGTAGCATGTTGTGACAAGGCTGTTCGCGTGGCATTCGGGAAGCCAAGGGACAGGAAAGGATGCCTTCCGGGAGTCGGAGGCTTCGCTAAGGCTTTGCCAAAGCATTCCCGCTGTGAAACGTAGAGCCCATGTCCGGAAATGCTATGTGATCCAATCTTATGTGGCTTGCGACAGACATTCGGGTAAGACGGCAGGAGCCCGGCTTCTCGGCGGTTAGGGCCGCACTGAACCGGCAGGTTCCCGACTGATGTGGGGCCGGACCCGGCAACGACCGCTGCCAGAAAAGGATCAACGGAACTCAGACTGACAGCTGAAATGGCCCCTCTCGGGTGTGGTTCTTCATTTATTTGGGGGCTTTTTACTTTTTCTTCTTCTTCTTCTTTTTCGTTCCCTTTCCCAACCCACAACGCCTGACTAACGCCGAGTTAACATGCTCTTTTCCTTTTGTCTCTGTCCCCCCCCCCCCCCCCCCCACTCCCTCAGAACGACAACTTCTCGTGCTTGAAAGGCTTCTGCCCCTCACCCTCTCCGTACGCCAGCGACACTTGACCGTGGCCTCTGATCTTGTATTTGTAAATCATGAGACCCTCCAGGCCGACGGGGCCGCGGGAGTGAATCTTGTTGGTGCTGATGCCGACCTCGGTGCCGAAGCCGTAACGCATGCCGTCGGCCATGCGCGTCGAGGCGTTCCAGTACACGCCCGCGGCGTCGACGGCCGCCATGAACCTCTCGGCGTCTTCGGACGACGAGGTGAGGATGGCCTCGGTGTGCTTGGAGCCGTGAAGGTTGATGTGTCCGATGGCCTCGTCCAAGGACGCGACGACCTTGACGGCAAGGTCGAGGGAGAGGAACTCGGTGTCGAAGTCTGCATCCTTGGCGTCGACGACCTTTGCGGCAGCGTCTCCCAAGATGTTGGACTGGAGGGTGGCCTTGGACTTTGCATCGCAGTGCAGCGTCACCCCCTTTGCGACCAGGGCCTCGGCGGCGGCGGGGAAGACGGATTCGAGGGCCGACTCCTGAACGAGCAGGGTCTCCAGACTGTTGCAGGCAGCTGGGTAACTCGTCTTGGAGTCGACGATGACGGCCGCCGCCACGGAGGGGTCGGCGGAGTCGGTGAGGTAGATGGAGCACAGGCCGTCGGCGTGGCCCAGGACGGGGATCTTGGTAGACTCCTTGATGTAGCGGACGAGCTCGTTGGAGCCGCGGGGGACGACGAGGTCGATGTACTGGTCGAGGGCCAGGAGCTGGGGGATGACGTCGCGGGTGATGACGAGCTGGATGGCCGAGTTGGGGACCTGGGACTTGTCGAGGGCGGCGGAGATGACCTTGGAGATGGCGATGAAGGACTCGGTGGACTCCTTGCCTCCCTTGAGGATGGCTGCATTGCCCGACTTGATGGCCAAGGAAGCGATGTTGGCGATGACCTCGGGGCGGGCCTCGAAGATGATGAGAAGGACGCCGATGGGGCAGGTGACCCTCTCCAGGATGAGACCATCATCCAGCTTGGTCCTCAGGGTGACCTTGCCGACTAGGTTCGGGTCAGAGAATGAAGTGAAAGGGGGCGGAGCCGTCGGTGAGCACACATACCGGGGTCCTCGAGTCCCCGCACATCCAAGATGCCCTTGAGCATATCCTCAAACTTGCCCTTCTTGCCCAGATCTAGGCGGGACACGAGGCTCTGGCTCAACTGGCCATCGGCGGCGGCCTTTCGTGCGAGGTCCAGGTCTCGCGCGTTGGCGGCCAGGATTTCATCGCGGGCGTCGGCGAGGGCGGCGTGGATGGCGGTGAGAGCGTCGTTGCGGGCTTCGGCAGAGAGGGTCGCGAGTGTGTGGGAGGCCGACTTCGCACCCTTTGCGGCGTCGGCGGGCGAGGCGTTGGTAAGGGACATGGTTGCGGTTGGTTGCGGACGGGATTGGCTGGGTGCGCCGGCGGAACGTTACTTCTTATTGCACTCACAAGCAAGTTCGGGACAATCCGTATGAGTCAACTAAGAAATGTCACAGCTGCTCTATGTAAGTTAATACCTAGTCAGTCAGTCTTGTTGGCGGGTGGAGGGCTCGTGCCACATGGCGGGGCAGGGCAGCATGTTTGCTATGAAAATTTGGAGCCCCGCATTCGGAAGGGAGAATCAACATTGAGTTAAAAGCCAATTCATCAAACCCCCAATGACATGTCGACTGTCAGCCGAACAACCTTGTTTGAATACACAAGAGACACAGACAGAGCGGACATTGCAAGAGCCTCACCCGACGACATCGCTCCTGTAAAATCCAATCATAATTTCAACACGCCTGGCTACCTTTTCACCTCTCTAGGGCGGCTTGCTTTGCTGGCCATCTTCTCCCAGTAACTCACAGTGGTGGGCCCCCCCCGGAAAAGGTTATCACTGGCATTGCATCCATCCGTCTTCTCTTCCATCTGTGAAGCAACCTTCCTCACCTTGAATGTTGCGACGACTCGATAGCATATCCTTCGAGTATTTCTCTTCCATCGCCCCCGTCTCGTCAACCTAGTACGCCGTGTGAGGGCTCATCCGACACCCCTTTCTTCACCTCACCTCCGTGTGTCAAAGCTTTCTACTTTTAGATATCCCACCCTCCGTCACGAACCCCGCCAAGCATGCAGGCCATAGCGACGACATATGTGTGTTGTACCTATGTATGCACTCCTCGACAGCCACGCGCCGGGCCGGGAACTGCTCGTTTCGCCAGATAAGGAGCGATCCTCCGATAAGAACCCGAGCCGAAAGGAGTTGTGTCCCCTATTGCCGATCGCGCACCTCGTTGTACGCAGCGGATATAGGACGGGAACCGGAGCCCGAGCTCTTATGCGGTGCTACGTAGACGATGATGGCAAAGTCCAACGGCCAGTTGCCCATCTAACCTACCGCCCTTTGCGTTTTTACTAATTTGATTCCGAACCCAAGTGCTCCATTCCATCGCTCCCGCTCTCCCGGCCTCGTCCTTCTCTTGACGCACTACCCTCTAGTCCTCTCATGGCCCGTTGGCTTGCTTACACCATATGCTCGTCATGCTGCTCCACCTGCCCTGTCTGTCCAACGGCCGAGGCATCTTTTCGCGCTCGAAACATCGGCTGTCCAGAGCCGAGCGCCGTCTCGATCCACCCCCACTGCGGAACGGTACCCGACCCCAGGAGCACTTGAGTGACTGACTCCCCATGAGGAGCCTAGTACGGAGTAGCATCATGACCAACCCTGGGAGGCAGGTGTGCGGGGTTGGGAGAGCCGGACAGGGCCCGAATAAAAAAACGGCCACGCCCCGGCAATTCCTGTCGTCGTTCGTGCTTGCTTGCGCTCCTCTCTTCTCTCGTCCTCCAGATATTACTTATTGACTGCCTTTTTCTTCCTCGTGAGTCTCCGAGTTCCGGCTGCCGTTCTGGTTACATGTGTCTGTTCCCGTTTCCCATCGGCCTCGACAGCTCTTGATCCTGGGCATTGGACGCGCGAGGAGCTCGCTCGCTGGTGAAAACCCGCTTCGGCACCGATTCGGCGTTCGACCATGACCGCCACCACAACACGCGACCCGGAAAAGGACGCTTTTCCGCTACAAGACGCTCCTGGGCGCGGCGACGAGCCGAGTCAATCGAGCGACAGCGACGATGACGAGGACGAGATCACAGAGGTCGGCCGGGACCGGCGCAGGTCCCGTGTCGAGTCGGACGGCGGGGGCCCGGCAGCCGGCGACGTCCCGGTGAGGCCGCGGTCCCGCGCCTCCTCCACCCGCTCCCGCGCCCTCTCCGTCGTCGCCAGGTCCAAGAGGCGCGGCCTCTTCGCCCAGCTGGCCGCCATCCCCGAAGTGGACAACCCTTACAATTACGCCGACAAGACGAAATGGACAATCACCCTCATCATCGCTCTTGCCGCCGCCGTCTCCCCCATGGGCTCATCCATATTCTATCGTAAGCTGCGCAACACGCACCCCCCTCCTAACCCTCTCCAGGGCTTTGGTTTGAACCACCATTAACATGTGCAAGCCGCCCTGCCGGAGATGGCCAAAGAGTTCGACGTCTCGCCCACCATCACCAACTTGTCTGTGGCGTTCTACATGCTGGCGATGGCCATCTTCCCGCTGTGGTGGTCGTCCTTCTCGGAGACCCTGGGCCGCCGGACCATCTACCTGTTGTCCTTCGCCCTCTTTGTCGTCTTCTCCATCCTCAGTGCCGTGAGTGTGAACATCAGCATGCTGATCGTGATGCGCCTCTTCGGCGGGGGCGCCAGCGCCAGCGTCCAGGCCGTCGGGGCTGGTACCATCGCGGATATCTGGGAGCCGCGCGAAAGAGGCCGCGCCATGAGCATCTTTTATCTCGGTCCGCTGACCGGGCCCCTCCTGGCTGTAAGTCCGCCCACGTCATCCCCGCCGAGAGCGACGCGTCTACCGGGCCGCTGACCCTCTTTCTCTCTCTCTCTCTCTCTCGTATAGCCCATCATCGGCGGAGCACTGTCACAGCGTTTCGGCTGGCAGTCGACAATGTGGGCGCTATCCATCTACGGCGGCCTGGTCCTCGTCATGATCCTCTTCTGCCTCCCCGAGACCCTGGCGCCGCCCAAGCCGCCCGCGCCGCCCGCCCGCGCCGCCTCCGACGGCGACAAGGTCACCCTCTCCCGGACGAGGACGACCGAGTCCGTCAAGGTGCGGTCGAAAAAAGCGGCGGCGTTCCTGAAGAAGTCCTTCCTCGACCCGCTCTCGGTGCTGCTCTACCTCCGCTTCCCGCCCGTCGCCATCACCGTCTTCTTCGCCGCCATCACCTTCGGCGCCCTCTTCTTCGTCAACATCTCGGTCCAGGCCACGCTCTCGGCGGCCCCGTACGGCTTCCAAGAGCTCATCGTCGGCCTCTTCTACTTCCCCGCCGGCCTGGGCTACTTCATGGCCTCGCTGCTCGGCGGCCGCTGGCTCGACGTCATCATGGCGAGGGAGGCCAGGAAGGCCGGCCGCTACGGCGCCGACGGCAAGCTGATCCTGCTCCCGGAGGACAGGATGCGCGAGAACATCTGGATCGCTGCGACGGTGTACCCTGCGTCCCTGATCTACTACGGTTGGGTGGTAGAGAAGGGTCTCTTCTGGTTCGTGCCGTGTATCGGTCTCTTCACTTTTGGAGCCAGCTCCATGCTGGTCTTGTAAGTTTTCCGCCCCCCCCCCCTCCGGAGTTTTTGTTTTTTATTTCTTTATTTTTTTGTTTTTGCTTTTTTCCTTTTCTTTTCTGGGGTTTATTTGCCCATCCACACACACACTTCCGTCGGGCTCTGCTCCTTATCGTCCCGTCCGATCTCGGCTAACACCGCTCCTCCCGCAGTGGCGCCGCCACCACCATGCTAACGGAGTTCATGCCCAAGCGCAGCTCGGGCGGCGTCGCGGTCAACAACTTTGTCAGGAACATCTTCAGCTGCGTCGGCGCCGTCGCCGCGCAGCCCTTGATCGGCGCCATCGGGAACGGCTGGCTGTTCACGATCCTGGGCATCTTCACGTGGGTTTCGGGCTACATCTGCGTCTGGACATTGAGGAGGTTCGCGCCCAGGTGGAGGAAAAGCATGGATAAGGCGATGCAAAACTAAGGCATGACTTGCGTCCCTTAGCGCGCCCGCTGTGTACGGTTACATACATGATGGAGCAGCAGCGCACGGGCGATGATGGACTGGTTGGGTTGATAGACTTGCTTGAATACGTTATCTGCATGAGACTCGCTCTATGACACACACACACACACACACACACCGCACCTTTCCCGATAATAACCAGCGCCCGCAGCTCCTTTGTCTACGAGGAAGATGTGGCCGTATTGACGCCGCGCTCGGCGCAGTACTTGGCCACCTCCTTCCGCAGCGTGTGCTTCTGCCTCGACACCAAGTCCATGACATTCCGCAGCTCCTCGCCGAGGTCCCAGTCTCCCTTGTCCCCGCCGCCGACGGCCTCGTACAGGCCCTCCATCTCGACGAGGATGGCCTCGAGTTGGTTTGGCAGCCAGGTGACGATGGGGCTGCCGCCGGTGGCCGTCGGGTGGGATGTGCGCTTGAGGATGTACTCGCGCGCGAAGCACCAGTGGCGCCAGCGGAAGTCGCGGACCTGGTGCAGGATGAGGAGCCACAGGCGGCGGGACTCGCGGACGGCCTCCCGCTCGCTCTCGGTGAGGCCGTCGGCCGACAGCTTCGTGGCGAGCGCGGCGTCCTTGAGGCCGACCTCGAGCGAGCGGTCCTTGACGTGCATCAGGAACTGGCGGTGGTTGCTGGGGCGGTAGGACCTGAAGTCCTTGAGGATCTCGGTAAGGGGCGTGTCGGGCATGGGCACCTGGAGGAGGTTGTCCATAAGGGGCACGATGGAGTCGTTGGCGCCGGACTCGCCGCGGAAGGACATGGGCTCGTCGCCGTTGACGCCCTCGTAGACGACGCCGTTGGGGAACATGCTCTGGCTGGTGATGCCGAAGATGAAGGTGCGGAAGCTGGTGTAGCTCTGCGGCCGCGACTTGTCCCACATGGTCTCCATGGTGTTGTTGATGGTGCGGAGGGCGGCGAGCACCTCGGACAGGCCGCGGTTGAGGACGGCGCGGTCCAGGGGCGAGCCGGGGGAGGCGGATGAGCGGAGCGCGTCCATCGTGCCCTTGACCAAGCCGCCGGTGTGCTTCACCATGGCGATGTGGACGAGGACGAAGCCGGCCTCGGACGAGGTCGGGTCGAGGCCCTTCTCGAAGGCGCGGATGAGGCGGACGTTGGAGTACTCCAGGCCCTTGGAAGGATCCTCGAGACGGTAGTTGTAGAGGGCGTAGGATCCGGCGTACTCCATCCACGGCTTGAAGCCGGTGCTTCGTGTTTGTTAGTGATTGCGAAGGGCAAGATAAGGGATGTGGGGGGGGGGGGGGGCAGAAATAGGAGAGTGTGGGCTTACAGCTCAGCGCAGCGGGCGATAGGCATTGAGATGTTCCTGGGCAGACGATCCCTTGCGAGGCCGTACCCCTCGCCCCTGACGAAGCGCTCATGGCAGGGCTCGAGCAGGTATGCGGACGCGAGGAACGAGTAGTCGCGGTACAGGGCGTTCATCAACTGTTCCCACGGTCAGAGGGTGTAAAACGGATAGTGCGCTTGTGCATCTAGGCTTACAGGCAGGTTGTCCTTGTATTGGTCGATGGCATGGGTCAGGTCGGGGAACTCGGCGTCGACCGTCTCGCCCAGCTTGGATGAGGCCAGTAGGCCCGGCGTGCCGTCAAGCTTCTTGACGGGCATGCGGGAGAGTATGTCCTCGAGCGGGGCGAACTCGGAAGGAAGGACGGCAATAGGGTCCGCACGGGGAAGGAAGCCGCGGGTGGTGGAGACCATGAAGGCCGGGAGGGAGTTGTCCTCGGGACGGGGGTCATCGAGGACAGGGAAGGGGGTGGAGTCGATTGATCCCATTGTGAAAGAAGACCCGGGGTAAGTGAACGCGCGGGGGTGAAGTAAGTGGGAGAAGTGTGCGGGTTGCAGTGGTGGGTTATGGGTGTACGGTGGTGTGTTGCTCCTGTTTTGTGTATATGATGGAAGAATGGGCTTAGGGGTTGGGTTCAAAGTCGTCTAAGTTGACTAACACGACTCAGCCAAGTGCGTATAAGTGATATGCCTGTGTAAAAAGATGGGGGAAAATCGCAAAAAATTGCTGAATAGTGTGATTCAAAGCCCAGAGAGTGCTTTTAAGTTGCAGACGCTGGTTGGATGCGAGTGAAAGTTCGAATGGCTGACTTGACGCCACTCGGCGTCGTGTATATACTTCGTGGCCGGAATCGATTCCGGCCTCAAGTGAGGGGGCGCACTATTCACTCCGGCCACGGAGCATGACACAAAGCACCCCGTTCGTCGCCCGCCGTGCCCATCCCATTTCTGTTTGTCATATCATCCTAATCTTCCTGGTCACACGGGCGTATCTGGGCAACCATGACCAAGGGTTCGCTCCCCCCTTCTTGCCGGCCAAGCCCTTGCATCCGCTCGTCGACCGTGATAAGCGGCATTGCTCTGCACCTCACAGGCTCCCGCATCCCAGGTGCGCCCCATCGCAGACCCCATATGACCACCTGTAATACTTCTTCTTTTAAAGACGCTGAAAACAACATAGACAAAGTTTTTTCCCGGCAATTACGAGGCGCTGCGTTGTCCGAGTTTTGTGGTTCTGTGGTCGAGTAATGAACTTCACTGGCCCCGCTTTTCTACCGATAATTGCCGGCGTGGCCGGAACCGTTCCGGCCTCTGGGAACACGGACCCGGCCTAAATGGTTTGAGACGCTGACAGGTTTCACACATACTTAGGCAAGACAATTGTTAGGCCGATAAGAAAATTCAGTGTGCAATTAATGAGTGCTCTGTGATAAGGCCAGTTGTAGTGCCCACCTGTTGAAGATGCAGCACATGAACTGTAATTTCCCTTGTGTATCGCCGGAAAAAGAGACAGCAGCCTCCATGTTCTCCTTGTACACTCCTTGCGTCAAATGATCGTCTCAAGTATCGTAAAAATGGTTCATGGAAATCTTTCATCGTAATCTGTCGTTGTCCATTCTTGTTCTTCGTCAAATTTCAAGCCATGAAAAAATGCACTGCCGAATCATGAGCAAGATGGTTTCTCGCATGCAAGACAAGAAACTCACCTGAGCCAGAAGTTGACTCTCAAGGGCTTTCTTCGTCACGAGCGAAGAGGGCTTCGGCGTGGGAGGAAACACCTCCGGGAGCACGACGCGACACTCCCAAGGAGGTCCAGGTGTCGCGTGTAGTGAATCCAACATCGGAGCCGTCCTCGTCACCCGTCGTTCCGTCAAACTCGACCCAAGGCTCCCAGTCGTCGTCTTGCTCAAGATCCTGCGTTGGGCTGGGGTCTGGACCACCGATCTCGTCGTCGCCCTCGACAACAGCCCGAACGGCTCGGGGCGCCGCTGAGGGACCATCCTCATACACATATGTAGTGTAAGTTCGAGTGACTGTTGTTTTGCATCGCGTAGTAGTCATAACTGATGTTGCATATGCCGTGGTAAGGGATTCACTATTGCCTGCACCACTGGTTGTCAGAAAGGGGCTGGGGGTAGGAGCACTTACACTGGTGACGGCTGGGTTGGTTCCAGTGTCGGTCAACTGCTCGTTTGACGGCGCTGGCGGCGAACTGACCGGGCCTGTGTTGCTGACCGTGTTGCTGACCGTGTTGCTGACCGTGTTGCTGACCGTGTTGGATACAGGCGACGACACAACAGTTCCACTCGCCGAACTGCCTCCGGACGCAATGATTGCCGAAAGCTGCCGCTCGATAGACTGAATAAGCCTCAGAAGGTCCTGGAGGTCCTCCGAGGCGATCTGGATACCGCCGGCTTGCCTCTTCGCCATGTTCGCAATTTCAACAATGTCGGGTTTGCGATGGCCACCACCCCACTTCCTCAGAAAACTGTCTAGCTGATTGTCGAGGTCCTCGGCAGCTGAAGTGAATGAATCGAGGTTGCTTGGTGGAACCTGAACCGAATCAGCATCGCTAGTCCGTCCGCGGAGGATCGCACCGGACGCGCCCTGAAAGACGACATGAAGAGCGACGCAGAAGTGAAGAATCTTGTTAATGTAATGCATTTTGGAATCTTTGGTGAGTAAGAGATGGTTCAACCATCAGATCCGGCAGCACCGAGACTTCTCGAGCTCATGATATAGTTTGTGTGGCGTTGCCAGCAGCATAACAATGGTAACGCATTCCAGTGACCCGTCAATGAGTGATGATGTGGCCACATTCCTCGCGGAGCACCGTCCCTCGGTCAATGGCAGATCAACTGTGGGCCGTTGTTGAAACTGTCAACACCTGTCTTCCCATGAAATAGTATCCAATAACTGCGCTGCTTGATTGCCTTCGGGGCCTCGTAAGCGTGTTGGCGGAAGACATTTGCCTTGCCCTCGGTGATTACGGCTGCTGCTGCTGCTGTTGTTGCTGGGATAGTGGCTCGGGTGATAAAGCACGAAGCGTGACACACAAGAGTCAAGGGTAAAGGTGACGACGCAATTCACGGAAGTATCTCCTGACAATAGAGCCGTGCAGGATGAGGTAGTTTCGGGGTAGCACAACGAAGTTTGGCTTTAAAATGACGACAGTACGAGTCTTCGTTGGTACAGGTCGCGGCAATGGTTGATCAACCGTGAACGCTAGGGATACATGATAGACATAGATTATCCCCGAGATGCGGTCGGGTAACGGACCAAACGCCAATTCGATGGGATGCTCTGATGGTGAATGTCGCTCGTGGTCACCATTGTATTGAAACAAGGATAACTGGTGGGCTGTGTGGATGTTCGCCGTCGGTAGTTTTCTTCATAAATGCTAGAGGTGATGGTTCTTCTCCGGTTGGGATTGGCAAGCAAGCAAAAAGTCCGCTATCCCTGGGCATAATTGGCAAAAGATCGGTCATGGCGACGGTGGCGTCCAGTCTCGCTTCGTGATGGTGCAACGACGATGGACTGGCATGGGATGCTGTTAAATTGAAAGCCATGGTCTTCTTCGCGTCTTCCATGGGAACCAGGTGACTACAGAGGTGGGTTCGCCATTGCTGAGTACTGAACTCATCTCCATCTAGGCTTGCGCCACTTTAGTCTCTTTGTTATTGGTGTTAGGCTAGGATGTCTGAACTTTGGAAGTACGATTGGCTCTTGTCAGGTGAGATTGGCGTTCGGGTCGAAAGCTTTTTTTTCTTGTATCCATCTGACAGGGAGTATGACCGTGGCAGATGTATGCAGCAAGTCTTCGCCGCCCCATTTCTACATGATAGGGTGTCCATCTCTGGGTCGCCAGTAGGCTGGCGCTGTTGGTGCAAATAATGATGACTGCCTTCATTTTCAATCATATGTGGGTTTCTGGAAGGTGCAATAGTAAGCAAAGATTTGGACACGTAGCTGTGAAGTCTCCCTTGGGTGGATCGTAATTATTCAGAGAAGCAGCCCCTTTCGCATATCGAAATGAAGCAGGCAAATTGCGCTGGTGTCTCGGTCTTGTCCGCATCACAGCTGAGAGGGTCGTTGCAGTATGCTGCGAGTCAAGTTCGGCTGGGCATCATTCTTCACGATCTAACCCGCCTGCCGTTCTCCTCGTGTTTGGTCCCGAGGCGGTACTTTTTGACAGTGACGTTGTCGCAACAGGTTGACTGAGGGCTGACGGCCCGTCTTTTAGTTTCATGAAGCAGTTGGGGCGGTAACATATGAAGTGGCCTGAAGACAGGCGAGGGCTTCGGGTACGTAGAGTTCGTAAATCAAGGAGGGATCCAAGGGGATTCCAGGCTGAGTCGGAAACCTGCAGGTCGCCATCACCAATTCAGAGTTCTGCGCCGCCCTGGACAAAGTGCTGGAGTGCACCAGCCAAGCGTAGACCAAGGTTGTCTGGGTATGTGAGTTTGAGACTTGTTTGCTGACCCCTTGATCCTCGTTCAGTGTCCAACGCGTTGTTCCCACCCGGACGGTCTCCTCGCGGGGTGCATCGACATCAGCCATCTCGACGGCCGATAGCCAAGGGATATATCGGTTTCTTCACGATGGGCAATTACCTTGGTACAGGTGCATCGCTCAAAGAACATGCACCACCGAGGGTGCGGAATGCTGTAATCCAGTTTGTGCATTGTGTGCCGTACCAGGTTGCAGATGCGTGGCCCCTGAGGGAAATCATTCGCAATGCTCCGTACAAAGTCTGAAAGGGCCAAGGATCATCGTCCGGTGTTCCGGGAGGTGTTGTGGAGAGAGCAAGATAGCGTGTTATCGCCATTTTTTCGAGTCAAGCCATGCTTGAATTGGTAAGTGGCAGCTGGGCCATGTCGCGAGGTGCTGAAAGTGTTTCGCCCTCGCCTTGACAAGCAGACCAGACGATTTGAGTGGAAGGGTGCGGTGCGGATACACGATGACCACCACCAGCCTGAGGCACCAGACAACGACGCGAACGAAAGTGAAGCAAAGACAAGACCAGGGCTTGGGAAGGGATTGTAGAGAGCAGAGGGGGGGGAAAGGGGAGGGGAGGAGGAGGAGGCTTCGGACGAGAAGAAGCAAAGGTACAGACAGTATAACGAAAAGGGGGCAAAAATAAAGTGTGTGTGGTGTACAGTGCGTGGTGTTATTACAGAGCTTCCTATTCCCAGTTTCTGCCGAGGCCAGAGGCTGGCCAAGGTCCAAGATGCAGTGAGATGGAGGCATTCAAATCATGACCCTGTTGACGAGAGAGGCGGAGGATATCCGTACAGCGGTACGTATCATCTGGCTTTGAGGAGGAAGGAAGGATCGGATGTACCTCTGTACCTACCTCAGCTTCTGAAGTCTGGAAGCGTGCGGCCATCCCTTTCCGGTCGGCGGTCACGGACCCTCCCCATCTTATTGGTCTCTTACTTGCTTACCCACAACTGCCCGTGGTGGGAGGGCAGGTGCGCGAGAGAAGCGAAAGCTGGAGGTCAATTCTTGAGCGAGAGCCCAGCACCACGCACCCAGCACCGCACCCAACCCAGCATGAGATGTCACGCCGCCTGGTTTGGCGCTCTCTTCGAAAATGAGACGCCGCCAAACTTACCAGATGGACTCCCCCATAAAATAAAAATTCTCTCTCCTCCCCATCTCGTCTTCCCATCCACCCTCCCATTCCACCCATCGCCAACCCACGCCATCATCACCTCGCCGTCGGCTGTACGAGTCGCCAACGCGAAATAATCTGCTAGACGATACAGACAGACCAGACCGCACCGCACCGCACAGCACCGCACCGCACCGCTCACCCAACTAGCCACAGCCGCAACCGCAATCGCAACACCAGCGGCAACGCACCGCCCACCCAACCAACCCATTACCCACCAGATCATATCCATCACCCGTGGCTCGTTGGATGACTGGCTCAACCGCCACCCCATCCATCAAAGCAGCTGCCTACGACAAAGCCAACACTCCCCCTTGAGCTTTCCACCTCCTCCCCATCGATCTTTCGCCCTCCTTCATCTTTGCTCTAACACGCTTAACCCACATCCATCATATTCATCAAACGGCCGCCAATACATCGAAATGGCTTCTACCGCATCTGTCAGCCGACGCAAGTCCAACGGGGGCAAGGCCGATCTTCTCGTCGTCACCCTGACCGTCAGTGCCGACAAGTTGAAGAAGATCCTCGAACCCGACTCCCCCAAGGAAGATTCGCCCGTCAAGATGGACGTTGATGAGACAAATGGAACCAAGGAAACCCAAGAATCCCAGGACTCTCCCGCCACGTCAACGACATTGCCTGCGCCCATTGCCACCAACGGAGAAACTGCATCGGACTCGAACCCTGGCACGCCTGCTGGTGACGGCACCCCCGCGCCTACGTCAATGGGCCCTCCCATGGAGGGAGTCAAGAAGAAGGGCACCAAGCGTGGCTCTAGCGCTATCAACGGACTCGGTCCCGATGGCCAGCCCAAGGTTCGAGGCAAGCCGGGTCCCAAGAAGAAGGCGCGACTGTATGTTCCCACTCACTACTTCATCATACCGATTCATGCTAACCTCTTTCCCCCTTACAGTGAGGATGGCACAATCGATCCGAATGCTCGCGGTGGCCCCGGTGGACACAAGCTGGGGCCCAAGGCGAACCAAGGTGCCATTAACGCCGGTCTTCGCGCTCTCGACCGATCTGGCAAGCCTTGTCGCAAGTGGGCAAAGGGTGGCTTCACGCTCAAGAGCTTCACGGGCATCGTCTGGGAAGTCCCTCGATGGGTCGCGCCGCCCAAGACCGCGCCCGAGTCCAGCACCGGAGACTCTGCTGCAGCTTCCGTCGACAGCAGCACCAAGGAGAATAAGGAGAACGGCCAGATCAAGAGCGACGCCAACAGTGCCGCCAACAGCGGCGTCGACGTTGAGATGCGGAGCGCACAGGGCAGTGTCCCGGCGAGCTCGCCGGGACCGATGGCTATTACTGCCGCGTCATAGACGCCCGGATGCTCGCGATTTTGTTTGTTTCATGCCATGGACAGGTGTCGAAGGTGGTCTATACCACACGTGTACACAACAGCTTGGAGTTTTGAGGATTTAAGGGCAATGGGGTCTCGGACAGACAGCATTTCAGAAAGGCACGAGTCGCGTCTGCAGCCAGTCTTTTTTGAAGGGGGGAGCTTCTCACGCGGCAGCAGTCCGCCGGCGTTACGGGCACACGGTATTAGGTTCAGCATGGAAGCTGCCAAGGGTAGAGCGGCATTTGCCCGGAATGGAGGCACAAAGTGTATATTACAGCGTTGGCGCAAGCATGAAGGAATCCCGACTGACCATACAGTTGATGTTATTCTCACGTCCCAAATCTGTGTAGCAACTGAGGGTGGGTGCGATGCAGTTGTGAGTTGATTTGATTCGAGCAAATGTAATCGGTTGGTGTTGTGCCGAGACCCTCGGATATTGGAAACCCCTTCCGAATCAGAGACGAATCATGAAATTAATGTGCCATCAGTGAGGTTAGTCTGGCAATCTAGGGGGGAGTGGTGCCGCAGGTTGAGTTTGCAGATCGCCTGCATTGACCACGGGCGACTGGTAGTGCAGTCCAGACCGCGCCGCAGGACCTCGTTATGTGTTTTATTTGTTCGACTGCATCGACAACCCGAGATGATGGTGCTCATGGGAAGAAAGGAACAATTGGAGGCGCTACGTGCGGTTGCTGGTACAATTCATCGCTGACCGCAGACAAGTGGGAACCCAGCACCGGTAAAGTGTGCGAAAGAGGGGGGGCAGGGGAAAAAGCATTGGTCCCCCCTTTCGTGATTCCCCCATCCAGCCTGTTTGACTCCTTGCGATGGAGGATGCCGAGAAAAGCGACGTTGGTGGTTGGGATAGATCACGTGAGTGATATTACATAAGTATGTCGGGCTTGGACCGCTTACCTAAGTATCCATCTAATCAAGCCAGGTTTCTCGGCCGCTCGTTCCGCTGCAACAACAGCTGCAACAGCAGCAGCAGCAGCAGCAGCAGCAGCCGCAGCATAGTGTACATACAGTGTGGACATGGTGCATGACGACAGCGTTTCGCCATACCTCTTTCCTTTGAGAATCGCGCAGCAGTCGGCGTCTCACTCGATGGGAGGCTGCTCGTGGGCTGCTCTTTGTTCATCAACCAAAAAAATATGAAAAGAAGTGGCTAGTCTCGAAGGGGTGTCAAAGAGACTAATTTCAATCCCCACAGGACAAGCTGGTAATGCTCCTGTTACGTTGTAGGATAGATGGCTCCTCGTGCTGGTGTTTCGACTCCAAGACAAGCCAACACCCACCCATCCCCCCATGAAAGGCAGGGGACAGTGGGTAGACAAGTCTAGCCATCGATAGCACCGTGTGTCAATCCCGTACGATTACTTACTTACCTACCTAGGGAGGGCGGCGTTGCGGGCATACGCCTGTTGTGACTGGCCACCCCGTTTGGCGCCTCAACTGACTGATTAGCCTCTAACAATGACCTGCTCTCGTGATTGTTTAGCAGCGTCTAGCAACGAGAAGGACGGCGGACTCGCTCGGGATAAGCCAAGCCTAGCGAATCCCAGCAAGTCACAACCATCTATTATTTGTCCGCGCGCTGAACCTCACTTCCGTCACTGCACTGTGACTTTCGCATGGATGTAACGCTCCGTCCACCACCTCATGCTCCTCACCCTTTCCTTACCTTGACAGGTCTCCGTCCCCTCTACATACCTAAAACCCCCCCCATACTACGGATACCTAACCTACCTACCTTACCTTGCCTGCACCCCGTCCGTACCTTGCCGGTATACTTTGTACCGACCCCCCCCCCCCCCCCCCCCCCCCCCCCGTTCTCCACAAAGCCATAGCACTCGACCTGACCTCATCCAACCCCCATCTTTCGACCTGTCATCACTCCGGTATCATGATAAACGAGCTGTCCGGCGCCCCATTCTAGCATACTCGACGTCGTCTCTTCTGTGCCGTTGCAGCCAGTCGTTTTTTTTTAGAGCCAAACGAACCTTAACGACCCGGATTAATCCGTTAGACCAGCCACACGCCCATCGTAATAGTGTGACTCGACGCGAACCTTCGTTTCCAGCACGCCATTTCCACGCCCATTGCCCGCTGCACTCAACGACCCTTGACGGCCTGTCCGAAATTCCAACTTGGACACAAAAGAAGCGAGACACGGTGGTTGCTCAAGCAACAATCCTGAGAAGCTCCCACTGTAGCTTCTCGGGGCTTTGCGAAGCTCCCGTTACGTACAAGGTGCCATAGGTGCACCGAGCACGTCGACCCCTTCACGAATCTCGACCCCTCACCATGACGAACCCGTTCCATGGTTCTGCACATTATACCGATCCAAACTCGCCCTCGGGAACCTCTGGTCTTCCCCCCCGCCGTTTCTCCTACGCTTCAGTCGTCTCGGGAGCGCCACCGAACTATAACCCGCCCTACCTCTCACATCCCGGCCGGACCTCGGTTATCTCCCACATCCTCAACAGCTCCGACGATATCACCTTCGAGCCGGCCTCGGCCTACTACAACCCGAGCAGGAGCGACGACATGGACACGGACAGGAACGGCGCCGGCTTGAGTGGCGCGTCCGCGAGGCCGTTGAGTGGTTTCCAGCTCCCCTCCTTTTCGAGGGCCTTTGATATGTTCATGGCAAACCCGCTGGGTGAACCTGCGGGCTCTAGCAGCGCAAGTGGGAGCGGCTTCTTCGTCCCATCGTATCTGGCGGGATCGGCACATGTTCAGCGGCTGGAGGAAGCACACTGGGCAAAGGTACGGGCGCAGAAGGAGTCCCAGGCAGCCCAGGCACAGGCCGGCGCGAACCTGTCTACGAGCGCAAGTAGCGTCAGTCTTCACAGCAAGCCGGGTGCCCACCGGGGAGTGAACTACGATGTCATCGAGAAGCCCCCCGCTTTCGAGGAAGACGAAACGTTCGCCCCGTTACCCACGAGGTGGAACAGTTCCGACAAGTACGGTGCTCTGGATATCATGTCCGACGGCCTCGAGGTCAGATACATCGGGCCGAGGGGTCAGACGGAGCGTGACCACGAGGCTTTCTGCATACGTGCCGACAACCCCATGCCCCCGCAGTGCGGCATCTACTACTTTGAGGTTCAGGTGTTGTCGGGGAAGCGGGATGAGTAAGTGTCCAGGTCATGCCTGAAGCGTCCAGGCTCTAATCTATTTCATAGCATGACCATTGGTATCGGATTCTCTGGCAAGAACGTGGGACTTTCAAGACCCCCCGGTTGGGAAACAGATTCTTGGGGCTATCACAGTGACGACGGCCACTGCTATGCGGGCCAGAGCGGCGGAAAGACTTACGGCCCCTCCTTCACCGCGTCTGATATTATCGGCTGTGGCGTCAACTTCCGGACTGGCAATGCTTTCTTCACAAAGAATGGCCACCTTTTAGGCACTGCCTTTCGCGAAGTCGGAAAATCGGGAAGCCTGTACCCAACAGTGGGGTTGAAGAAGTCTGGAGAGCACGTCCGTGTAAACTTTGGCCAGACCCCCTTCGTCTTCGACATTGATGGCATGATGACGGTGAGTTTTTGATTCTCATTCCGTTCTTTCGTGCATCTCATCCAACCCGGACACCCGCTTGGACTGCCTGGTTGCTCTTCCCCACGGCCTTTCCAATGATACTGCTCTCCGATGTGTTTGTGAAGGGCGGTATATCTACATTGGCCGTATTCCAAGTCACCAAAACTCAGTTCTTGGATGCTGTAGAAGCGTCACGGCGCAGATTGGATGATAGAGACTATGACGGAAATAACTGACGGAGCGTTTGCAGACAGAAAGGGAGCGCATCCAACGGGAGATCTCGCGGACAAGCTCAGCGAGTCTGGCGCCAGCGATGAATGAGACCGGTTTGGTTCAAGCGCTTGTAAGTACAGTTTCGTGCTGGCCCGCTCGCATTGAATATTAGACTAACCACCAGTCAGGTTCTGCAATTTCTTCAGCACGATGGTTATGTCGAGACGGCAAGAGCATTTGCAGAAGAAATTAATGCCGAGAAGAAGGCACTGTGCCTCGATCCGAATGCTCCCATCGAGGGCATCAATGTTAAGGATGACGAGCATGCCAATAAGCGCCAACGTGAGTTCTGCATAGACGTGCAAGCCCGGACCTCGCTAATGACTACAAGGGATCCGAAGAGCTGTACTCGAGGGCGATATTGACAGAGCACTTAAGCACACCAACGCATTTTACCCTCAAGTTCTCAAAGATAATGAGCAGGTATACTTCCGGCTACGGTGCCGCAAGTTTATCGAGATGGTCCGGACCGCTGCCGAAATGAGGGTGGCGTCAGAGGCGAAGAAGAGCAATGGCCACGGCGGCGATGTTGGCGCCCAGGCAATGGACCTTGACGCCAACGGTACTGAGAATGGTGCTTGGGACCAGACGGACACGGAAGACTCTGCCGAGACCTCTCTCGATATCAACGAACTCGAAATGGCGACCCTGCAATACGGGCAGGAGCTTCATGCCGAGTTCAAGGACGATCCCAGGCGAGAGGTCACAAAGCACTTGGCGGACATTTATGCGCTTCTTGCGTACGCAAACCCGCTGAGGGAGAAAGACGTTGCCCATCTGCTCGACAGGAAAGGTCGTCTGGCAGTTGCAGAGGAGCTTAACTCGGCGATTCTTCGTAAGTCCCACAACGGAAAGCCACAGCCAGAGCAGCAACTAATCGTGTGCAGTGTCATTGGGCAAATCCTCTCGTGCAGCTCTCGAAAAGATTTATGCCCAGACGAGCGTGCTGCTGGATGACCTGCGGGAGAATGGCGGACCAGGCGCTTTTGTCTCTTTACAGGACGTCATCGAAGACATACCGAAGTCGCAGCCTTTCTAGAGGGTCCGGCGGCTATGTGAAGCCTCAACGCATCTTCAGACCATCCTTATTCCCCTCATTTCGTGTTTTATTTTGTTTTCTTACCATCATATCATCGGCGTCAGGCTTAGTCTTGGAGTGGAAACGGTAACTTTACAGTCGGCTTTTGAGGAGGGGGTTTGCATTGGGCGATGTGGTAGGCGATTGGGGGTAGTCTACATAGGTCTCGCTCGGGGCGTCTGACGCCGCTGCACAAATAAAGATGTTATCAATGACTATCCTGCATATATATGCAGTGCTGACTCATTTCCGGTTGCTTTCTATGGCTGCCCTCAACTACTTGGGGATTTTGGTAGAAAGGTAGCAAGCCGTTCGTTCGCACGGGCAGAAAGAAATCTATACGATGTGGTGTCGGCATGCTAGCACCGCTCGGTCACTCGGTCTGCTACTGTCCCCCACACAGACCCGAGGGGAGGGTTTGTTCTTTAGGTATCATACAAGGTCGCCCTCACTGACGTCCTCTCTCCTCCTTTCCCAATCTTCCGCTCTCGGCCAGTTTGGCCGGCGCCGTCTCTTCCCCGGGTCCTCCTCTTACACGAGGACCCCTTCGTCGTCGTCGTTGGGGAAACACCTCTCCAGCAGCCTCTCGCGGTGCCTCACCAGGCCGGGGAAGCCGGCCAGGATGTCGGACAGGGTGCGGTCGGCCCAGCCGAGGTCTCCGTCGAGCAGCAGGTGCGTGTAGGCGAACACGGAGGCGTCGAAGAGTGTCGGCTCTTGGCAGCCAAAGAACCACCGCCCCTCCCTGCCGCCGCCGCTGCCGCCGCTGCCGCCGTTCTCGTCGAGCAGCGCGCGAAGTGCCTCGAAGGCGCACGCGCGTCGGCGTAGACCCTCCCGGGTCGACGGCGGCGGCGCGCGTGGACTTGAGAACCTCGGCCTCGGCGGCGGAGCGGACCTGGTGCGCCAGGGCCAGGCGGACGAGCGGGTTTCTCGAGGCGGGGCGGACGTATAGACGCGACAGTAGCGTGGCGTTGTCCGGGGCGAGGTACAGGGCGTAGAGCCAAGCGGTGCGGAGGCGGGTGTCGAGGAGGGCCTTAGGTTTAATCGTCGCCCAGGCAAATGATCTGGCACATGAGTTCACTCGTACAACATTAGATAGCAACTGGGCCTCGGTAGTCGTGTGCTCGTCAAGACCGTTTATCGCATTTAGGTCAAACGTTTTCTCGGAGCCCGTGGGGCTATGCAGCCCCAAACTCACGGTTTCGCACTCATCGACAGGCTTCTACCAGTGCGCTATTCGACGCTGGAACCTATTAAACGTTACCTCAGTGGAAAATGATTCTTAGAAGCTCATGCGTCAGAGTAGTTCTTAAGACAACGCATCTCTCAACTAAGCGCATATAACACCATTCTGGTTCAAGGTGGCTAGAAGTAG